GTGTAGTAAAACGCAGTACATGCAGCAATGTACTAGCGATTCCCATGATGCTCAATGCGAAGCCTCGGCAGCACAGTATGGAAAAGTCGAGACAGGGACACACCAGACTCGTAGCTAATGACGAACAAGGCATTGCTCAGCCGTATAAGTGGCCAGCATGACCGCCCCTTTCTTGATGGCAACCATAGTTCCATCACAGACACAGACACAGAGCAAAGCGAATCCTCAACAAAGGCGGTAACAGAGTATTACGACTGAAGTTCATTATCTAGACCTTTGAACACCAACTGCCCGTCGTTTCGAGCTCCCGGGTACAGACTTGACACCAGCTCTTCCTATACATTGGTAAGTACAAGTCAGTGACTCAAACTCTCCCCCTCCATGATTGTTCTTCTGCAAGCCCAATGCCCAACAACAACAATTACCGCCACCCCCGGGCAACCAATTCCAGCCGAGATGCTGAAGGCTTCGTTGGCAATTTGGCCGGGCAAGTCATTGAGCTATTTCCCCCCGGGTGGGTTGCAGGACAAGACAGTGAGGGACAAGCAACCCGACCCATGGAAGCGACACTTCCAGGCTTTGGACTCATGCAACGGCATTCACTAGCTGGTGGACACAACACCGTGTCACCATTTGTACACATAGCTTGTCCGATTGCCGAGCCGCCAATTCGCTTTGGTGTGGTGCAGTGGTGCTGGCCTGTTATCTCTGGACAGAGCTGTTAGGCTTGACACGTTGTTATCGCGCACAGGCACCGCCGCGATTGTGGTCGAAGTCAAGTTCAGGAGTTCTGTACGGAGCGGTACTTCGTACAAACTAACTCCATAGGAATCCCCCTCCCCCCTAGTCATCGCCCTCAATATCCTGCCGCTTTATTTGACGCGCTTATCTTGCATTGCAGCTCTGGAGCTCTTCGTTCCTCACCGACTGTTGCACAATACACAGGCTAACCAGAAGCAAAAGCCGCATTGTTCTAGACAGTTCACGCTGCGGCACAATCCACGACATCCCCAGCGTCCCGAACCTACCTTCCGTTACCTCCTTCCTTCCTTTCTGGTGAGCCGCACCAAACTTTGCAACGGCAAGCTTCATCCTTTGAGCGTATTTGAACGTGGCCAACCCCCTCACCGAGCCGTCCACCATGTCTGCTACAACAGCACAAGCCCCAGTTATACCTCCCAGACCATCCAGGAGTCAGGAAAAGGCATCAGCTCCCATGGTTCCACCACGACCTATCAATCGCCGCGTGCAGCGCTCCATAAGTCCAAATCCCGACCGCTTCGCACCGTCGCCGTTGAACGAGAGTACCTTCCTCAAATTGACTGCGGCACCTCACGCTGGCGCCCGCAATGGCGACCCCATACCGCGCTCCACCTCGGTCGAGCTCCCCTCGGTTGGTGAGGAGGGCAAGGAATATGCTGGGTTGGCTGAGGAGATGAGCTCGTCGGCCGAGGCGAGTGCTAGCCCCGAGCATACCCGCACCGTCGCACAAGATCTCAAGCTCCACGCCCCGAAACCGTCGTTGCCTGCCGCTAGTGCCAAGCAGCGCGTCATGGCCGTTACTCGGACAGACAGTGAGCGTGCCGCCGCGTTTGGCATCGGCAGGCCGAGCAGCGTTGTCGAGGATTCGACTCCTGCGCTGCCATCGAACCGCAGCCTCAAGAAGAAGGCCAGCACCGCCAGCCAGCTGTCTACAACCGAGAGCCACATCGACGACGAGCATGGAATTCCCGAGATTGGCCTGCAGGTGCCCATGTATCCGAATGCCGGCGACGTCCAGGCCCCATCACCTTCGCCTGCCATTGCTGAACCTGCGAAGGGCAGACATCATGTGCGAAGGGCTTCGTCCCGTAACGGTAACCTGCCTCCCGGAAGCTATGGCCTGCACGGACATGGCGTCGTTTCCCAGGACAGGTTGGATAAGGCCTACTATGACAAGCACCCGGATCTCTTGAAAAAGGAGCACGTACCGCATCATTACGATCGCCCCAATGACTTCTCTATGAGCAGCGATGATTTGAATAAGATAGTCAGGGATACAGCAAGCCATGGTTCTGGCCTCGGTAAGTTTGGCCAAAGGTCATCTCTCGGCAGCCCATTGCTGACAACCCGTCACCATACAGCGGTCAAGAATTACCCCGGCACCCCTAGCGATCAGGTCGCTTGGCAGGCCATTGACGAATCCACGTCCCGCGTTGTCACTCCTGGCCCATCCTCCCCGGATTCCAAAGATCCCACCAAGCCAGGTTCGACGGTCTCGGACTCGGACAAAGAGAGTCGTCGGCCTTCGGCAATCGGCGACGTCATCCATGTCGACGAGCCTAGCCGTCGCCGGTCCGTCATGTTCAGCGACACGGAATCTGTGAACGCCGGCGAAGAGCTGGAGCGCCCCTACACGGCCCCTATTCTTGCCGATGACGAGGTTGCCAAGGATCCATCGCCCGGTATTCACCATCCGGCAGTCGAGCCTCCCCTGGAATATGAAGAGCCCGCCAGCCGACCGACGAGCAGGCCTGCCAGCTTGTACAAGGAGACTTCCTTTGAGCTGCGTCCCACTCCTCTGGAGGACGTTGAAGAATACGAGCCACTTTTCAAGGACGACGAGAAACCGGAACCGAAGAAGCCCGTCAAAGAGGAAAGGCCCAAATCCAACCACAAGCACCGGTTCCCCAGCGCCGACATCTGGGAAGACGCTCCTAGCAGCGTTTTCTACACAGCCGAGGTGTCCACGCCCGAGCTGTTTGACGAGCAGGAGAAGCCTTCGCCGGCAGTTATACCCCCTCCAAGAGAGGGCGAGACGCCAGCGCAGGCATTTGCCCGCCACCAGGAAGAGCTCGCCGAAAAGGAAGCCCGGGAGCACGGGCCCGAGGGCTTCATCCCGGCGCGGAACAAGCAGAAGCCTCTCTGGGCTCAAAGTCAGCCGCATCTCGCTGCGAAGATGGTCAATGCGCGCCCGAGCTCGGGCCAGCGATTCCCCAGCCGCGACGTTTGGGAGGACACCCCCGACAGCCTGAAGCTTGAAACCACTGTCTCGACGCCTCAACAAGACGATGTTTCGTCACCGGCCGACACTATCAAACCCGACATTCCCGAGAGGGCCCAGGCTAAGTCGCCGGCAGCGGGCGACAAACCCGCTGTACCCGAGCGGCCCAGGCCTAGACAGGCGTCAGGCGATGACAAGGACAAGCCGGCCATCCCGGAGCGGCCCAAGCCGAAACCACAGATCCCCGCCCGCCCCGCCAAGGCCGGCCCCACCTCTGGCGGACTGGAGCCTGCCGAGGCGGCCGCGCCGCCACCCCGCCAGAAGCCGGCTGTCCCTGTTCGCCCGATGGGGTCGAAAATCGCGGCGCTGCAGGCAGGGTTCATGAACGATCTCAACAGGCGTTTACAGCTGGGTCCGCAGGCGCCGCCTAAGAGGGAAGTGGCGGTGGCGGAAGACGAGCAATCCGAGGAGAAGGAGAAGGAGAAAGTGCCGCTTAGCGATGCGCGCAAGGGCAGGGCGAGGGGTCCACAGAGGAGGGCTCCCGCCTCTGCAGCTGCAGCTGCGGCGGCGGCGGCATCTACTCCTGCTTCTTCGGAGGCTAGTAGTACTAGAGTACCGACGTTTCGATTTGCCTCGGCCGTGTCGCTGTTTGAGATTGATCCTGATGATGGAATGTTGAAGTTTGGCGGGTCGGGGCAGGCTAAAGCACAGGAGGCTGACTCTGAGGATGGGGAGGAGAAGGAGACTCTTGAGACTAGGGCAGAGGCGGGGGCAGATACCGAGGCCCCCGTTGTGGAACAGCAGGAAGAGGCAGGTGGGGCAGGTGAAGCTGAAAAGGCGGAGCCGGCTGACACTAAGGTTGAGATTGAACCCGAGCCCAAGCCTGAGTCTGAGTCTCGGGCTGAAGCAGAACACGAAGAAACAAAGACGCTTGCGACTAATTTGGCTGGGGAGCCGCTGGTTGAGGAGCAAGTCAAGAAGGACGACAAACACCTGACGGTGGAGCCGGTCAAGGTGGAGGAGTACTAACCTACAGCTTGCGAACCTACGAGACCAGCGGGTTGGGTTGGTGGAAGCGGTTGTGCTCGTCTCGCTTGCTTCTTTTCCGTTTTTCCTTGCTTACTGTCGTTTGTTTATTCGGACCGCTTTGCTTGGCTTTACTGCCTGTTAAATTCGCTCCTTTTAATCACACAGCGGTTGCTGCCTTATGATAGATAAACATGATTGAGTCGAGGTCTAGATGTTGCCGTTGTTAGATCGAGCGGGCTTGACGAATACGCGAGCGTGGTATAAGACGTCGTCGGCAAGATGGGGCTAAGTAAAAACAAGGTAGATAAAGAATCCTAGGTTTAAAGGAGAGGAAGTAAACACTTAGATGGATTGGTATAGAGAATATCTCCCAACATTTCTAAGACAGAGCCTTGGGAACTGTATGCAATGGGATTTGTACTGCGAATAAGGAGTTAAACATTCAGGGGTCCGCCATTTGGTTCTCTGACTTCTCTCTTCCCCTTCCCGCCCCACCTCTCCCTCAGTTCAGGTTTGCGTGCCTAGCTGCCCGAGGCTGCTTACGTTCGCTCGGGTAAACTGAACCCGGAGGACAGTGAAGCATGTTACCGGGCTACCCAACTAAGCCAACCTGCTACAGCTCCAGATGAGGATACTATAGCTGGGGGATTGATCATTAGGGTATCCGTATCATTCAATCACTCATTCAGCCGCACGCTTGACTCGCTTCGGATTCGCCAGTGGTGCATATACGGCCTATACGGAGCGGCTGGGACCCCTTCTCTCAGATGACCCTACCTAGTCTAATTACTTGGCTCCTCCGTGTCTCGTACTTAGTAGCGTGGGCAACCTCATGGTGCCTTCTTTCTTTTATATCTAGTTTCTGTTCCGCGTCTGGCAGACTCGCTCGTCGGCGCGCATCAATCATGGTTCGCCTCCAATCATGGCAACCACAATCAGCAGCACCATGGCCAACAATGACTCGGAGAAACCCGGAGAGGACCCGATCATGGTCAATGGAACGGCGCCGGCCTGGACCCGCAACCTGTACCGGCGCATGCCGTTTGGCCGCAAGCACTTCTTTGGCCAGGACGACGCGACGCAGGCCGCCGACTACTACATCATGAATCCGGTCCCCCAAAAGCACGCGAGCCAGTGGCGGCCCATCTTCTACCGCGGCGACCACCCCAAGTACACCACCACGAGCGTCGCCGTGGGGCGCGCCTTCCGCACCGGCTTCTGGAACTCGTTCCAGCTGCAGATGGGCGACGGCGTGCACGAGATCCTCGCCAACCAGAAGCGTGCATCCAAGCGCAAGAGCCACGCCCGACTGCAGAAGTGGCGCAGATTCTGGGGCAGGCCAGAGAAACCCCCCAAGGAACCCCTTGAGGATGATGTTCCGGTCCAGGGCTTTGTCACGCTCTTCAAGGCCTGGCGCCCCAGGTTCGTCACCCGCACCGTCAAGTGGCAGCTCGGCGGCCATGAATACCGGTGGACTGGCACCAGGCGCTTCATGACGGGACCTTTCAGGAAGTGGAAGGGAGTGTCACACGATTTCAAGGTAAGGTACCTACACACACTCTAAACTCTTCGATCTCCGTCCCGTATGTAACAATGTGACTTATTTTTAAAATTAAAAATAATAAATCCAAAAGCTCGTTGACGATCACGACAACATCATCGCCACCTTCCAAAAGGACCGCTGGGTCTCGTACAAGAGCTCCGAGAAGGTCGGCGCCCCGCCCAACAAGACCCGGTCCTTCGTGGGCAGGCTGCGCAGATACCCTGCCCCAGGCGCCACCCCTTCAGCCAACGAGGTCATTGAGAGCATCAGGTCGTCGCCGCCCGACGGATCCAAGTTTCATAAGAAGCTGGTCAAGCAGCTCAACATCCAGGGCCCACACTCGGGCGATCTCACCGAGGAGGCCATCGCCTTGACGTGCTGGATCGTTGTTGAGGGCGAGCACAGACTGAGGTACAAGATCTTTGATCTGCTTGAGGAGATTGGCGAGACCATTGGAGGCTGATCAGTTTCTCATATTCTCCCTCCTCCTCCTCCTACTATTATTTTCTTGAGAGCCACATACTGGCAAACTGTCATTACATTCACTGTGCTTTCTTTTCTTCTCATCTTCGTGTCTTTTTGCATGAATACCCCTAAGTTTTTTGCTACCTCCACGTTGCCTTTTCCTTTTTATCTCGGATTTCACAAATCATCCCTCATTGGACCGAAATGAATGCCAAATACATAATGCAAGGCCCATCTTCTAGGTAGCAACAGTACAACAATACTCACGTGGCTAAAGCTACAGTATCGACATCATAGTTTGTACACGAACCAAGGGCTTCCCTTGACGAGGCAATACAGTGATCGAAGCCCTGACTGTGCCATTAAGTTCACAAGAGGATGGGTTACAAGGCCCCGGCAAAGCGCCCTAGATGACAACCTAAAGCTATGTACCCTGAAATTCCGGCTCACCGGCACCCCACACGCCATCCCTTCCCCCCCTAAATGTACAAAACCCAAGGTTTCTTAGTCACCCTTATGCCCGTATATGTCCCCTTATCACTTCACCCAGACGACCCAGAAGACGCAGAACCTAACCCCGGCAAAGGTACCCAGATCTCGAACCCATCCTTGTCCGCCCTGACGCCCTCGCCGCCGGGTATCACCCTCAGAATCTTCTGAAAGTACTTATCCCTAACCACCAACCCAGGCCTGATCCACACACCCCCTTCCTCCTCCTCCTCCTCCTCCTCCTCCTCCTCCCTGCCGGCCTCCTTCTTCTCGTTTTCCTTTCCACCACCCGCCGGCAACTTAAGGGGGAGCAGGCGGTACTCAACAGAGCGCCTCGAGACGGGGAGGAGGTTGAGCGTGGTCTGCTTGGGGCCCGAAAAGGCAAACTGCTCGCTGGGCTCCATGACGAGGCCGAACGTGAGGAAGTGGTTCGAGCCGTTCTCGATCGTGACGGTCAGCGTGACGAGCGGCTGGGCCGGAGAGAGCAGCTGGCGGCGGGAGACGCTTGCCAACACGCGGGGCTCGGTGCCGAAGATTGTGAAGCGCGGTACCGGGAGGGTGGTGGTGTTTACTTTTGCCGAGTTTGCATCATCGGGGGATGCGTCAGATGAGTCTCCTGCTTCTGGGTTTTGGCGGGTCCATTTGACAATGAGCGACATGTCCAGCGACGCATGGCTGCGGTCGTCGACGGACGATTTCTGGGCGACCAGGTCAAAGGCCGCTTCTTCGATTGTCTTGGGGTTGATGAGCCGGCCCGAAACTGGGAGGTCGGTGTGTTTTTGGACGGTGGTGCACTGGATTGATGACGTCGGGGAGGTGTGGATGGAGACGTCGATGTCTACCACGCGCAGGGGTTCCGAAGCGAACGAGGCATATCGGGTTACCAGACACCACGCTTGCGAAATGCCTTTGGGAACGCTAAGGGCGCCATCACTGGCGGTTGATGGTACACTAATACTTTCATGGTCGAAAAGACTGGGCCAGGGGTCCGGATGAACACGAGGTAGGAGCTCGTAGTTGGCCTCGAACGGGTTAACAACGTTGAGCTGAAAGTTGGCCGTTTGTGAAATAGGCGTGCCGGGGTTAGTAGAGAGGAAATAAGTGACTTTGAGTGTCAGGTCATATCGGCTCGACAGCTCAATTGGAGGGAGGCGGAGGGTGATGGTGAGTGATTTGGAGCTTTCGATAGCGCCCAGCGGCGCCCCCGATAGCTTGCTTTCTTCGCTTCGGACACTAGACGAGTTCTGAATCTCGCGTCCGGGAATGTCTACAGCGAACGTCGGTGGTTTCTCGCCGAACAACAGCATGTCCAACCGTGCGACTGCCTCAATGTCCTCGCCATTCTCAATATCAAAACCGAGACTGATGGGCTCGTCTGTATAATACTGCTCCTCCCACTTCGGGCAGCTTATCTCCATTTTAGGGGGCCTCGGCAGAACCCGGATAGTCAGGGGATGCGCTCGAGGAACATGTTTGGTGGAAGAGGCTGAGATATACCAGAGGTTCAGGCTGCTTCTCTCCCGGAACATCAAGGACTGTTCCAAGTTGAAGGCCTCATTCTCGAGATACATGACCACGGATTCTGCCCGTGTCTCGCCGGGTTCGCGCAGGGGAATCTCCATATGTAGCACTAGGGTTTGGCCAGGTCGTAATGTCAAGTCTGCGAAGCCACTGAGTGTAACTTTGTTGGCAGCATCGTCTGACTCGGTGGACTCGGATATCCCGTCGTCACCCGCTTGGGTTGTCAGTGATACAGCAAATAGTGCCGCGTTGCCGGATATCTGACGTTGTGCATGCTCAGTTCCTTGGTGCCTCAGAATGATAGCGTCAACACTGCCCCTGAAGTGCACGCGAATTCTGCTAAGAGCGACTGGCGTGGACCTCCTGTGAGCATCTGATCTGATGCACAGCTGGCCGCGGACGCTCTGGCCGGCCTTGCCCTCTTCATGGTTGAAGAGGAAGGATGCAGAGATGAAGGAGAGGATCTGACCGTCTCCAATGGAGACAGTGGGCCTGGATTTGGTGTTGATGCCTTCCAAAGATCTCAAGATGTTATAATGCCAGTCGGGACGCTCTGTGAAGCCTACGATCGAGTCAGCAGGGTGGGCGAGCAGGGAAATTGGCGGCTATGATAGTGGATGGGCCAGAACGTGAGACATACTTCTTGATAGCAACTCCCAATCAATGGCTATCACCAACTCAGCATTCCCAATAGCTGCAGCCGCCGCCCTGAGAATACAGTTCAGCTCCTCGACTATTTCTACCCAGCCCTCCTTTCTAAACGGCAGGTCTTTCCAATGAGGGCGCAAAAGTTCTACAATATTTTTCCAATCTTTGGCGACGGCGAGCTCTCTGGCGCATTCCAATGATACCTCAGCAGCAAGCCGGACTTGGCCGCGCTTCAAGAAGTCGGCGCGTGCCCGCAGCAAGCGATCAACGATCATCCGGCCGTGGTCTACTCCAGTGTGATTTAGGGGGTATTCTTCGAAGGGGTTTGGACACATGTAGGTGTCGTACGAAAAGGCAGATTTGGCAACGTGAGAAGCCGGCGAGGCGCTGGGTGACCTCCTGTCATCTTCGGGAATAGAGTGAGCTAGGGCCCTCCGAGAGCGCAAGTGCTGTGCCGCCAAGAGGTACCAGTAGCCCGTGTGGTGGAGCAGCTCCCAAGGTCGCAGACGCTCTCCCATCACGCTCTTCTCGGGTGGGAGGCATAACCTCGGAGCTGACGGCCCGAGTTCAGGGATATCGGCTTTTTCAATGAGGTCGGCCATGACGTCGGCCCAGCGAGCCTCCCAAGCTTCCCAGCCATAGTTGTTGGTACCCCTCCCGCGGCGGTCGACAAAGTCAGCTATCCTCTCACGGTGAGACTGCCACCGCCGAACAGCGGCGCTGTACTGCCCGTTCCAGAGCAAGCATCGCAGACAGCGCACCGCGATAACGTCGGCGAGGAACCTGGCCTCGTTCCACCGCGGGCTCCAGCTCGGAATAAGTTCCATCAGCTCTGAGCTCAGCAAGTTCTCGTAGGCCTGCTCGTACGAGCGCAGGGCAACGTCCATCTCGAGTCGATATTCTGCGAAAATGGCAGACTTGAAATCATAGCGCACGTTCCACCCTGCCAGCGAGAGGGTCTGCGAGGTGCCAGACGTCGGTGGCACTGTCGGCTGAGGGGCAATTCCCCTACTTCTCTTTTTCCGGGCGTGTCGCCCAAGGTCCCGGTAGTACTCAAGAGCTATGCTGTAGAGTGTTGTGAGCATGTTCTCGGCCACGCGCTCGAGCTCGTCCTGAGAGTCACTTGGCGGCACCAGGAACAGCACCTTTGGATCTAAGCCGCATCCTTTTCGTATGGTCTCGAGTCTTTCCTGGACACTGTCGACGGAGTGGCTCGTGTGGTCGCTCAAGAGCACCACTGCCAGCCGCGTCTTGTAGCCGGACTGACTCAAGAGGGCCCTGATATTGTTCACATCCGTCTTGATTTGGTTATCGCAGAGCGTGGCGAGGGTAGGGTCGGAGGAAAGCGCGTAGAAGCAGAGCAAGACGCTGGGAACAAAGTCGCGATGTTTGCGGATCCATTGTGTGTCGATCAGACCGTCGGGATACAGCGGGGAGACGGGACTCAAGGGGGAGTATGGTGAGTGGAGCACTGTGGACGGCGACGGCGAAGGAGCTTCGAAGCCGTCTGGGAGACGGGCACGGCGCGGAGGCAGTAGAAGCGACTAGATGGATTGGATCGGATCAGAACTAGACGGTACTTTTTGTGCCGGGCTTGTCTTGTACGCACCCTTTCGGCCGTTTGGATCTTGAAGCGGTATTTTCTGGACATGTCCCGTCCATTGCATGGCAATTGTGAGGCATCGCGATCCTGCAGGTAGCGCAGCAGCGCGCTCGCTGGGTCTGAGTCGAGGGATGGAAGCTCTGACCGGATGAGAACCGCCTGTTCCTTAAGTGCAGGACTCAGCTGCGGGTCATATGGTGTGCCCGTACGTGTCCCCAGAGTGAGTAGAAAAGGAATTGCGTGTTCCAAACTGCCCGCGGGATATTCGTCCATTGTGCCGGTCAAGGTGGTACCCCTAATACTCTATCGGTCCGGATTTCCTTTGGCGGGTTCGATTTCAATGACGGCAGTCGGGTCACAGTCGAAGCTTGCTGGCACACATATGTATAACTGTATAACTTGGTAATTGGTTTAGATCTGCAGCTCACTTATACACCCGTGCTTAGGCTTGTTCGTTTGTTCGCAACCTTGCAGGGCTGCGCGCCTGCGATTCTCATCCAGAGATTCAGCTTCCGCTGTGGGGCCACGGGTATGCAGTCTATGGACATCATACGGGATTTGGCCGCTGGAGTTCACAGTCCTGGAGGGAGCGGTTGGGCTTATCTTATCGTGAAGTGGGTCTGGAGCTGTTCCTGAGCTAGCATGGTGGGGCAAGTCGCGTTCCTGACTCTAACGTTATTAGTTTGGACGCGGCAACGCGTCCTCCATCAATTTGACCATAACCTTGATGTAATTCTGACCCCCCCGTCAACCCGCACAGCACACCATCCTTCCGATGCATAGACAAACAGAGCTGCATAACTGTATTATCACCGCGCCCACCCAACCCAGTGTGCGCCGATACTCAACGAACCGGAGGCGTCTGCACAGGTAGCCTGGAAAGCATTTCCAGTTTAGGTGCAATGCCTCTGCAAAAGTCCTTCTCCGAGCAGACCAGAAGCTCAAGAGTCAGTCATATCCCCGTGCCAGGCCGTTGTCGTCGGCAGAATGAAGATAGAAATCGAAATCGCGTGCTCTGACAGGCTATAGCGACCACAATGGCAACGATCAAGGAGCAATCCCACCCCCCAGGTTACCGTTTCAAAGCCTCCTCCTCCTCCTCTACCCGTGTCCGACAAGACCAAGAATAAACTGCTGGCCTTCCAATTCGACCCTCAACCTTCCGAGCTACCCAAAGCCAGCAAACCAACCGGTGGCGACGCCCAAGACTCAACCTCGAACCAGGTCTTGCCGTCAGCAGCTGACACCGCCGAAGCGACTGCAACACCAGCTGGTCGTCCTACATGGCAGGATCTGCTGGGAGAGTCCGAGGTTCCCAAGACAGACCAAGAGCGCTCCCCCGGCGAGCGGATTCTATGGTGTAACGACTACAATGCCAGCCAGCCCATTGCCATCTCCCCGCTTCTCCCTCGAAAGGGCCGCAAACGCGCCAGAAGCTCGTCACCTACCTCGTCTCCAACCGCCAAGCATCTAACACCTGGAATCGACGCCAAGAAGCTGGCTCAAGTCCTCAAAACACCCCGCGCCGACCCGGCCTCGGAACTATGGGACCGGTTTTCCCTCCCTGGCAGAGAGGCCAGCCCATCCGGCCTGACGAACCCGCTGCTGGCACAGCTCATGGTGTCGTCCTCTCCTCGGCCACCTGCCGAGGGAGGCGGACTAAGCAACGACAGGTCGCTAAGGAAGACCGTCAGTTGCGGTTCTCACTGGCCCAAGAGGAGGAAACTTGAGCGGGCCCACTCGGATAAAGGGGACAGCGTCGCAAGGGACAGCATTGCAGCTTCTAAATCGTTCATGGTGTCGGCCCTGCTGGAGACGGTCGATGGTGAGATCAGGAAATCGAAGCCGGCGGATATCAAGGCAAACCAACAAGCGCAATCACCGTCGACAAGAACGACAAAGGTCCCCAGTCCTGCCAGACCGTCCCCTAAACGACCACAACGTGGGAGCTCTCCGCTGGCCCAGAAGTCGGCCCGAGCGGGCATCGAGGCAAATGGAATCATCGACGTCTCTTCTGGAGAAAAGGTCTCCTCAGACTATGGAGATGATGATTTTGACGACGAGACCTTCATGGAGCTCGAAGCAAGCATCAACCTGGCACAAGGGGATGAAAGCACTCTTGTCATGTCAGACGACAACAGCCCTGAGCCGCAAGCCATCAAAACGCTTGAGGATGAATTCGGCGATCTGGATGACGACCTCTTCGATGGTGCTGTAGACTTGGTGGCCGAGGTGGAGGCAAAACATCTTTCTCAGAATCAGCCCGATGGACAACGGCACCAGCCCAGTTCCCTTGGGTGGGGGGAAGATGAAGCTTTTGAAGACGATTTTCGCGATATCGACTTTGAAGCTGTCGAGGTTGCAACAACCAAGGCGGCTTCTCACCCCTTTTCGTCCCATGTACGTACAACAAGATAGCCAACATTTTCTACGGCAAAACGCTAAAGTATTGAGCATAGCTCAGTCACAAACCCAAGGCGATTCAGCGGTACTTGATCACGAATGTTCTCGACAGCTCATATGCCGATGAGAGAGGTCGCGAATTTTGTGAGAAGGTAAGAGGCACCGTCCTCCTGTAGGATAGCTGCTGATATAAGTAAAGATCCTCCTCGTGCAAGCAGATGGGACGGATGCTGTCAAGACGGTTCATCTCAGGGGAGATTGGTACGACACCCAAGCAAGTCCCAAAGCCTATGTCCACATCATCGGCAATTTCGAGCCTTCCGGCCGCTGTATTATCGACAACAACCACAACATTCTCATTTTGCACCCCGACCAATTGGTTTCTTCAACCGTTGTCGCAGACTCGTTTACGTGCATGCGGCGTGCAGTTCTCCAAGACAGAGTCAAAGCCACCAGCGAGGCAACCCCTGCGCTGGTCTATGGCACCATCCTCCATGAAATCTTTCAGGACGCTTTGATGGCCAACAACTGGGACTTGGGCTTTCTCGGATCTGTTATTAACAAGACTCTGAAGAAGCACCTTGAGGACCTCTACATCATAAAAGTCAGCTTGGAGGACGCGCGCGCTCATGTAGCGTCCAAAATGCCCGAACTCAAATCCTGGGCCGAAACATTTGTATCCGCAAGCCCGAAACAAAACGCCTTTGTCCACGGCAAAAACGGGGAGAAGGTCAACATGTGTGTTAGCAAACTGCTCGATGTCGAAGAGCATGTTTGGTCACCAATGTATGGATTGAAAGGCAACATCGATGCCACCGTCCAGGTCACGATGCGAGAGGGCAAAGCATCCAAGACTTTGACGGTGCCCTTTGAAGTCAAAACCGGAAAGAATGCTACTGCGAACCATCAGGCTCAGACAGTGCTGTACAACCTCCTCCTCTCAGATCGATACGACATTGAGATCGTCTATGGCATTCTCTACTACATGGAAACATCACAGACCTTGCGCATACCTGCGATCAGGCACGAGCTCCGCCACATGATCATGCAGCGAAACCAGTTGGCCTGCTATATCCGGGAGAGGAGCGTTCAGTTGCCGCCCATGAAGAGGAGCAAGAACGCATGTGGGAAATGCTATGCACAGGTCTCGTGTTTCACCTACCACAAACTTGCTGATGGAGGCGACGGTGAATCTAGCGGTTTGCACGAAAAGTTCGACGAGCTTGTCAAGCATCTCACCCCTACCCACAGGGACTTCTTCCTGAAATGGGAGGATCTGCTCACAAAGGAAGAAAGGGAGAGCCAGAAGCTACGCCGAGAGCTATGGACTATGGTCAGCACGGAGCGTGAGAAGCTGGGCCGTTGCTTCTCCAATGTCATAATTGAAGAAGGTTCAGCATCTGAGGATAGGAACCAGGCCAAGATCAACCGGTTTTCGTACACATTCATCAAGGAAAACCCGGCCCCTGGCTTTTCGTTCCTAGACTCGCAACTCACTGTTGGAGAGCCGATCGTCGTCTCTGACGAACAGGGCCATTTTGCACTCGCACTGGGCTACGTAGCGGCCGTCAAAAAGCAGAAAATCGATGTGGTAGTCGACAGGCGTCTTCACAACGCAAGAATTCGGCAACCGGGTTTCGACGCAGTCGACAACCAGGTTTTTGCAAGCATCATGGATGTGGCTCCCGAGGGCGCAAAACCAGAGCAGTGCCAGGGCAAGATCAAAGACGCTCCAGTACGCTACCGGCTTGACAAGGATGAGTTCAGCAACGGCATGGCGACTGTGCGGAACAACCTGGTTCAAGTCATGGCCGATGGTCCGTTTGGATCCGCAGAGATTCGTCGACTCGTTGTCGACCTAGCTCCCCCGAGGTTCAAAACGACCCCAACCCAGTACACAGTACCGGGCAGCAATAGCTTGAATGTGGACCAGAAGGCAGCGGTGGAGAAGGTAATGAGTGCGAAGGACTACGCCCTGGTCCTCGGAATGCCGGGCACGGGAAAGACCACCACCATTGCCCACATCATCCGGGCTCTGATCGGCCAGGGGAAAACTGTTCTTCTGACTTCTTACACACACACTGCGGTAGACAATATCCTGCTCAAGCTCAAGCAAGACAACATTCCCATTCTACGTCTTGGAGCCCCAGCCAAAGTACACCACGAGGTGCGAGACTTTGCCATCTTAGCCAGCCAACCGATGAAGTCGTTTGACGAGATCCGCCAAGCATGGCACGAGACGCCAGTCGTGGCAACCACTTGTCTGGGTGTCAACCACCCCATCTTCAACGAGCGCACATTTGACTATTGCATCGTTGATGAAGCATCGCAGATCACTCTGCCCATCTGTCTGGGCCCGATCCGGATGGCACGCACATTTGTCCTTGTAGGCGACCACAACCAGCTTCCCCCGCTTGTGCAAAACGAGGAGGCACGCGTCGGCGGCCTGGATGTCTCCCTCTTCAAGTTGCTCTCGGACACGCACCCCCAATCAGTCGTCAACCTCGAGCACCAGTACCGCATGTCAGAGGACATCATGTCGTTGTCCAACACGCTCATCTACAACGGTCGTCTAAAATGCGGCACTGAGGCGCTCCGCTTTGCCGAGCTGCATGTTCCCGACATGGACGCCCTTCGCCACAGGCACTTTGACGCGGCCTCCTTCATCTCCCATTCCCAGCAACAGCAGCAGCGCCATCGCAGCCCGTCCACCTCCCCCAACAAAAAGGGCGCGTCTACCAACTTCCTCCCCTGCCCCTCACCCCGCCCCGGAACATGCTGGTTGGCCGACCTTGTCCATCCCTCGGCTCGCGTCCGCTTTGTAGACACGGACGCTCTCCTCCCAGACAGCCGCGAGCAAGCCAAGGGCAACCGCATCGTCAACCCGTGCGAGGCGCGCGTTGTCGCCCAGCTAGTGCGCGCCCTAATCGCCGTCGGCGTCCCGCCGAGCTCGATAGGCGTTGTCACGCACTATCGATCGCAGCTCGCCCTGCTGAAGCACACCCTCCGCGCTACTAGCTCATCTATCATGAGCGGGCCGGCCGCCGCCGAGGTGGAGATGCACACGGCGGACCGGTTCCAGGGCCGGGACAAGTCGGTCGTGCTGCTCAGCCTGGTGCGCAGCAACGAGGCCTGCAGCATCGGTGAACTCCTCAAGGACTGGCGCAGAATCAACGTCGCCTTCACCCGCGCCAAGACCAAGCTGCTCGTCGTCGGCAGCAAGAGCACCCTCGGCGGCTGCGGCGAGGGCGAAATGCTCGCGCGCTTCGTCAGGCTCATGGAGGAGCACGACTGGGTTTATGGATTGAAACCGGGGGCCTTGGATGGGCATCTCTGGGACGATGGAGGAGGCTGTCAGGGGAGTGCTGCTGTTTCTGCTTCTACGCAGGGAATTGTTGTGGGTGGTGGTGGTGTTGGGGGGGGTTCTGATGCTGCTAATGTGCTGGCGAAGGGAACACAGAAGAAAAAGGGGGGGTTGTTGTTATTTGCGGAGGAGACGAAGAGGATGGAAAGGGGAAAGGCAAAGGGCAAGGAGAATCAGCGGATGAGCGCAGGTGCAGGTGCGGGCGCGACGGTGCTGCAGCCGAAGAAGACAGCTCGGATCGGGGAGAGGGCGCTGCTCAGGGGCAAGCCGGTGGTGAGGGACATTTTGAATGACATTATGGATGGCGGGTATTAGTGTTGAGTATCACATGTTCTGTTTCTTCTCTTCTGCTTGGAGTTCAAGGCCAGGATTAGTATGATGGGTATGGCTAGGTTATGTTACCGTTAGGTTAGGTTAGGCTACCTTGTTAGGTGTATGTTGGTAGTGTTTGCTTACTGGACAATTGCCCCGCGGATGCGTGGGTTGGATGCATCGGTTAGCTCGTTGTCTTGACAAGTCAAAGGCATGTTTATTGGCGTCGCTAGGGAACCTCTGCACATTGATAGCCAGATAGCCCCCTGAGGCAGAGTGGGATACATACCGCGGTCCGTGATACCAATTCCCTCTGGGGCCCTAAGCACTTGTATTGTACTTCTGCTTATGCTTGTGAAAGCTGGTAATCGACACTGGCTCCACGACTCACCATCACCTGATTTAGATGCCTTGTATGCATTAATTGACTTATTATATGCCATCTATGGCAGCTATGTTACGTTAGCTTGTCCCAGCTCTTCCTTCAAGGGTATCTGTGTAAGGATCAAAGCCCATGCGCCGTTTCGCCTCGTTCCTCATCCGCCAGTGCGCCTCGCCCTGCGCACCGGTCGTCGAGGTCTCCTCCAAGAAGAACATCAGAATATGGTCAGGGATGGCCAAGTGGGACGTCTGCTGGAACTCCTGCAGACTTGTGAGGCGTATCAGCATCTCCAGCAGCGAGAGGGATGATACGATGGAACCGAAGGGTGATCTGGCAACGTATGATTCCGGTGCCCGCTCGTCGGCTTTCTCGAGCTCGGTAGAGGAGGACTGACGAGAGGGATGAACGGACATGGTTCCTGACTGGAGCGAGATCCGCCGGATCTGGGCCATCAGCTTGGAGTCGACCGAAAGTCCATCTCGTTGGGCCCGCGGCGGAGCAGTTGCCGCGCGTTTTGGTGTGTCACGGTCACTGGCGGACTCATCTCCGATGTCCTCGTCCTCGGATTCGTCTTCGGCGTCGTTATCTTCCGTGTATACCTCCAACGCCAGCCATTCCGGGTCAAGGTGTGGAGGCAAACGGGATACGTACCACCCGTTTTGGCCGCCAGGGGGCGGTGAAGAATGCTCAGTCTCCTCCCACAGCTGCCGGTCAACTTCGTCCTGGTCATCAGATTCTGAGAACTCGGACTGTCCGCTCGCGGCCTCGTGGGGTGAATCATCTTCCGCCTCTGATTCATCAAACCACTCTTTCCGCATTTGGGCTGGTGATTTTGCGTTGACATCCCGCTTCAAGAGCAGGACAGGATTATTGTCTTCTGCATTGCCGATATTGAGAATCCTCCCAGTATCCGTGTAAAAGATTTTGGAGATCTGGTGTATTGGAATCGATTCTCGGATGCCGGCCAATCGAATGTCGTCGAAGGGCTCGGGGTTCCGGTCGCCGCCGTCGTGCAACCTCCCATCATCTAGGTCCTCGATGATCTCCAAGTGGTATGAGTATTCATCTGGTTGTCCTACCACAGACTCTCTATTTCCGGAAATAGGGCGAGTAAGCTGTGAACCAGAAAGTCCTTGGGGTCTGTAACCCAGTTTAGGATCAAAAGTCCAATTTAAGGGGGTCCGGCAGAGCCGCACCCGTGCTTTGTGCATTACCTCCTGCCAAATGGGCTTTCTGTCTCCTTCTTCAAAACCATAGGGCGCCTCAGGGCGCCCATCTTCCTCTGATCCCATAGGCGACGGCGGCGTGTCATGCGCGCCAGGGCAGCGTCCAACCCGTGAGTGACCCAGAAAAAGCATGTAGAGAGACAATGTAAAGGAAGCTCCCACCTGGACTGGTCGGGAGGGTTCAAGGACAAACTGGGCATCCGCAAAAGAAAGCAGGGCACTAGCCTGCATCATTCTTGAAGGCGATATGCCAGGTGTCAGAGTTGCAGACATCTTCTCGCCAGACGCAGTGATGGCCAGCTGGATAAGAGGAATATCGCGGTCAATGCGCTCAAGAAGACGCTTGATGTCGCTAATGATCAGCAAGAGCTCAGCATGGCGGGCTTCCGCCTTCCAGGCCCTGCGTCCCGCATCTTGAGCATCCTCCTCGGCGGTGGCAGCACTATCCAGCCGCTTCCCGAGACGGACGATGTCTCGATGGAGCGACTTGGCAAGTGGCACCGCCGACGCAAGGAAGACGTTTCCTCGGCCGGACCTGGTTGGTTGTATTGCTGTCAGCTTTTCCATGTTCATTATGCAACAAGATTCACAGTTGATGTCTTGTCTTGCACGTACTTGTACTCGATGGAGTCGAGTGCGGGAGAGAGTATCTGTCGATAAATAACAAGCAACATTTAGCCGACATTTTCCATTGCGATCTTGACGCCGCGAAGGGACAAACCTTGATTTTGCTATCGAGCAGCTTCTGCAGCGCCTTGAGCTCTTCACGCACCTCCTTGTCATTGACAGCCTTGAGAAGTCGTGAGCACTGCTGGACTGCATATTTGGACGTCAGAGCGATGCCCGATCTTATGGCGTAGTTGACAGTTTGAACCCCAAGTGTTGCGAGAAGTGCTTCCATGGTCCCTCAGAGAGCCCATTCTCGTGTCTCTGAAGAAGGGAGCATGGTGTGGAAACACATCGATGCTGAGTCTCAAACGTTTGTTTTGGCCAGACTCCGTTCCATCCAATGTTTGTTCGTTCATCGACTTCGCGGCTAGTGAGTCAACAAACGGCCCAATTAGGTACTCTACAATACGAAGTACCCTGACGTTAGGCGTCAAGGCGGGTGTTCAGGGCCTCAAACTAGGCTGACTGTCTTGCGCACTGTGTATAACGCCGGCAGAAATGTACAACAAGCCTGCTCCCACCGTTACGACAGTGAATAAGCTGGAGGGGTAAGCATGTGTGACTGCTGACACAGCACTGTGCGCCCAAAGCCCTCCTTCCCCGCCACCATTCAGGTTTGGTGGGGCAGTGCCAATTCTTCCATCTCTGCCTCGTGCGAAGAAAGAGCAAGAGAAAGAGGATCCACGCCGGTCGACTCACAAAACTTATTGAATTGGTAAGAATCCCGATATCCTCAGAAATCGTACGTTGTCGATAAGGAACAACTTCTCTAACTCTCAGATCCTCGCCTCTCTAGTCGACACTGCTCTCCGATTCCCCGCAGACCAAAGCGATTCCCCGCCCTCGAGTTTTGCCAGTAGAACAATCCCTTTGAAACCATGTCCAACGTTCAGGACTCCTGGGAGGACGACCCGGCGGCTCAGGACGAGAACCTGGCGCGCCAGGCGCAACAGCAGATGAACATCGGTGGCCAGCAAGCTCAGGGAGGGTTCCGGCCCGGCGCTGCCGCTTTCCAGCCTACAGCGCAAACCTTCCAGCCGGGCCAGACATATGCCGGCGGATACGGGTACCAACAGCCTTACTACGGCGGTCAGGGTTTCTACCCCCAATATGGTGGCCAGCAGAATTTTGGGCAGTACGGCCAGCAAGGGTACGGGGCTGTTTACGGCCAAGCTGGTTACAATCAAGGATACGGTCAGTGGCAGGGCTACCAGCAGCAGCAGCAGCAGCAGCAGCAGTTTCAACCCCAGCAGGCCCAGCAGGCCCAGCAGCAAGCTCCCAAGGCCGCTCCCACTGTCGCCAAGCGGCCAGACGCCCCAGCGGATGATGCGCCAAAGCCCACTGTGGCCAAAGAGGGTGGCGCAAAGGTTCTAAGCATAGGCGGGGATGCACCCAAGCCCAAGGCCAAGGTTCTGTCCATCGGCGCGACTCCCCCTGCCAAGGAGGAGCCAAAGAAGGAAGAGCCGAAGGTGGAGGAGACAAAGAAGAGTGAGGCAAAGAAAGAAGGGACTGCGGAAGCGGCCGCTAAAGTAACGGCCGCCAAGGCGATCGATAAGACAGACGCAAAGGGGGCCAGCAGCGGCAAGACTTCACCCACTCCTTCGTCGGGCCGTTCCAGTCCATCTCGCGCCGCCAAGACTGCTGCTGCCCGCGATGTCGACGCCGTTGAGAAGGAGCAGGCGGCAGATGTAGACGAGGAGACGCTCAAGGAAATATACGGCAAAGAGCACGTCAACATCATCTTCATCGGCCATGTTGATGCGGGCAAGAGCACACTAGGAGGCGCCATCCTCTACGTCACAGGGATGGTCGATCAGAGAACGCTAGACAAGTACAAGAGAGAGGCCAAGGAGATGGGCCGCGAGACGTGGTATCTATCGTGGGCTCTCGACTTGACAAACGAGGAGCGCTCCAAGGGTAAGACTGTCGAGGTCGGCCGTGGTTTCTTCGAGACGGAGAAGCGACGGTACAGCATTCTTGATGCGCCCGGCCACAAGACGTACGTGCCAAACATGATTGGCGGTGCGTCGCAAGCAGACGTCGGTATCCTGGTCATCAGCGCACGGAAGGGCGAGTACGAGACGGGTTTCGAGAAGGGCGGCCAGACCAGAGAGCATGCCATGTTGGCCAAGACACAAGGCGTGAACAAGCTGATCGTTGTCATTAACAAGATGGACGACCCCACCGTCAACTGGTCCAAGGAACGCTACGTCGAGTGCACCACCAAACTGCAGCAGTTCTTGAAAGGCACTGGGTATAACCTCAAGACCGACGTCTTCTTCATGCCGATTGCTGCCCAGCAGACCTTGGGCATCAAGGACCGCGTCCCAAAGGACGTGTGCCCCTGGTACGACGGACCGTCGCTCCTCGAGTATCTTGACGGCATGCAGGCGCTAGAGCGCAAGGTGAACGCGCCGTTCATGATGGCGGTTGCGGGCAAGTACCGTGACATGGGCACCATGGTCGAGGGCAAGATCGAGGCGGGTGTTATCAAGAAGGGCATGAGCGTGATCATGATGCCCAACAAGCAAACCGTTGAAGTGGCGGCAGCTTATGGCGAAACCGAGGATGAAGTGGCTATCGCTCAATGCGGAGACCAAGTGCGCCTCCGGCTTCGCGGTATCGAAGAGGAAGAGATTCTGCCTGGATTCGTCCTCTGCTCGCCCAAGCGTCTGGTGCACAATGTCTCGCAGTTCGAGGCACAGATTCGAATTCTCGACCTCAAGACCATCCTCACGGCTGGCTTCAACTGCGTTCTGCACGTCCACGCCGCCATTGAGGAGGTTACCTTCGCTGCCTTGCTCCACAAGCTGCAGAAGGGGACCAACAAGAAGAGCAAGCTGCCTCCTACGCACGCCAAGAAGGGCGACAGTATCATTGCCATTTTGCAGGTGACGGGCGGGGCTGGGTCAGTCTGCGTTGAGAGGTTCGAGGATTATCCTCAGATGGGTCGCTTCACGCTCCGTGACCAGGTGAGTCTACCCATTTCCGGGGTGTCTTATACAGCGCATACTAATTTTACCTTTCAGGGGCAAACCATTGCCATTGGCAAGATCACCAAACTCATTCAGGACGGCACCAGTGCTTAAGGCATGATTTTGTTGTGTAGTTCCTCGCGGCCAGCCCCTGTTGCACAGGAGAGAGCAGGGGCTGCTTAGAGGAATGCGGCTCGGCGGGGTTGATGATATTCGGCACGACTGGTGTTATATGATAGAATTGGTCCGTTTGGCGATATGAACAAAAAGTTATTCTCTCCACGAACAGCTTCTGCGGTATTGGGCCTCTGTCTGACCGAATACTCGTTGCTGAGATCATCGTGATGGACACGGATGGAGTGGGTAGGTATAACAACACATGATGACCACCCCCTGCGTCACCTCCGGCCACTCGATTGCCTCCTGCAGTAGGTAGCAATTTCACGATCTGCGCTCTGCGCCTGGGCCTCCCATCGCCTCCCAGGAGTGCCAGGGCTCCTCTGGATGTAAGTCGTTTGGAGCGGGGCAACGGGAGAAGGCGGGCCCCATCTTTGGGCAGGCCTTGAGAGCCAAAGAGTGAGGTAATTACGGTAAGATAGTGAGTCACTAAGACAAGCAGGTGACGGCGATGGTCTCCTGGACTCACCGAACTTGAGATATTCGGGAGATCCAGTCATAAATACATACACGTGTAGTAGGTCGGTAACCTGGAATTCATTTTGGACTACTCTTATGCATGGACCCCTCTCGATTCCACCTTTTCGGCACCCACCTTTGCAACTAAAGAGTGTGGAAAACCACTTACCGTAAGGTACTTCCTACCTTACCAACCTGAGAGCATTTGACTTCATCTCCATGCTGGTCATCTGAGGCCGACTCGGCTGCTTCAAACCTAGAGTCGAGAATCGAGATATCTCTCCAAACCACTACTGTTTCTCCCTCCATTACTTCCAGGTTTTCAGCACCAGCATCATCACAACCCACCATGGCAACACCTGCGGAGACAATCAACGTCGAAGGGCTCTTCTCAGTCAAGGGTCTTGTAGCTCTCGTCACGGGAGGCGGCACAGGTGAATCACCCGAATTCAATCCCTCCCCCCTTTTTTGTCCACTCTTTGCCCCTTTACTTGCCGCAGACACGAACAACCGGCTAATGAGTAAGCGAGGGACATCGCGCTTGCAACCTGACTAGGCATCGGCCTGATGATAGCCAAGGCGTTGGCCGACGGGGGCGCGGCGCGCGTATACATTGTCGGGCGGCGGGTGGACGTGCTGCAGCAGGCGGCGGCGTCCATAAACCGGCCGACGGTGGTGGTGCCCCTGTACTGCGACGCCACGTCCAAGGTCAGCCTCGAGAGCATCGTGTCCGTCGTCGAGACTGACGTCGGCCACCTCGACCTGCTGGTCTGCAACGCGGGCATCGGCGGGCCCCAGGTCAAAGCCCCCGTGCCCGGGGTCACGACCCTTGATGAGTGGCGCGACTCTCAGATGGCGATTGACTTTGAGGATTTCACCAATACCTTCCGCGTCAATGGTACTAGTGTCTGGTTCACGGCCATGGCGTTTCTCAAGTTGTTGGATGAGGGGAACAAGCGGAGAGCAGGGAACGGGCCGAGCAGCCAGGTCGTGGTCACGAGCAGCATTGCCGCGTTTAATAAGGCAGCGCCAGGAGGGTGGTATGTTGGTGATCGCGGCACTGTTTACTCCTTACAAGTATTACTAACATCGCTAAACAGGGCGTACGGTGCTAGTAAGGCTGCGGCGACGCATATTGCAAAGATGCTGAGCGTTGTGCTGCCCACTTGGGGGATCAGGGCGAATTGCCTCTGTCCCGGACGTACGTGGTGCTTCCCTCCAGCCTGTCAACGGTGCAGAAAGATTGCTGACCTGGCAACCATTCAGTGTTCCCAAGCGAGATGGCTGCCCCCATTGTCGAGGCTGCAGGCGGTTCCATTACAGGCGGTGGCATCATCCCCCTGGACAAGAGAATAGTGCCCCTTGGCCGCATGGGTGACAATGTGGACATGGCCGGCCAGATTCTCTACCTCGCCTCGCGCGCCGGCGCCTATCTCAACGGAAACACGATTGTGGTGGATGGTGGCCGGTTAGGAACTTTCCCAAGTACCGGTTATTGATGCTTGATGCCTGGCCGGCCACCCGGAATTCTGAAAACAGAAAATGAAGACGGCGTCTTCGGGGCATATTGTAGAATGCCAAAGACAGATGCAGATAATCCGAGATGTCTTGGGCCATGCATCGCAGACCTTGTCAGTCAGTACCTGTGGGATGGCCAACCTAAAAACGACAGCACTTTACGGGCAGATTACCGGCATGCCTGAAGATAGGTACAGCAGTCACCTCGCATTTTCAGCTTCTGGTATAGAAAGGAAAGGTTAGATGGGAACTGCCCGCCAGCTTGGAGGAAAGCAACTGCCCCTGAGGCAAGACTTGGGTACGGGGCGACTCACTGCGGGCGTCGCTCCTGCTCTCCTCCCATGCGGATGCCCACGAAAGGGGCAAGTCCAACTCAACCCTTTCTGTTTCGCGCAGTATAAACCCCCCCCCCCCCCTTTCTCCTCCTCCCTCGCCCTCAGAATATTGTGCGTCGGAACCAAGCTCGTCTGATCCTGCGCGTCCCATGGCAGGTGGAAAATAATCACAGGCAGGGTACCGGTACTTTGAGAGTCATCGACCTCTGTCTCAAGTTTTGCATGTGAAAAATGTCGAGCTGGTCCTCTCTACTAGGCCCCTTGACTCCTTGACAGACCTGGACTGGCACAGAGGTATTGTACTGTACAGTACATACATGCTACGCATCCCACACATAAACACCAGCCGGTTAAACCCACCAAAGCTATCTGGAACTCACCTGTTTTGGTTGCTCCGACACGCTCCAGTCCTCCTTAAAACCGATCAGATAACCTAGTTCACATACACAAGACAAATACAGCAACTCACCCTGTGACGTCACTGTTGGGTTTCAGCAGGCACTTGGTTACGAAGCAGCCACTGCACTCTAAGGTAACTAAGGTACCTTATGTAAGCACCCTTCGCTTAGCGCAGACGAAGACATGAGATGTGAGACTCTTGTTCTAGGTTTGACTGTCAAGTTCTTCGACAGCAAATACTTGCGAAAAACCAAGCCACACGATGTCTCTACTAGTAGTCCCTCCCATAGCCTCGGGAATCGGGATAGTGTATTATCGATAACGTTACGGAGTAGCCAAGCTGCCAAGATGGTTCAATGAATGGGATAGACCCACTGCCATAAGATGACGAACATGGACAAATACTCTGTCCTTCGTACCTCATGTGTAAGTCGGGGTGCGGCAGCGACTTTCGAACCCCAACGTCCCACAGGTTGCGCACAATGAGGCCATGGACTTGGACCTTATGAACCACCCATTACCTCCGTACGGGTGCTGGAGATTCAGGTAAGCTTGTCTTACCGGAACCACTTCTGTAACCTCAAGCAGAATGTACTCTACTGTACGAGTGCATAAGGTACCTAATCCGAAGCATCGCGGGGTCAAGTTGGTGTGCTTGAGTTGCCTGCCTCCTCCAACCTCGGGCATGTTAAGTCCCTGGTTCTGGGGAGGAAAATGTCCCTCGGCACTGTTGACTACGGTACCTGGCGAATCTGAGCTACATAGGTGACAGAGCAGTGAGAGAACAGCAAAGCATTCTGACAGAGGAGAGGGGCTCGAGGGGTACCTGTAGGTAAGTCGGCAAGAATGTGGTTAACACCAGGTTCATTCCTACCCCCCCCCCCCCCATAGCTAGGTGTGGCAGAAACATTCCCATCCCCCGTCGAATGCTGTCCTACCCACTACTTTTGCCAGTGTAGCCTGACCTGAAGACCGCGGTTGGCCTGACATTCATCTAAAGATTCGACGATCCGATTTGGAGTCAGTACGGAGCGTGCTGTATAACTCGGGCAGTCTCCTCGCTCCATCCAAGGGATGAAGAACTGCGCCGACATGTCCAGGCAGCTAGTAGTAGGTAGCTGGAGAGCAACACAGATGCCGAGAGACTTGCCTGACCCCGCTCTCGAGCAATGCGCATGCAACTGCATTCATCCCGCCGTATATGAAGATGTCAGTTCCCTACCTTAGGCAAGCTGAGGCAAGGTATTTCGTAACCTAGAGATGGCCAGACTGAGCAAGCCGAGCCGGGGGCTTTCTCGCAGGCATGGCAATGTCGCAACCCGGCATGTTTTAAACTGGGAGGTCAGTGTAACAGGAGTCCAGCGCTCACAACACCCAACCAACAGTGATTGATGGCAATATTCGGTAGTCGTGCAAGGTTACGGAAAGGGGAAAAGCCATTCATGATGCAAGCCGCACTTTCCCGCTGGCGTGGGCTTGGATGGTGTGGTAGGGACGCCGGACCACCAATACTGGATGTATGTACTGTACATGTACAGGACCTACCCTACGTCAAGTACCGATCGCCCCTCGCATGGGCCATACAAGAGATGAAAATGAACGAACGAGCTATGGCGGGGTCATAAATACACCAAGGGAAGGCAAACCGGTGACACTTGCTAAGAGTTAAACTTGGCCAGGGCCCCTCCTTTGTCTTGGGGCTTTTCCTTCCCTCAACATCTACTCGTCAACTGTTGAGACAGATGTTTCAAGTTCTCCGCGGTCCATCTCCCTAGCTGAAAACAATAGAATCGTCATAGAGGTTCACCTCCCTTTTGCACGTTATCTTGCTGTCCTGCCGCGACATCTCCGGTTATCTCATCTGGAGTCCGTCCGACCGACCAGCTTGGTGGCACGCGACCCCGCTTTGGCTCCCCTAACGCCCGGCGCAAGGTACCGCACGTCCGAAGCCACGCCACGACATCGTCAAACGAGTCCAAAGCGCTGATTCTTTGGCTATATGTGAATAGTTACTGAGAGGGCACCAGTTGTGGTTTCTTCACAAAGACTGTTGGTTCTTTTTGGGCAAGGTAGGTTCATTCAGTTCTGAGTTGAAGGGACTTGGCCGTTTCCCATTCCTGCACCCCCAAACTTCCAGGTTGGGGGAGCTCCACAGAAGCCGTGCCCCATCGCCGAAGCGGCTGCCCCAGCGATCCCAGGATTACCGCCGCATGCAGCCGGGCTTGCCCGAAGTCCACATCTTGCTCCCCAGGGAGCCCAAACACTCGCCGCTCCAGATTCCGATATCTCCCACGTAGCTTTTGGTTGCCGACCATTGCCGGCGATCATCGCTCTTGGCACGGTCAGCTCGCCATGGACCGTGTCAACCCTGATGGACCCTGGACTTCTGACGGCATCGACATATGGTGGCTCACCGGTCTCGGTTGTTGGCAGTCTTTGGTCCTTTGGCATTGACAACACCCACATTTGAGGGCCGATCATAAAAGTGAGCGCCGGCTAACGAATTTCTCGCGGTATTGCAGGGGCTTCAATCTCCGACCTGTGTTCGCGAATTGTGTATAAGAAAAAGTAGGGAAGCTTCGAGGGACCGAGTGGTCAGCCAATCCTTCCATTGTCTTTCGAAATAAGAGTTCACTTTTTGTCATGTCCAACACGGTTAAGCAGGCGGCTGAAGCAGCACGGTCCAGGGGATCTGAAGTCATGGGCACTGCCAAGACGGTCAAGAGCGACAGCGCCGTCATGGCCAACGACTTTCTTCACACACCGTTCATGCGAGCTGCCCTGCCCTTCATCAATGGCGGAATCAGCGGCATGGTGGCCACCACAGTCATCCAACCAGTCGACATGATAAAAGTGCGCATCCAACTCGCAGGCGAGGGCAAGGCTGGGGGCCCGAAACCAACGCCTCTTTCAGTCACTCGCGAGATCATGGCCAGCGGCAAGGCGCTTGATCTGTACACGGGTCTGTCAGCCGGCCTGCTTCGACAGGCTGTATATACCACAGCGCGTCTCGGCTTCTTCGACACATTCATGGCGAGGATGGCAGCGCGTGCCAAGTCCAAGGGTTCGTCGGTTGGCTTCCGTGAGCGCGCGACGGCGGGTCTCGCAGCAGGCGGGCTTGCAGCCATGATCGGGAATCCCGCAGATCTCGCCTTGATCCGGATGCAAAGCGACGGCCTCAGGCCGGTGGCGGATCGGAAGAACTACAAGTCGGTCATTGACGCGCTCAGCTCCATCGCCAAGAGTGAGGGCGTCGGCGCCCTGTGGGCCGGGGCGGCACCAACGGTGGTCCGGGCCATGGCGCTCAACTTTGGCCAGCTAGCCTTCTTCAGCGAGTCCAAGGCGCAGCTCAAGGCGAGGACGAACATGTCGGCAAACGCGCAGACGCTCAGCGCAAGCGCCATTGCCGGCTTCTTTGCGTCCTTCTTCTCGCTGCCGTTCGATTTTGTCAAGACGCGGCTGCAGAAACAGCAGAAGGGGCCCGACGGCAAGCTCCCGTACTCGGGCATGGCTGACTGCTTCGCAAAGGTGGCCAAGCAGGAGGGGCTGATGCGCTTCTACCGCGGGTTCGGCACGTACTATGTCCGCATCGCGCCTCACGCGTAAGTGGTTGTGCCTCGCTGGGCTTTGGTTGATCGCTCTCTTCAAGTTGCTGACAAATGTCTCTGGGTAGGATGGTGACCTTGATCGTGGCCGACTACCTCGGGTGGCTCACCAAGTAGATTGGCTGTATGACCTGTGGCATATTTTCTGTGACGGACTCTTATGCTGGGCTGCATTGGAAGTTATCTGTATGGTTCGGCGTTGAGGCATCCATGTTTCCCCTGACATTAAGGGGATTTTTTAGTATTAGTCTTTTGGCGGATGACTGATGATCAAGGTTAAGTAGTGTTCGTATACCATGGACCTTCAGGAGTGAAGCAGCATAGTTGGGGACTTTGATCGGACTTTCCGAGTGCCATGAGACCCTTGAATCTTCCCTGTTATAGTGATCCGGTTCGAAGCATTATAAGTGCCAGCAGATGAACCCGTCAACATGGAAAGAAACGTGGGAGGATTTCAGAAATTCAGATCGAATGCTAAAATTGGCACAGGCAGGGCCCCGAGATCGGATAAATCTCGGCCGATCTAATTTTCGCAGGGGTGTCGTAACACACTGTGTATTGTACTTGAAATCAATGTTTCCGTACTGTAGAATACCATACCCCTCGAGGCTCAACGTTCCAATGTTCAGTCCAAGCGATTTGGAACCTGATTCTTCAAGATTTCCAATACAATAATTTGGACGGCGCTTCTCATAGTTGTGTCTTTCGAAGATGTGCCTAGGGAACGGCCATGGATGCGGACTGGGACGAGGTGAGTTACTTTCACCAACAAAAGAATAAACGAGTTCGCACCTGTGCTGCGCAATGGCCCCGCGATAGTTGTGGTTTCCGAGACCCGAGATGGCGTTGCAGTTTTCGCTGACCGTGTTTCTTACCTCTGAGCAGGTCGCCCGCATCGCCTTCCCGGCGCCGGGCAACAATGACTACCCGAGACCGGCCACCGCTCTGGCCTGCGACCCCCTCGCCGAGCTGCTTTGGGTGGGCAGTGACCGGGTATGTCATGTCTCATACTTCTTTTCTTCTCGGCGTCTTGTCCGGCATATTGCTGACAGCCCCAGGGCCGTGTCGCGTCGTTTTACGGTCGCGATCTGCAGCGGTACACTGCCTTCAAGATCCAGCCGCCTGCCGAAGGACCCGTTCGGCAATTCCTCTTTCACGACAAGGGCGTTATCGCCCTCGGGACACGGAGCGTCCATATGGCGATGCGAAGGGGCCCGGCTTTGTGGAATATCCGGTACGGCTGCCGTCGGGCTATAACCAAGAACGAGGGGATGCTGGGAATGCTGGAGACGCTGACCGACGCTCAATTTGCAGCCATGAGGACATGAAAGACTTGCGGTGCATGAGTTTCACCTCCAAGGGCGCTTCTGAAATTCTCGTTGCCGGTTGGCAGGACACCATGTTCATTATCGACGTGGCCAAGGGCGAAATCATTAAGCAGGTGGGTGATTCCCCGTATCAGCCCTGATGTGCCCTCATCCACGCTTGGCCCGCCCCTTACGCTTACTGAAAAAGGTCCCCACCGAACATCACTACATCATTATGAAAAAGAGCAGGTATATATGCGCTGCCACACGAACCGGCTGTGTCAACCTCCTCGACCCCATCTCTTTCAAGGTTGTTAGGACTTGGCAGGCTCATGCCTCGTACATCAACGATATGGACGCCCAGAACGACTTCATTGTCACCTGCGGAGGCTCCCTTAAGCAAACGACTGCCCAGGCCTATATGCTCGATCCCTATGTCAACGTCTTCGATCTCAAAAACATGACCTCGATGAAGCCTATGCCCTTTCCGCCCCTGGCGGCTCACGTTAGATTACATCCGAGGATGTTGACGACGAGCATCGTGACATCCCAACAAGGACAAATGCACGTTGTGGACATTATGAATCCTAACTCAAGCAATGTCAGATACGCCAACATTCTATCCTTCATCAACCTGTTTGAAATTGCGCCGTCTGGTGAGGCACTTGTCATAGCCGACACGGACTGCAACATCCATCTTTGGGGTTCACCCTCCAAGGTCCACTTCACCGACATGGCGCTTCCTATCGAGCTGCCGGAGGCCGAGGAGCCTCCGCCGGTACTGGACTGGTCGCCCGATACGTAAGCTAAATCAATTGAGGACGTAGCCACCTGAACGCTGATTTTTTTGCCAGGCCCCTGAGTTCTGTAGGCATGCCCTACTACCGCGAACCATTATTCTCGGCCTGGCCTGCCGATATCATTTCCGATGTTGGCGCGCCCCCAGTTCAACTTGATCCGGCCTTTCTCGCTACTCTGAAGCAGACTGAATGGGGCTTGTACGGTCGCAATACCCGAGGCTTGCGTCGCAACCAGGTTGAGGATACCCGGGCTGCCGCGAAGGCATCTAGCGCCATGCAGCCGCCAAAGTTCCTGAGCGAGAAGGCGCGGGAATTGGCCCTCTCCTCCGCACAAGAGACTCCCTCCGGGGGGAAAGCAGATCAGGTACCAGACTCCTCGTCGACAAATGAACTCGAAAGCCTGAAGCCCGAGGCTCCCCCCATGTACAGAAACCTAGAGATCAAGTACAGCAAATTCGGTGTCGATGATTTCGATTTCGGGTAAGCTTGGACCCCCTCGGGCCGCCTGGAAAAGGGGCTGACAAGAGTGTTTCCGCAGCTACTATAACAAGACACAGTACGCCGGCCTCGAGAATCACATTCCGAATTCGTACGCGAATTCACTTCTGCAGCTCATGCACTATACCCCACTTCTACGGAATTTTGCGCTTCAGCACGCCGCGACGGCATGCTCGAGCGACCTGTGTTTGCTTTGCGAGTTGGGCTTCGTTTTTGACATGTTGCAGAAGGCCGAGGGTTCGACATGTCAGGCGACCAACATGCTCAAGGCGCTGAGCAGCACTCCTCAAGGTTCGTCAACCTGTCATAGTTAAATCTCTCGGCTAGGCATAGGAATCGATCGCTAACTTAGCGCAGCGGCTCGTCTGGGTCTGCTGGATGAGGAAACCCATGTACCATCGTTGGCGACAATGATTCAGGGACTTGGTAGATTCCTCTTTGACCGGATTGACCATGAATACCGGAGTATAACGCCGGCTTCCACTGCCTTGGAACAGGCGCTCTTTGATCTCCCACAACCCCCAAACCCTGACGACCTGGCGTCGAAGGTGCTCAACACGTCAGCTGTGGTCATGATTAAGTGTAACAACTGCAGGAGCGAAACCACACGTCCCGGTACCGCACACGTCAATGACTTGATGTACCCTGCTCCAAAGGCAGCCGGGAGGGCCGGCAGGGCCACCAAGACGACTTTTTCGCAAGTGCTGAAAATGGGTGTCGAAAAGGAGACGGCGTCCAAAGCATGGTGCAGCAGGTGCCAGCGGTACCAGAACCTTCAGATGCGCAAGACTATAGATGGCATCCCTGCAGTACTCACTGTCAACACGGCAATATCCACGCCTGAACATCGCCGGCTGTGGGCAACGCCTGGTTGGCTTCCGGAGGAGATTGGGATCATAGTGGATCAAGGCCAGTTCTTCTGCTTTGAGGGCGAAGACCTTAAGCTGCATCTCCAACGCGGAATCCATAACATTGCCGTGTACTCATTAATCGGCATGGTGGTGAATATCGAGGCCAGCGCGCCTCACAAATCGCACCTAGTCGCTATGATTAATGGTGAGTTTCCACTACTTACTGTTCAACTGTCTCAGCACAGAATGGAAATGCTAACGAGCCAGCAGTGGCCCATTCGGAAGCGACGCCACCGGGCAAGAGCAAATGGCACCTGTTTAATGATTTTGCAGTGCGGCCCGTTTCCAGCGCGGAAGCGTTGACGTTCAATGCGGCATGGAAGATGCCGTCTGTCCTTCTATTTCAGCTGAAAGCAGCGAACAACAAGAGTAATATGGACTGGAAGGCAAAGCTGGACACGTCGGTTCTGTACAAGGATCTCAGGTAAGTTGCGTTACGCTTCTGGTTCGTACTCGGGGTGGTACTGACGCGGACGGCCACAAGTCCGCATGCGGATACCAAAACGTACCGCATCCTTGATCAGGAAACGGAGCGGCCCGGCCCAGACACGATTGTGGCGTTAGACACGGAATTTGTCTCACTTAAGCAGCCCGAGATCCAAATGAACTCGGATGGCGAACGGGAAACGATCCGGCCCATGTCACACGCGCTGGCGAGGGTGTCAGTAGTCCGGGGTCAAGGCGAGAACGAAGGAGTGGCCTTTATCGATGACTACATCGCCATCCGCGAGCCTGTGGTGGACTACCTGACGTTGTATTCGGGTATCACAGCCAGCGATCTAGACCCGCGCACAAGCAAGCACAATCTGGTGTCACTCAAAACGGCGTACAAGAAGCTCTGGGTCCTTCTCAACTTGGGCTGCAAATTTCTGGGCCACGGGCTGAGGCAGGACTTTAGGGTTATCAATATCCAGGTGCCCCGAGCGCAGGTCATAGACACCATCGAGGTCTTTTATCTCAAATCGAGATTGCGCAAGCTGTCGCTGGCCTTTTTGGCATGGTACCTGCTCAAAGAGGACATCCAGCTCGAGACGCACGACTCGATTGAGGACGCGCGGACGGCGCTGAAGCTTTACCGCAAGTATCTCGAGTTTGAAGACGCGGGCATCCTCGAGCCCATGTTGGAGGACATCTACAAGACGGGGCGGGCAACCAATTTCAAGCCGCCGCGCAAGGACGACCAGGCGATTCAGCGCACCGACACGCCGCCGGTCACGGTGGAGGGCGGGGCCGGCCCCACGACACCGGCACGTAAGGCGGCCGGTCTGGGGCCGGGCTCCGGGACGGGGTTTGGGGCGATCCCGGTGTTTACGCCGTCAAAGGGGTCGCCGTTGCAGAAGTGATGAACTTGAGCGTGTCGTTGGAGTCGTTGTGGGCTGAATTGACGGGCGCTGGTCTGACAAGGAAGGGGCTTTGGCGGGGAACGATTAGGAAGGACTCGAACGAGGCGGCAGGAGGTGTGGGTTTCAACAGAGGTCAGCGAATAGAGAAACTGATCTTGGGCGAGGCGAGGCATTGATGCCAAGAGCAACAAGCAATCACAAAACTGGTGACAATGCTGGGTGGCGTGTTATGTAATGGTCTCTTTGATGCCTTACAAACTGCCAGTTCAGCACCCAAATAAGTACTTACAAGAAGGCATTCTATACACTACTGTATGTACCGCATCCCTCCAGTTCGTTTCTTGCCACTTGATAGGTTGCTGGCGTTGCAATGACTGCGGCCTCGAGATGAGGAAACCGAGCTCTGATTCGCCAATGCGACTAATACCGCAATTTTGGAAAGTTCAGGGGGGGCTCCCGGGTTGGAAACTGGAAAGAACGAACAATGGGGTCCAAGGGGCCGATTTCTCCGGCCCATGCCGTCCCATCGTCCACGTCGCTCCGGGTATTATAAGGGTCCTGAAGAAGCTGTTGGTTTGCTGATCACATGCTACCGTTGCCTGTGGAAAAGCACAACTTGCTGCTCAGTGTTGGTCTCCTACTCCTACATAACATTGGTATTCTCCCTCGCGCCTGCTGTGACGGACGGTTCAACACGGGGAATTACTTCACCGGGACGGCGTGGGTTGGACTGGATCTGGTATAATTATTACACCGCACATATCCGTGACTGTTAGTGATATACTAGACCCCGCCGTCGCAGTCGCGCGGGCAACATCGAGAACGACCCAAGCAGACGGGATGCCCGCACTGTTGGATTTGATCACAGACAAGGCGGGAAACGCAAACGCTACGGCGACTGTCATTGCCGGCCTGGTGGCCGTCTATCTTTTACTGTACCGGTGGCAGTCTGTCAAGGCGCATCCAAATGAACCACCCATCATAGCATCCGCCGTCCCCTTCCTGGGACACCTCCTGGGCATGGCGCTGCAGGGTGGAAGATACGTGAAAAACCTAGGGTAAGCTGATTCCTTGTTTTCTGCACACCTCACCGCTGACATGCCCACTACAGCCTGCGCAACCCGGACAAGCCCATCTTCACCCTGCCCGTTCCGCGCTCCCGCATCTATGTCGTCACGGACCCGCCCCTGGCTGCCGCCGTGCAGCGTGCGTCCAAGACGCTGTCTTTTACTCCCCTGGTGCCAGACATCACGCGCCGCGTGCTCGGACTGGACGATGACACGGTCGCCATCGTTCGCCAGCACATCGATCCTGACCCGGGGGAGCCGAAAGGGTTCCTCGCAGACATCCACGACCTGGTGTACTCGTATTTCGGTCCCGGGGAGGCGCTCAACGAGCTGAGTTTCGACGCGGCGAGCGAACTGGCCAAGCAGGTGAACAGTTATGCGCGGACGCTGCAGGGCTCCAGGGACGGCGAGGACACGGTCAACCTCCTGACATGGGTCCGCCATTTCGTCGCCATCGCCACGGCCCAATTCCTCTACGGCGACGAGAACCCGCTTGCGCTGCACCCGGAGCTCGAGGCCGCCTTCTGGGACTTTGACCACGGCTTAGGAGGGCTGCTGATGGGCATCCTCCCGTCCATCACAGCCCGCAAGGCCTACCGCGGCCGCGAAGCGCTCGCGCGAGCCTTTGAAGAGTATCTCACCCAAAACAGGCACCTGCCCGGACCAGACGGCCGGAGGGGCGCCTCTCCCATCATCCTCAAGCGCGTGTCCATTGCCCTGCAGCACGGCTGGACCCTCCGCGCGGCTGCCCGCTCCGAGGTGTCGTTCCTCTTCGCCGGCATCGTCAACACGGCAACGATAACCTTCTGGCTGGTCCTGCACCTATTCGCCTCGGCAGACTTGCTGGCCACCGTCCGCGCGGACCTCGCCGCCTGCCTCACCCTCGACGAAAGCGAAAGCGAAGGCGGAACCAAGTCGCTCACCGTCGACCTGACCGCGCTCAAGACCTGCTCGCCAACCCTCGCCTCCCTGCTGCGGGAATCCCTCCGCTACACGTCCGACAACTACTCGACCCGCCTGGTCAAGAGCCCAACCACGCTGCCGGGGGGCTACCACCTAGTGGCGAACGCCGTGGTGCAGATCGCCGGCGGCACCATGCACGCCGACACGCGCATCTGGGGCCCTGACGCCGCCGTCTTCAACCCGCTCCGCTTCTTCTCAACACCGTCAACATCTTCCAGCAAATCCAGCAGCACCACCACCGTTGATAAAGTAGTAATTGATGATGCTGAGGGGGCCAATCAATCAGCGACCCCATCAACAACGGCAACGGCAGAAGGAAGAGGAACACAAGCAGCAGCAGCATCAATCCATCCGGCCGCGTTCCGCGCTTTTGGCGGCGGCAAAACGCTCTGTCCCGGCCGGCACTTTGCCACGACCGAGATCACGGCGCTCGTGGCCATGCTGGTGGCACGCTTCGACATTTCTGCCGCTGCTACGCCTTCTCCCGCCGCCGCTGCTGCTGTCGATGATGAGGATGATGACAATGATAATAATAATATCGACAAAACTAAGAGTGCAGCCACGGCCGCAAGGAAGAGGATCGAAATACCGGGCAAAGAGGACGGTGTCATGCCCGTGCACGTGCTTGAGCCCAAAAAGGACGTCATGGTCAAGGTCAGGGTGAGGGAGGGAATGGAAGGGGTTGTTGACATGGGCGTGAGGTGGTGAGGGTGCATGGCTGCCATGTGCTTTTCTTACTTCCCTTCCGCGCGGAAGAGCGTGTTCATTGGCTTAGTGCGAGAGGCGATGCGTTCTCAGACGGCGAGATGGTGGAAATGGGTCTTTTTGTATATAATGCAAGGTGGACATCACAGCATTGAGGCGGAAATGACATCAGTAGATAATATGGGTGGAATGAGCGTTGAACTCGGTCACATCTCAATCCCAACTGCATTGCGACAGGGACTTAGTGATAATACACTATTCGGGCGTTGACATTACTTGATTCAAGATACAATCCAGTGTCACACGCTGACAACCTCGTGAATTGTCTAGTCGAATCTACCTAACAAGCTACGTGCAATTTCCCGTTTCTGCGGCCACGGTCATCATCATTATCCTCCGAAGCCCACGCAGACAATGCAAGCGGGCCAATGTGTGCCTAAGCCTTCCCGATCCCCGAGAAGAACATTCTCCCCTGTGGTACAGTCTTCGCCATCCACCTTGTCCTCCCATGTCTGGTGTAACCCCCTAACTGGCCAGGCGCTCATCAAAGGATGCTATCCAGCGCCCGAGCCCGCATATACTTTCCCCTGATATCCTCCGGCAGCAATCGAAACAATCTCGGATCCCCACCCCTGCACTTGATCAACTCCTCCGCCATGTCCGCAATCGCCGCCTCCTGGCGTATATCACCGTGCGCAGCCGCCCGCAGCGTCGCGAGGCCGTCAAAGAGCTGGCTATCGAACCGGTCCAGCTCCTGGTGCCGGTTCTGCAGGCGCGCCATCGGATAGAGCAGGTACACGGCGGCGCCACGGTCCCAATCGGGCAGCTTCTTCCTGACCCTAAAGAGCAACTGGGCGAACTGGTAAAGCCGCTGAAAGTCACGCTCGATGACCAGGTCAGGGCCGACCCGGCTAACAAAGGCCTGGTTAGCCTCGGCATAATTCTGCGCCCACATGAGCGACAGGAACTCATGCTGGGCGTCTTGGCGGGACCGGAAGTCCAGAGCCTTGGCCTCCCAAATCCACGCCTCAGGGACGCCAAACTTGCGAAGCGAGGAGAACGCGCTTCCGGGGTTGCGGGCGGCACCGATGCGGTGAGCATGGCGCCCAAGATGGTCACGAACGGCAGCCTCGCGCGAGGCGGCATCCGACAATTGGAGCAGTACAAAAGTTGCTGGGACCCAATGCGACTGCGCCGTGAGCGCCGAAGCAAAAGACAGAGACGCCATATCAAGCTTCTCAACAGCGTCCTCTCCGAAGGAGACTTTGCCGCTTGCATAGATGGCCCTGGTCATTAACCAGCCAAGTCGAGCATCGGACCAGTCAAACTGGCGGTTGGCAAAGGCCTTGAGGAGTGACCACAGAGCGCTGTGGGGCTCAGGCTCTCTGTCTTGCTCAATGTCGGACTGAAAAGAACGAACCGCTTCCGCAACGTCCGGGGTGCTGCCGGTGGTGTAAAACAGGCGGAGACCGAAAGACAGCATCCAATCCAAACCGAAGCGCTGCGAAATGGTGAACGAGTTTACGCGGTTCTCGATAGGAACGCCCTTGATGCCCGCGCAGACACAAGCATTGCCAGCAAGAAGCTCATAGATGGCCCGGATTGGCTCCGAAAATTCGGCTAAAACATTCGACTCTCGCCAGTCCTTGAGCTGAGCTCGAATGTCCTTGTTCTGAGACCCGATACTGGCGACAAGTGTGGCAAGCCGATAATTGCCAGCGGCGAGTAAGTGACCACAGGCATCGGCCACGCGATTACCGGCTAGGCAGATAACAGCCTTCTCTTCAAGTCCTAGCTCCTGAGCGAGCGCCTTCTCCGTGGCCTCGGATACCAACCGCTTCCAAAAAGCGGGCAAATTATGACCATCGTCGTCAAAAAGAAGGGAAGCTAACTCCCATTCAGAATCTCCCTGGGCAAGGTCGCGGAAGTCAGGACCGGAGACCGATTGTTGATCCCCCTTCCCAGAAGTAATCTCAATGTAATGCTGAAGTCGAGAGAGGGTTTGTGGGGATCCCGCCGACTCGCCTGCTGCAGGCAAGTCGCCGTCGACGGGCTGTAGGCTTGGCTCGCCACGCTGTGTAGTAACGAGCAATTCATCAGGGCCCCAGTTGGGTCTTGAAACCAAAGGGCCCTCGTCTGTATCAACCTTGGGACGCTGCTGGTAAGGCCACTAAAGGATAGAACAATCTTAGTCTGTATTCATGACGTATAGGTACAGTGGTGTAATGTGTGCAATGGTGCAATGTGTGTGCATAACCCGAGCAGGGACAGGAGGAGAAAACTAGGAGGCAAGCGGGGCACCGACCTTTACGAAACCCTTTGCTGGCGCTGCCTGCAAAGACTTTGTCGGACCCTTTGCCTGCTCAAACAATGACTTCATCAAATCGATACTCGTTGCGAAACCCGTCCCATCGGCCACAGGGGCATTCTTCTGCGGGGCGGGACTACCGCGATCCTTCATGTCCCAAACAGCTCCCGACTCGTTGAGCGCCCGTAGCGTCGAACGATCCACTGTCCTTGGCGCTCGCACGCTCGCTTGCAGAATCTGTGTCCAATCATCTCCACCGGTTACTTCGATTTTCGTTGGCGCTGTCGACTTCTTGACGGCCCGCATGCGCGCCCTCATGATTCCAGCAGGGATCTGGGTGTCGTTGTCGGCAAACCGGGAGAGCAGAAGCTCGTCCTGCTCTTCGACTGATCCCTGTTGGGATGCCTGTTCAAAGGCTTCGAGCTGGTATTCATCGGGTCCGTCAGCCATGCTTTCATCTTCGGGCCACTCCCGTGATGGTAAGGGGGCATCAGCCTCCTGGGGTTCAGGAGACAGCGTACCCTGGCGTTGAGCGGTATCCTCAACCTCCTCATTGTCCGACAGCGCGGCGTCATCGAAAGCGCCGGGAAGGGCGCGCCGGCTGCGCCTGAACTCGAAAGTGTCATCTGGGTCCGCCGTCGATGTAGAATCCTTAGTAATGGTCGGGCTTTGGACCGCAGGACGGATAGGCTCGTCAATCTCGTCATCGTCATCGTCGTCGTCAGCTAAACCGTACGTCGTGAAGTGCTCCACAGAGAAGGTCCAGACACCGGTGTCCTTGTCGTAACTCTCGAAGGTCGTGCCGGGCATCGCGGCAAGCTTGGCAATGTGTCGCTCAAGCCGGCGGCCTTCCCGAGGATAAGAGCGCTCCAAAGAAATCTGCGCAGGAACGTTCAGCCCTTTTCCAACAGGAGGCTTCTTTGCCGATACCGGATATACAGTGGCCGACCGAGGCTGGAGGACGACGATATTGTCGAACAGCTCATCAAGGTTGATATTGCTGAGATCGACTGGGACTTTGAAAGAGACACTGCCAACATTCTCACGGCCGACCACGAAGTTTGATACTTTCTGGCGCTGCATCCGGTTCATGGCGCGAATCTCGTCGGCGGTGGGCGACATCCAATACGAGCCCGCCTCGACTGCGGATCCGGACGGAGTCTCGGTCCGCACAGCCTTGGGCGACTCTTCCTCATGAACAATGGCAAGCTCATTGCCCTTAGCCTGCTCCATCTCAGGAGGGCCATCGACAAAGGCGGATTTCGTCCCATTCACGCCATTAGGACTTGGACGGCCGTTTGGCTTCAGGTAGCCGAGGTCGTTAGTGGTGGAGCCATTTTCATTGGATGGTTGCTCCGCTTCGCGATTAGGAGTCTCACTTGTGCTGGTGTCGAAACTAACGCGCTTGGCCACTACTTTCCGTGCACCGTTTGCGTCCTCCTGAACTTGCTTATCCTTTCCGGGCGAAGAAAACAGGTCGCTCCGCATATCCTTGTTGATGATCAATTTCTTGTGGCCATTCCCGTTTCCAATGAGACGCATGCTAGAGCCAGCAGAGAAGGCGCCCGGCTGAAGGATGCTATCCTCCACGTTGAAGCTCCGCCGGAGGTTGCTGGCCGAGATGCTTTTGCTGAGACCACGGTTAATGCTGCCGGCCAGGAGACTCTGTCCGAGCCCTCCGGGTGTGCTGGAAATGCTAGGCGGAGTGGCAGGGGAACCGTATGCGCTGACTGAGAATCCATAACCTCTCTTCTGAGGAGTGACGAAGCGGGAGGCATTGGCGGGGCTGAGCTTGTACATGGGCAAGATGGATCGGCTCTTAACCTTGGATGTGCCAGAAAGTGGGGTAGCAAGAGGGCCGGGATTCTGAATCTTATCTTCCGGTAGGCCTGAGAAGAGGGTGGAAGCGCCATAGGCCGAGATGTCGTTGATACTTGTGGAGAAGGACTGCTGAGGAGCCTGCTGGCCTTGCGAGGCACCAAAAAGAGAGTTGCCCAAGGTGCCCGTTTGGGGCTGCTGCTGAGTGGTTGACGTGCCAAACAGTCCACCGCCCTGGGGTTGACTGGTCTGGCCGCCGAAAAGGCCACCACCTGTGTTGCTCGTACCGCCAAAAAGTGAAGGTTTGGCCTGGTTATTTTGGTTTAGGCCGCCGAACAGCGATCCCTGCGCAGGCTGTTGATTCTGCGTGTTGGTTCCAAGATTGCTGAAGAGACCGCCACCGGTGGTACCGGTTTGACCAGTCGTGCCACCGCCGAACAGCCCTGTGCCTGTGCCTGCCGGTTTCTGGCCAAACAGGCCCCCGGCTGCGGGCTGATTCGTATTGGAACCTCCAAAGGGAGTCGAAGTGGTTGTGCCCGTGTTTCCGAAGAGACTGCCACCGCCTGTGTTGTTCGTCGACCCGAAGAGACCACCTGGCTTCTGTTGGCCGCCAAACAAGCTAGATCCAGTGTTCTGAGTCTGGGCTCCGAACCCGCCACCACCAAAGCCCGTGCTTGAGGGCTGCTGTTGATTACCTCCGAAAAGAGAGCCGCCGGTGTTGCCTGTTTGGGCTGTATTCCCAAACAAACCGCCGCCAGTGGTTGTGGTAGTGGTGTTGGTTCCAAAAGCGGGTGTCGTGGATGTGGTGCCAAAGGCGCCTCCGCCACCGCCGGTGTTGCCAAAGCTGAATCCGGCGGGCTTGTTTGCCGCGGTGTTCGCGCTTCCGAAGAGGCCACCACCTGTGTTGGCGGTGGCGGAGCCGAATGCACTGGTACCGGTATTACTTGTAGATCCGAACCCTGTACCGCCGCCGAAGAGCCCAGTGCCCTGGCTCGGCTGAGTGTTGGTGGTTCCGAACAGCCCGCCAGTTGCGGGCTTGTTGGCACCGAAAAGACCACCACTACTAGAGCCAAACCCGCCTGTGGTAGCGGTGTTTGTTGCACCAAACCCAGTCGTTGTCGGCTGAGTAGATCCAAACAGGCCTCCTCCGGTGTTCGCCCCGAAACCCGTGTTGGCCGTGTTCGTACCGAAGCCACCAGTGCCGAACCCGGAGCTGCCAAATGCTCCTGTGCCACCCGTACCACCAGACTTCCGGCCTTGGTTGTAATCAGCGAGTCTCAACTCATCGGCGGACCACTTCTTGTAGGCATCCATGAACAGGATGTTCTGGAAGGAGTTGCTCTGGGAAGCGTTGTTCGGTTCCTTCTCCACGGTTGGTGAGAAGGGAACAATAGCAGTACCCGGCGGATCTCCGACGTTGACCCCGATACCTGGATTGTTGTTGGCACCGAACGGGGTTGCTGCGGTTCCAGTGTTCCCGGCGGTACCAAAGAGGCCACCGCTGCCACCGCCGCCAAATGCCGATGTCCCGGTGCCAAAGCCGGTCGTAGCAGGTTTATTTCCTCCGAAGAGCGACGTGCTGCCGCCGCCAAAGGGCGTAGTAGTGCTGGTGTTGGTGCCGAAGCCGCCGCCTCCGAATCCCGAGCCGCCCGTTGTGGCAGTCGTCGAGCCAAATAGAGACGGCGCGCTGGTGGTAGTGGCGGGAGTGCCAAATGCTGGTTTGCTCCCGAACGCTCCAGAGCCGAACCCGCCCGACGTGTTCGAGCCAAAGGCGCCTCCACCACCGCCGCCAAAAAGGCCGCCGCCAGCTGCTGGAGTAGTCGTCGAACCGAAGGCAGTTGAGCCGGTCGATCCAAAGCCTGCATCAGCCAGTATCGTGGTCAGTATCGTGTTTGCTGCCACGAAGGGACTGTACTCGGTAACAGCGACAAGCGCGATGGATGGGATTTGACTTACTGGTATTCGTGTTGGTATTCGTACCGAATCCACCGAACGTTGACTGATTATTATTCTGCTGGCCGAAGCCACCGCTACCGAAACCGAAAGACATGATGGGCGATGCTGGGAAAAGAGAAGAACAAAAGGTAGTTGGGAGATGACGAGATGCCGCGATGTCAGACGAGGAGAGAAAAAGGCGCGAGGCCCTCAAGCCTTAACGCGTGAAAAGGTGCAGTTTGTCGGGTTGCTGCTGTTGAAAATTGCCAGCAACCGGAAAAGTAGAAAATAAACCTAGGGCTTTTCCAGCACCGGTCGCAAAGATTGCGAAAACGATGACTTCGGACTGGAATTGCACCGTGTTGTTTTCCCTTTCGCAGCGAAAGGCGCGATGAATTGCCGGATGGTGGCAGCTTTGGCCAAAGTTCGCCGCACGACTCGCTCTCTTGTCTTTCCCGGCCAGTCAGCTTTTGTGGGTCACAAAGCTTTGTCAGCCAATAAAGGGACGCGACTGTTGCTGGGCCGTGCGCGAACCGGTAAAACGCTGGCAAGGGTCACCAGCTTCAAAAGCACGGGCCAGGCAAGACACAAGTGAAGTGCGAACCTTGATTCTGCCACCAACTGCAGCTTCTTAATAGAAAAAAAATGTTGAAAGATGAAATTGCAAGGGTAGTGAGCAGACCTTCCCAGCAAACACTTGCTATTTAAACTCGAAAGCCAGTCTGCCAGCCAACACAATGCTAATGTAATTCGCTTGTTGAATCTGCGACTGCTCGCAACAATCAGAGTCACGTGTTTCTCTTGTCGTTCACTTGTCGCACAAAATTTAGCCCTCAATTCTCTTGTCTTATTGGTTCTATTCCCAGGCTTACAAATGCCCGATTCTGCCTTATGGGCAGCAGTCACATCAGAGCCAAACGTCAAAGGACATGACGCCGCTAGATGAGGCAAACGGTCGAACTCTAATTCGCTATGGTCCACGGAGCCGGGTGTTAGTCATAATGCTGTGCGCCGTGTTGCATCTGGTGCCTGGCGTTGAGACACGGAATCCTGGCCGTGGGACGCCTATAAATCCCCCAGGATGTTCGAACATGATATCCCTTTTGCTTGCCCTTCATACTGGGCGATACCGTGCGTAAAAGCCAGGGTCATCAGGTCTTTCAACTGTCAATGCCCCGTCAATGCTTTGTCTTCGCGCTTGTCGCCGTTTCAGCCGCCCTTCATTATACAGTTCGACTTAACTACATTACTACAATGCAAAGTGCACACACACATAGGAGCTTCGGCCAAGGATAAGGGCTTGGTGGCGAGGAGCAACCCAACGAGGAAACACTTCCCATTTTAGCTGTGGTATCCAGGGGACCTGTCTGCTGCTTTGACAACAACCCCAGACTCCGCAGTCAAGACGACAACGGAAAAAAGGTGTACCGATACTGGTAACAATGATGGTAATAAGAGAAAGAAAAAGGAGAAGAATAAAAGGTAAAAACCGAACGTGTCTAGGGCAGCCCAGTCGCCACAACAACAAAAGCCGTGCGAAACATACAAGTCCAACAGCTCGTCACAAAGCCTCCCATGATTGGGTCGCCTCCCCTGTCTGAAGCAAGTTAGGGCCAGAAGAAGTAGAATCAGAGCTCTCCTCCCGCTTCAACAGCGTCCCGCCAGTGGACTTATCAGCCCTCCCTTCCTCGTCCACTCCTTTCCCATCCGCTTCCCCGTGCTCCTGCACATCATCTTCCTAAAACTGAATCAAATCACCCTGCTGCTGCTGCTGCTGCTGGCTTTGCTGACTCCTTCCGCCAGCCGCAGCAAACGGATTATTCGTAGAGCCCCCACCGAATCCGTTCTGTTGTTGGCCGTAGGAAACAGCCGGCATGCCCGTAAACTGTTGCCTCAAGAAGGGGTTATTCCCAGTCGCGTCAGTTGTGAGCCTGCCAAGACCGGAGCCAGCGCTGTTGACAAACACCCCGGGAGCCGTGTGTTGCGCGGGGATGCGGAGCTGGCCCGTGTTGCCAAACGTGTCCATGCCGTCGCCGCCGGCCAGCAGCGCGTTCAACCTCGCCTCGTGCTCGGTCATCTCCTTTTGAGGCCGTTGCTGTTGCTGCTGCTGAGGTTGGAACTGGGGTTGTTGCTGCTGTTGCTGATGCATGCCAAAGGAAGGCTGGTTCTGCTGGAAAGTATTAAGCGTCTTTTGCTCCGGGAGCGTGCCGAGGCTGGTCATTGATTGCGCCTTGTATCCTGTTGAGGGCCGCTGTGCGAACGGGTTATTCGAACCGGTGGGCATGGGCTTAAGGCTCTGCAGGCTGTTGTTGTTGCTGGCCCAAGGATTGTTGGTGCCCGGCTGGAGCGTTGGTTCCTGAATTTGTGGTTGAAGATACTGCTGCTGCAGTTGCGCTTGCTGTGGCTGCTGCAGATAGGGGTTGAAGCCTGTGGGTTGAGGTTGAAAGGCCTGCTGCGTCATCTGCTGCTGCTGGCCATAAGGGTCGAAAGCGTTCTGCTGCTGGCCAAATCCGTTTGCGAAACCATTGGGGTACCCGGTAGGCTGTGTCTGGAATCCTGTGTATGCATTGTTCACATAGCCTGTGGGCTGCATCTGCATCATGTTCTGGTCGATTGGGTTCGCGAAGAAATCCACTGCGCTCCCTTGCTGGTACCCCTGATTAAACCCCGTGTACTGAGCCTGGGGCGTCTGCGCCGGTGCATCGTCGAAAAGAGAAGACGCGTTGGTCTCCTCGAGCTCACGCCGGCGACGCTCCTCCTCCTCTTTACTTAGCTTGATAGCCTTTGCGAGATCGTCGTCCTCCTCTTCGGCAGCCCGACTCTCACGCTTTTTCCTATCCTCCTCTTCCTGATGTTTGCTAGCCTCGATTGCCAGTCTGATCTCGGCATCCTCCTCTTCAGTGTACGGCCGGGGCCCCCGCCGGGGCTGAGGCTGGCTGTGCTGAGACGCATTCTCTTCCAGGCCGTTGACACGGGATTTCCATGACCTCCTATCAACCCGCTCAGCCCGCAATCTTTCATCGTCAAGGATCAGCGAGGTCAGCTCTTTGGCGGCGACACGAACTAGAAAGAACAAGTCAGTCATGTCGAGAAATATGAGTATGACCATGCTACCGGAAAGCCTTACCGTTCTGGCCAACATCCCTGCCGTCTTCATCAATGTATTGGAACTCGCGCAGCGTCTTGATGACGAATATGTTCTGCTTGGCCCATGTCACAACGAGCTCCGACCCCTCGTGCAAGCAATAATCCATAACCTTCAGCGCTTTCAGGACGTGTCGCCAGTTCTTGCCCTTGTCGTTGAGCCGCTTATCGAGCATGTCCATGATCTCGTAGAATTCGGTAGACCTGAGTCGCAACCAAAAATGGTCAGGAATCGTAGGATATCATTGAGGCCGCGATAATGCAGCCCACCCAGGGTTCTCCCACTTACGAGTTGAACGTCAACTGAGCGATCTCGCTCATCTGGGTCCCCGTTGGGCCCCATGGGTCATTGCTGGTCGCTGCGTGCCGCATTGTCAGCAGAGCAATCCTTGCCATACCCTACCACAGAATCTCGTCGTGGCACGAAGTAGGGTGCAGCAAACGCACCTTCGCGCACCTTGACCTGGACGCTGGAATAGCCCTTGGTGACATTCTTGACGCTCCGAATGACCTTTGACATGTTGGAGCCGGTCGAATGACGGAGGAACCAGAGGAAACAGAGGGGAGGAGATGGGAGCTTGGGCGAACTCGGGTGCGATGCGTTGCGCTGCGCCGAAGGTAAAGCGGGCGGATCGGTGAACTCGCAGAGGCGTAGTGGGAGGGATTGCGTGTATGTCGACCGGAGGTGTGGTAACCGTAGCTTGGCAGCCCCAGGCTTGTTCTCAAAGGCCGCGCGCCACTAAGCCAATGGTAATTTGGTGTGGAGAAGGTTGGCGCGATCCTGATTGATAGAGACTGGACTTCGACACAGCGACGCTGAAAAGCGGGCGCACAAAACGGCGACTTTAAACCAGCTTTTGCCCCTTTCAATGATAGGCGGGCGCAGAGACAGTTGGTTTGAGTGCAGAGGCGAAAGGCGAAGAGGGGGAAAGCTTGGTCGGCCGTAGCGGGAAACAGATAAGTAGGTAGCCCGTCCAGAATCCAGATGGTAAGGTATGTAGTAACAATCGACACTGTACGAATCAATTCGAGTTCAACTTAACATCAACTTCAGAGCGCTTAAACATCTTGGGTAAGTTCCCTTATGAGGTATGAAATGTATAACCGGCATCTTTCGATGACTATAGCACCTACCTTATCCCTAAGTACCTACTGTGATACTACTGCTTCGGAGCGCACTCGACAAGAGGCGCTTGAATCTTCCGTCGAGTTGACTGTATAGCGAATGCAAAGGCCTCAGCAGAGTAGAACGGTCAGCCAAGGGCTTGTGGACGACGACGGATAAAAGCTAAGGTTCTTCGTGTAACATGCTAATGCTGCATGGAAAGTAGAAGTACGTCGAAAGACCCTACGAGCGGAAGAGTCGGTTATGTAAGGTACCGTTAATGACGTAAATGTTGCAAGTTTGGGAATATCACCATCTCAGCAGCTTAGGCTTGCCATTGATCTGGTTTCGAATTTGATTTCACTTCGTTTCAATACCTACACTAGAATACTAGCAACGACCACCAGCTCTAGGGTGCTACGGGCAACTCTGTCTTGCCCACTTTGCTAAACCAGACATAGGCCCAAGTCTGTTCATACAACTGGCCGCTCCCAAACGGCAGGACCAAAAGCCACCTTACATATATCGTAGAAGCCACATGTCGCAAAGTGAATTATCCGCTTCAAATCAGACATCCCCCGATGAGGGTATAATAACAGCCCTAACGCCGTGGTATACCGTCGGCCTTCCCAAACGCATGTCAACTCATTCATCTTCTGCGTGCCCATCAGCGTCCTGCATATCGACATCGGCATTCTCCTTTCCCCGCTGGGCCTTGCTGGCCTCCTTCACCGTAGGGGACTGCACCTGCACCGTGTCCTTAACATCGCTGCCACCGTTCTCCTTGTTCCCCTCTTTTTTCGCCGCCGCTAGAACGGCAACTCGCGCACGTTCCGCGATCCAACCTGGCGGAAACCCCGGTCCACTGTCGGCATTACCGTAGTCGCTCTTTTTGGTGCCCTTTGGCCAGCGCCCTGGTCCGCGCCCAGTTCCTCCCGGCTTCCTCTTGCTGCTGCTGCTGCTGGACGTCTTAGGCCTGGCAGCCGTCGACCGACGGGATCCGGTTGAACGCCTGGGTCGTGGCTTCGACGCACTGTCGCCCGTTCGTACCACTGGCGGTCGAGGAATATAGCCACGGGAACGGTCGCCCCTGCGGGAGCCAGTGATTGGGGGCCACACCTCGAATCTTGTCGGCGGGATGTCCTTGTATTGCATGATCCAATTCTCTCCCGCGATCTTGGCAGTCTCCTGTTCGGGTTTGGGTTGATCGTTTTGTTCGATAGAATTGCCGTTCACGAGGATCCCGTTTGGTTTGGAATCGCCGTTCACGGCGCTGCCGGCGTCGTTCGGCTCGGTGGATTCAAGAACCATTGTGTCGGCAGTGTCCTTCACTTCCTGGTCGGGCGTGTCTGGCTGGTGTGATGATTCTGTTCCATTGGCCAGCGACTCTCCTGCAGCAACCACTGGTTTTTGCTCTTCCTCCTCTTCCCTAGGGGCAATAGCCGTCAGGGCCGGGCCAAGCTCAAAGTTCGTGGCGCTGCTTCTGCCCATAACATACGGCGTCCACGTCAGAGCACTTTCGTTGAGCTGCACATAGTTCTTGGCTTCCCATTTCGCAACATACTCCCGGCAGTACTGCAAATCCACGCGAAAGGCGTAGAGCTGGGTCTGCGGATCACGTACCAAGCACCTCAGTCCTTCTAATGCTGATATCACGTCGTCTGGTGTCAAGCCGGTGTCGTCTGATATCTTCCTGATGCTGAGGCCATGCTTCCCAGGCTTGCCGTCTGGAAACTGCTGCAGCAGATATCGGCACATGACGAGTCGCCAATAGTTGCGGTACGAAACCAAGCCCATGTCCGAGAGCGGCTTTTCTGGTGATCCTGTTTTCTTCTCCACTCTGGTCAGGAGATAGGAGAAGTCAATCAGAAGGTTGCCGTATCCTTTGCGCTGGTGAATTGGAAGCGTCAAAATGCAAGAGACATTGTTTTGGCTGCTCGCTCGCTTCTCCTTGGAGAAATACCCCACAAAATGGTAACCGAGGTCGTTGTACTCGCACAAAACATAGAAGAGGAAGGGCTCTACATCATAATAGAGAGTCTTTGAACCGAGAAAGAGCTTGGCCAGGAGGCACAAGTTCTGGCAGTAGACCGGGTTCTTGCGGCCATCAACCTCAAAGACTGACACAGAGCCGTGCCTGTAAATTTCGTCTCCCGGTGGATGCTTGGCTGGACACTTGAGTTTGTGCCGCCAAGCCACATAGTCCGAGTTCATGTACTTGAGGCAGAACTCGCAGATAAAGAGGACCCGGTTCCTGCTGTACTCTTCGGGATAAGGTGCCGCATACCAGGTGTCGATTTCGTAATCGCCAAACTGAATACACTCGATCTGGCTGGCTGGACCTGACGCCTTTCTTGGCCTCTTGGCAGGGACGTCGACCTCGGATTGTGCTCTCAGTAGGCGCTCTCTCCACTCCTCTTCTGCCTTCTGTTTCGCTTCGTCGAAGCGTCGACGATCCTCGTTCGTCGGCATTGTTTTGGAAGTGTCCGCCTCAGCTTCGGTCAGAATTCCTCCATATGGCTTGCCTTTCAGCTCGTCCGTCTCCTTGTCGTAGAGCGAGTAGAATGGCTGCGAGTATGCGGTAGATGTAAATGGAGTTGCGATCGGTGCCAAGGGCACAGCAGGTGCACGAGACGCTTCAGCCCTGCGAGCCCGTCTCCCTGACCTACCTGACCGCTTCCTCGGCCTTGGCTTCCGCGACAGAATCTGGCGGAGCTCTGACGAGTTCACGCGCATCTTAACAAGCACTGTGCCGTCAGACCTCTCGACGATGGATGCAGGGGGGTTTGGTATCTTGAGCCGCAGAGATCCAGAGACCGGCCTGGATGATCCGTCTTGTCTAGTCGCTGCCTCGTCGTTGCTCTGATCGTCAGCTGCATTCTTACGGCGTTTGCGGAGGGCCATGATGTTCTCGTCTGCCTCGGCAGAAGAAGTCTTCCTCTTCCTAAGCACTCGGGATCCATCCATTGGGTCTCCGTCCAGAACCAGTTGGTTGAAGACAGAATGGGAATCTGGTTTGATGGCGCCTTTCTGTGAAGGGAGAAGATCACGCGCCAACTTGGGAGCACTCGCGCGACGAGCGGATGGGGAGGTACGGGTATCAGCGATCCCTTCCATATCAACCGCATTTCCGTTCGCATCTGCAGCGAGATCTAGATCTGACTCGTCGTCCGCACACTTTGGGCAGCGCCAATTTTCGGGGCCTGACGAAGTTAGCTACAGGCTGGCAACGGATTTAGGCGTTTTGAAAGCTCACCATCTTCACTGGCTAGGGCGTTATTTTCTCGCGCGCATTGCTGGTGAGCTGTGGTTATCATGTCAGTCAGGCTAACACAAATGGAGTTCAACGCAACTGACCGTTGTCCCCGCACTTGGTACAAGCCAGGAATACCTCAAACTCTTCAGCCGGGTCGTTGTCCTCATCCTGCTTACAGAAGATGCAGTTGCCCGTGGTATTCTCGGACTCATCATCCTCGCCGTCGTCGTTCTCGGCACCCTCCCACTCCGCGCCATCATCGGATTCGGCATCGCTAACGCTCGCCGAACTTGCGGAATCGTCGCTGCTGTCATCTTCATTATCCGTCTCGCCAGGTTTTATCTTGACCGCGCCGACGCCTTCGTCTTCGTCATCGTCGCCATCCTCCTGGTTGTTATCTAGGCTCGCCGCTGCAGTTCTCCTGCGCGCATGACGGTCTCGCGATATGACTTCGTCTTCTTCTTCTCCATCGGCGTCCTCCTCGAAAGCGTCGTCGTCATCGTCATCGCCATCTTCGTCATCCTCAGATGAGCCGCTGCCGCTGCGGTCGTCATCCCCGTATTGATTCCTTTGTTCATCGTCATTGTCCATTTCATGATCGTCTTCGCCATCGGTGCCCGAAGCGCCAACATCGATATGGCTCTGGGACGCGAACACGCTCTCATCGCCCATTGCCACGTCTTCGTCGACACCGTCCAGCGCCAGTTCGGCTTCTTGTTCCGACTCCATGACACTCTGTTGCAACTCCTCCTCCATGAGCTGCGCATCCGCCATGATGGTATTGTTCTTCCCTAGCCCGCGCCCGCGAGCGGAGCGAGTCTTGTCGCACAGCGTTTGCGAGCCAAGTCAGGCCTTTCGGCAGCGAGCGCCGCGCATATCAAGCGGATTTGGAGAGTCAGATACAAGATTAATCATACCCGGCGCATGACTGCCTCCCACAACCATGTGTTTTTGGAAGATTTGCGGAAGCGGCCAGGCAAGAATGAGTTCGGTTGCTTGCGTGTAAAGGGACTGGGAGTCGGGAGTGATTCTGAGTCACGAAGTTGTGGAAAACACGCGTTTGGAGAATCGCAGAAGGTTCCGGCAGAAGCGTTTAATGAATTTCTGAGCTAAATAAGAATGTAGACGCGTCGAATCGTCGGTTTCATGGCTTCAATCGCTGTCGTCGGAGTGTGTCGCCGAGAGCTCGGCGATTCCTCCAGTAGTGGGCAGTTCCCCAAGGTTTCGTTTGTCGGCTTACAGTACTGCAGGGTGAGCGAGCACCTGCCAAGGACAGGGGATGCACGCTTAGTCATCTCAATTCTAGCACTGACGTTCACTGTATTGTGATTGTAATTACACGAAAGTGCGTCTGCCTCAGGCATACTCCTCCTTCTCAAGCAATTCGCCAATCCCAAAGGTGCCTGTGACGAAGCAGGAACCGCAAGACGCGAGGCCATTTACCACCGAGATAACCTCTTCCAGCTCTCTAGGCGTCGTGTACGGTTTCTTCCCATATCTGGATGCTCTTCATCAGACTGATTCAATTGGACAGGCCGACAAGATCGCCACGATGCCGGTTCCGTTCGAGACGCTGATTCCCTATGGGATCATCATCGCTGTAAGCTCCTCGGAGCTGTGGGCGGTTGAGTCCTCGTTGCTAATAACGCGGTGCAGATGTTCGGCGTGACGGGCGCTGGGTTGAACAAGGTTAAAAACTGGTCAAGCGGCGGCAAGAAGCACAGGTGGTCTATCGACCAGTGGGACAGGGTATGGTGATGCTCGATGCTTCCATGCGAAATGCTAAGCTCAGTGCTAACAATCAGCAGCAAAGTACGGCTTACGCTCTTCATTCCTCATTTGCGCGAGAGAATGCTCAATGCTGACATCCGGCAGTGATGGACCGCGATAGGAGACTTACGGGACACTTGCGAGGCCAAACAGACAACCCTATAGCGCCTCCCGGATTCGAGTTAAATAATCCCTGGAGGGTATGTGTTCCTTAAGGTGTCCCCTTTTCAATAGGCCGCAGCTTACAAGTACTAGGTCGAGAGACGGTATTCATAGGACGCAGCAAGTCAACTTAGGCACGATTCGATAGCACCTTTAAGTTCTCAGCACCTTCCAATGTCATGCACTGTACAGACTGTTAGATTTGTATCTGCGCTCTATTCTTATTCAGGTTCTCCAGGAGCATGCAAGCCTGGCATATAGCTTGGCTCGACATGTAACCGCAGCGTACACAAGTCCCGAGGACCTGTCTAGGAGCACCCCTGGCAAGCCCACTCCCGTTCCTGAGAGGAAGATCAATTTGTTTATCTCTCTCTCCAACGCTGCTCCCAGACTTCACTTTTGCAACATCGATCTCGAGTGCTTCGTGAGCCTCGTTCTCTCTCAGCTGCTTCTCAATTGCGGCCATCCGCTTATCGGATGTGCGTCCTCCCTGTGACCCACATCCACCAATGTCGTCCTCATCAGCCGCGATGGGTGCGGACGTTTGTCCCTTGCAGGCGCAGGATGATGGCGAGTCTCCAGGTATCAGTCTTGCCATGTCCTCGCCGCTTCGAACGATATCCAAAATGGCGCTCGGCCGCACTCTTTCCAGCTGCTTGATGAGGCTTCTGGGCCCACCGCGGAACGCTTCCGGGCTGTAAATGCACTCAGTGCTGAAGTAGTCAAGCCCCTTATGGTAAGCATAGAGAACAATTTCTTTCTCATACGAGTATTTGAGGGGCTTGCTTCTCTTGACCTCAGACCGGTTGTCTCCTGTTACGATACTGGTGCTCCGTGAGAGACGTGCCAGGTCGCCCCTAAGGAGATTCATCAAGACTGTCTCGGCGATGTCATCGGCGTTGTGGCCCGTTACGACATGCTTGATCCCTAGCTTCTTCGCGCCGCGGTCAAGCGCCTGGCGGCGAAACACGCCACAGTATGTGCAGTTGCCCTTCTTGCCGATCGTCTCAACCACTTGATCCATGGTCCAATCGTACAGCTCCTCATAGCTGACCACTTTGAGCGGCATGTTGTACTGCACCGCGTTCCGCTTGACTGTCTCCAGAGAGTCGTCGCGGTATCCCTTGATCCCCTCGTCTATACTCAGGAGAACGAGATCCAGTCCATATCCGTGACGTTCATTCAGCGTTTTGAGCACTGACGCCAGGACCGTCGAATCCTTGCCGCCGGAGGCTCCGATCGCAACCTTCTCCCCAGGGTAAAACAGGTGTGACGATGTGATGGTATGGTGCACCTCGTCTTCAAACACTGATATAAAGCAAGTCTTGCAGAGCTTTGCATGGTTCTTGGGTCGTTTTATGTAAGCTCGCTCCGTCTTGCATGCGGCGCAGAGCGTGGAGACCATTTCGATGGCAGGTAGAATCTGAAGGGTGAACAGTTCCTGGGCCTCCAGAGTTGATGTGTCTCGAATGACAGATATCACTGCTGTGAGTGTTACGTTGATTCTGCTGCCAATGGGAATTTGCTTTGTACCTGGGATCTGCAGGCCCACACGCTCTCTTGGGTGGAGCTCAAGTTGGCCCCACCTTCTGCAGCCGAAGATCGCCCGCTGTACCCTACGGCTGGTCCGAGCTTTTTTGCACATCCACAAGCCTTCTTTTTCTGACTGCGCAGCCAAATTTCCTTCTCCAGAATTTCTTCTCGGTCAACACGCTCCGGTCCTGAGCAAATCGCCCAACGACAAAATGGTAAGCTTTTGATTGAAAACAGCACTATTACTGCAAGCATCTTTATGATGCCCGTGTTGCAATATGCTCTTGAGGTCCTCTCGAGTTGCATGATTTCCGCTTGCCGGTTGCGAGAGCGCCGCAGGTGAAGAATGGCTTGAGCTGGTCCGCGGTGGATAGAAATGTCCACCCGGCCGCTCTTTAGAGTTCAGAAGACCGCAGTCAATGGAAAACATTTACTGATGTCTTCTTCTCAATGATAGCCTCCGAAGTCTGGTAAGAAGGTCGCTCCGGCCCCTTTCCCCCAGGGGAAGGCTGGCTCCAAGAAGGCCCCCAAGGTAAGTTGCTCCGAAGCCCACGGTTGATTCCCTCGAGTATTGTTTGCTCACGCGCCTGTAGAACCCTCTCATTGAGAAGCGGCCGCGCAACTTCGGCATTGGCCAGGACATCCAGCCCAAGCGTAACCTGTCGCGCATGGTGAAGTGGCCGGAGTATGTCCGCCTTCAGCGCCAGAAGAAGATTCTCAACATGCGCCTGAAGGTGCCTCCTGCGATCGCCCAGTTCCAGCATGTCCTCGACAAGAACACGGCGGCCCAGGCCTTCAAGCTCCTCAACAAGTACCGCCCGGAAACCAAGCAGGAGAAGAAGGAGCGTCTTCTCAAGGAGGCGACGGCCATCAAGGAAGGCAAGAAGAAGGAAGACGTCAGCAAGAAGCCCTACGTCGTCAAGTACGGTCTTAACCACGTTGTCGGCCTCATTGAGAACAAGAAGGCGTCTCTCGTTCTTATCCCCAACGATGTCGACCCCATTGAGCTCGTCATCTTCCTGCCGGCTCTCTGCCGCAAGATGGGCGTGCCCTACGCCATCATCAAGGGCAAGGCCAGACTTGGAACGGTCGTGCACAAGAAGGTAAGAGCACTCGCAGCTCAGGTTTTTCGAGTCATGTTCTAATCTAGTCATTCATAGACTGCTGCTGTTCTCGCCCTCACTGAGGTCCGCTCCGAGGACAAGAACGAGCTGTCCAAGCTCATCTCGGCCATCAAGGAAGGCTACCTTGAGAAGAACGAGGATGCCCGCAAGAAGTGGGGTGGTGGTATTATGGGTGCCAAGGCTCAGAAGCGCATCGAGAAGCGCAAGAAGGCGCTCGAGACAGCCATCAAGGTTTAAGGATGCATTTCAATGGTCGGTTGGGCATGGTTGCACTTGCGAATGGCGTACGGGATTACCAAAACCAGATCAGGGTGAATAAACTGCTTCCGTCGGCCGTATTTGGGCATGGGTGTTTTGTTTTCTTCTTTCTCGGTTGGGACAAATGAATAATGCCATGGATACCCTAAGGGAGGTGTTCCGAAATGCCACCTGCTTGTGACAGTCTTTGAGCCCCTTGGTGCAACCCAAAGATGCTGTCACGCGGACGACTCCCGGTTACCGTAGCTATCTCTTGACCCTGATCGACAGAATCAAAACGTGGAGAAAGAGCACAAACCGTTGATGGCCGGCGCCTGCATCAAGGGGCAACATGAAGACTGGCATTCGTGCAACACTGGTGAGGGATCGACGGCACCTCGAGTGCACTTCGACGATTTGCCAATTGAGACCAATGGACGCCAAAATCGCCAATGGAGCAATTTGAGCCGGGGAGCCCGAACAAGGTCCACCAGCGCCATACAATACACCATAATTTGTACATATCGTATACGACGAACTCTGGGTGGCCATGTTCAAGAAGGATCCCATCCTGCCTCGATTCCGAGCTACATAGAAGGCTAAGCTACCGACGGCGATTTTGGCAACGGAAGATGGCCATGCCGAGCCCATACCAAGCCGGCTCTTGCCAAAACCAAGACCTCGCCAGCAAGAATCAATAAACGGAATTGATGAGCAGACATCTTTCTCCTTCAACCCATCAGTGGGATTCTCATATGCTTTGCGCTCAACCTGCGTTCCTGATTTCAAGACTTAGGCAAATCGGAGTTTGCATGTTTTATCGTTTTATCAATCTGGATTGGAGGGTTTCATCCCGCATTTCAGATGGCGCAGGGGGTTACTGTTGGGATGTCGAATTGTGGCAGAGAGAGCCCCGACTGTTTGGATGGAGGGAGAGGAAGGGATGCATTGCTTTGATGGGATATTTGGTACAATCCAAGTTCCGGGCATGCTGCAAGATTCTTATTAGAGCAGGAGCAACCCCCCGTCGGCATCATGGCGTGAGTCGACCTTCCCTTCTCAACACTGAATTATCGTCGTCTGACCGTCTCCGGCCCCGTCAGAAACCCCCACGCATGCGGTGAATAGCGTTGGACGCCTCCCAACCTAAAAACCACGCTGTGCATCTACATCTCGACCATTGCTTGGCTCTGCGACCCGGTGAGGCTACACTACATATCCTACTCTGTACATATACCCGGGTTCTCTTGGCGCGGGTAACCGTCTATCTGGCCGATTCCGAATGGGAGGGTAACACCCCTCAGCAGGAGAGTGGTGTTAGTGGTCTGAAGAACTTGCTATATATTGCTCCCGACCTGACCCGACTCAGGGGAATTGCGAGACTTTGGCTCTTGCGCACTGATTATAACGCTATCCGACGGCTTCTAGACTCGCTGGTCCTAGGCACCGCTCCTCTTGCGCTCTGCTGACATCTATCCGAGAAGCAACATGGCCGAGGGTGAGTGAAAATCATCCCCAGGACCACTCAATGAGAAGCACAGCAAAGTTACCATATAAACGGTGGTGGTATGCTGACCTTGTATGCCTTCCGCGAAACCAGAGGACAGCTTTCTGTACGCCCTGAGCTCCAACAATGCCTGGGCGGGCTACAAGGCCCATCAGAATCCCCAGTTCTTCAGCAAGCTCGCCAGCGGGCAAAGCCCTCAGATCCGTAAGCTTTCTTTTCCCTCTTCCCATACCCTACCTCGCCCTCGAGAATACCGGTCAGAAAGACGGAAAGAAAAGAAACAGACAACTAACCTCTGCCCCTGTCATGAAACAGTCTGGCTCGGCTGCTCCGACTCCCGCTGTCCCGAGACCACCATCTTGGGCCTACAGCCCGGCGACGTGTTTGTGCACCGCAACATCGCCAACATCATCTCGCCGACCGACATCAACACGTCGGCCGTCATCGAGTACGCTGTGGCGCACCTCAAGGTCAAGCACGTGGTGTTGTGCGGCCACACGTGCTGCGGGGGCGCCATCGCCGCCCTGGCCTCGGGCCGCGTGGGGGGCGTGCTGGACACGTGGCTGACGCCGCTCAAGGCGGTCCGCCAGGCCCACGCCGCCGAGCTGGCGGCCATCAAGGACGACGCAGCCCGCGCCGTGCGCATGGCCGAGCTCAACATCGAGGCCGGCGTCAAGGTTCTCATGGCCAACGCCGTCATCGACGAGGCCGTCCGCGAGAGGGGCCTCGAGGTGCACGGATGTCTGTTTGACATTGCGTCGGGCAGGATCAGGGACCTGGGCTTCGGCACCAAGCCGCCCGGCGAGCAGGACGTGGTCAGGGGGAGGCATGCGCAGCTGGTGTTCAGGGGGAGGGGTGCATCCATGTCGGCGCGGTGATGGTGTTAATGTGTGGGGGTGTTTGACGGTTACCTATGTGGTTGGTCTGTCAATCAGGAGGCCAACTGTTTGTTCGGCAATGGAGTACAGGATCTTCGAGGCATCAGTTGGTTAGTGTTGCCCTTCAAAACCTAACTTAGCACTTGTGTTGATGTATGAATCCGCTGTTGTTTGATGTCATGATAGAGAGAGATTAATTACCCCTGAATTGCGCCCAGCAACGCCGGGAACGCCGAGTTATGAGGCCATCGCAGAGACAAGACCATGAACTGCTGCTTTTTCATCACGTTTTGGCTCCAGGCATTCCCATCACAAACTCGGTAGCTGTAAATGTCGTACCGGTGGGTTCGAGACCCCGACTCGGAGCTTGTTGTTGCAAGCGAAGTCGGCTCCCCATGCGAAGAGTGGTGCTACATCATAGGTAACCTTAAAACCATTTAAATCGAAATGCTTTGACTGCAGTGGTCAGTCAATCTCCACAGCCAAACAACCGCCTACCGGCAAGCAACGGCCTTGGCAATACCTACCTCCCCGTCCTCTTGACCGGCGCTCCGATCCCGGTTGCCGGGCGGCCGGACCTATATTTGCAGCACAATTCCCTACATTTCCATGCCCCAAACGAACATTGACAACTGGTACCGGTAGTCCAAGATCAAGACAGAATGCCGCTCACAGTCCTCAACGACGATGAGATCCGCGCGCTACTGGAAGCCCTCACGGCGACGGAACTGGAGGGCTTCCGGGGTGCGCTCGCTGCAGCTCTACATGAGTACTCCACAGGCGGCCAAGGGGGTGGTGCATCTTCATCGGTCCAACAACCCGAGCGCATCTCAGTGCAGAACACGGCAACCGGTGCCACGACGCTATTCATGCCGTCCTCGAGCTCGGTCGGCAACGGCATCAAGGGTGAGCCCCATTTTCCTCCCATCCCATCCTCTAAGGGATACCATAGTTTCCCTACCTACCTTATACAGAACAACACACTGACTCCCGTCTAACCGCCCTTTCCACATTTCCCAGTCATAACCCTCACCTCGGCATCCCCCACCACCACCACCACCACATCCTCCTCTACCACCTCCTGCGGAACAGCAGCAGCAGAGAAAACCAAGATCCGCCCGACGGGCGCAATCACCCTCTTCACCCCTCACGGCGCGGCACACGGCCTGCTGCATGCAGGGGCACTGACAGCGTTCCGCACGGCGCTGGCCTCGCTGTGCGTGGTGCAGCGGCGGGCCCGCGTCGGGACACTGCTCGTGTTTGGGTGCGGCGAGCAGGCCTACTGGCACGTGCGGCTTGCCCTTAAAGCGCGTGGGAGCGAGGTGAAAATGGTGTGTTTTGTTGTCAACAGGACCAGCACGCGCGCAGTTGGCTTGGTAAGGAGGTTTTGCGTTGAGACGAGTCAGGGGGTGAAGGATGCTGAGGGGTGGGCGAGGTGTCGGTTTGAATTGGTTACTACCGCTAGTGCTATTGATAAGGAGCGTGATCGTGATGGGGAAGGGGAAGAAGAGGAAAGAAGAGAGAGGGAGGTGTTGCAGGCGCGGCTGCGGGAGGCGGATGTGGTGTTTTGCTGTACGCCCTCGACAGAGGCGCTGTTTGAGGCCGAGTGGTTGGAGTCTAAGGCGGAGGGTAGGTTGGTCGTCGCCATCGGGAGCTATACACCCCAGATGAGGGAGCTGCCGGGGGAGCTGGTCAGGCAGGCGGTTCAGGGTGAGCAGGGAGTGATCGTTGTCGATACTATCGACGGCGCGCTGAAGGAGGCTGGGGAGCTGATTGAGGCCGGTGTGACTAAGGAGCAGCTTGTTGAGTAAGTCATTTTGGCTCTGGCGAGGTTGTTGAAGGACCGTGACTGATGATGAGTTTGGCAGACTTGGAGAAGTGGCCATGCTCGACGATGCGACATTGAGCCCGGCTGAGAATGAGAAGAAGCATAGAATGGCACACTTGGTACAACGGCTTCGGACGGGAAACGTTATTTACAAGAGCGTTGGGTTTGGGCTGATGGACTTGTCAGTCGGCATGTACTTGGTCGACTATGCGAAAGAAAGAGGCATTGGGACTGTCGTTCAGGGATTTTGAGAACTCACTTGTCCACTGGCGATGAAGAGTATCTTGGATATGTTTACCGTTGAATGCGATGAGCTTCCTCCAGAATTATCCCGTTCCGTCGTGTCGAAAAGGGGTTATTACCCCTTTTGGTCTTGGCGCGAAACGTTGCTGGTGATACAAATATGCGGGCCGCTCACGTTCCAAAACACTCCCGTCGACATAACCCAACGCAGGTTTCCTTACATTAACGCGATTTCTTATCGACACGGCGTTAGCTATACGTCAACGGCAATACGCTAGATACACATTTGCTACTTTAGCAGCGTTACTTCTCAAGTCTGTCGCATCATAATCCGCGCCCGGGGATTTCCCCCAACCTAACTGAGCCAACTTCGAAGGCTACAATTGCTGCATCAACCACCGGCTCCTTGATCCCAGAAGGGAACAATGCCTTTCCACCCGAGCCTTCACCTCCCATTATTATTCCATCTTCTGATCGAAACCCCTGCATCCATCTCCTTTATATTCTTCCCAAAGGCGCAGCTGCTCAACGCTTCCCCGGATGCAATTCTCATCTCCCGCAACCTCGGCGGCCTGCTGCTGGCAATCAACCTTGTCTGCCTCGTCTTCCTGACAGGCGGGGAGTCGTACAACAACCAGCTTGTGGCAAAAGTAAGCCTCTGCTTCGCCACGTACCACGTCTGGCCTGCTCATCGGGCGTATGTGAGGCTGGCCAGGGGGCCAAAGGGCAGGCGGGAGGAACAGAAGGTATTGGGCGGACCGGTGGTCCATCTTGTGGTTCATTTGGGCTGCCTGATTTCGCTCTTTGGTGGTGGACTGATGGGTATTATGTCGTAGCAGATAACCCACGACATAGAGATCAACAATGGGGCGAAGGGCAGGGTCTTTTGTGCAGCAGATTTCCAATGTACAGCCACTTCCAACAGTGGCCCGGCTTCTATCTCTAGCTCCTGAACAACCGCAAACCTTCCTCCTCCACCTTCACTCCGCCCATCTCCTCGTCCGACACATCTTCATCCTCTTTCAACTCCATCTTCTGCCCAAACAGGGAGCCAAACAGCCGGTCTATCGCATGCTCCTCCCACGACCTGCGGTCCTCTGGCGCCATGAAGTTCTGCAGTTTCTCGTGCACCGTGTATCGCAACTTTCTGCCTTTGCTTGCCTTTCGATCAACATGTTTTCTCGTCTTGGCCTCCTTCAGCGCTGCCCATCGGACGGTTGCAACTCCCTCGCCCGGCGCACCAGTGTCTGTACTCCGCTGATCAACAAGCTCCTTGAGAAGAAGCTGGTAGAAATCGGCATCGTCGTAGATTGCAGCGTCTTCTTCAATCTTCTTCGCAGCCTGCGCCGGCGCGCAGGAACGGGGTGTCCGCGCTCGCTTGATCAGACGCTCGGAGCTCACCAATTGGCTGTCAAGCGTCGAGACCAATGACTGCGTTTCTGTTTTGACCAATTTCCTGGTCGAAGGAGCTGCAGTGGTCTTCCTCACCCTGTCAGACCACTTGTCGAGGACCTTTCGTCTGTGCGATAGTGCAGCCTCCTCGACCATCTCCATACTCTCCCAAATTGACTGGCTCGGGGTATCCAAATCGACCTCCCGTTTTCTCTTTTCACCAATCTTGGCTCGGCTGCTTTCAGGCATGAAGCTGTGCCGGACGCTGTCGATAGTGTTCCAGAGCTTGATGGCAGCCTCTTCGGCGGCAAGGTAGGGTTCCATAGCCGTTTCATGGCTGTTGTCGACCACACCGAAGGAATTCGCTGCTATCAGGGCCTTTTGCAATCGAATTCGGAGGTTCAGGATTGCATCGAAAGCTCGGCGCTGCACTCGGACCGCGGCGCCTTTCTCGGCATCCGCTCTAGCAGCCTGGGACATGGCGGCCACGATACTTTTCTGGCCATCGGTTGCCAGCTTCCGCAGCCTGGCGCGTTCATCGTCGCCGTCGGACCTGCTATCCTCATCCTCATCCTCTTCGTCTTCATCCTCCTCTTCTTCGTCTTCATCCTCCTCTTCTTCGTCTTCATCTGAACCGCCTTCTTCTTCCTCCTCTTCTTCCTCATCCCCACTCTTGGCTTCCAGATTTTCCTCATCCTCATCGTCGTCTTCTCCGCTTAGCCGGGCGCCATCTTGATCGAATTCTGACCCTTCTTCGGAACCTTCCTCAGAACCTTCCTCGGACTTATCGTCCTGATCCTGCTCGGCGTGATCTTCGTCTTCCGAGGACATGAAATCCGCCGCAGTCGGCCTCTTTGCGATCCGCCCATTAGGAACCCGCGGCTTGGAGCTTGCGGGGAATGTAAAGTCCTTGAGGTGCTCCTCGTCACTCTCGCATAGCGCGTTGTCACTTTCGATTTCAGCATCGTCGTCGACATGGTCGGCCTCAGGATCGGCAGTGTCTGGGTCGTCGAATTCTTCGTCATGCTCCTCGTCACCCTCCTCGTCATCCTCTTCGTCCTCTCCTTCATCGCTGCTTTCCTCTAATGCCGCCCTACTGACGCGCGTGCCGCGGTATTCTGGCCCCAGCGAGATGGCCTCTTTTTGCCGGAGCTTGCTCTTTCTGTAAGGATATTGTCAATGCGCAATTCCAGCGGTAAAATCGTCGCCCAAACCTACCCAACAGCGACATAGTGCTCTGTGCCGGCGAGTTCGTCTCCTGACTCCTCGCTGACGCTCTCTTCCTCGTTGTCGGGAGCTTCGTTCTCGATGTCGAAGTCTGGCAACTGTCAGTCGAAGCAATTGTCAGAAGCGGATACCAGCGCACCTTTTGCCGGTTTCTCCTCAAACTCGGCAAACCGCCGCGAACGAGGCTTCCGCGTAGTAGACATGGCGGGCTCCTTAGGAGTCGGATAGGGTAAGTTGCAGGAGAGAATTCTCGATGCACCCCACATGAAATTTTCGGCGGTTTGGACTCTGGAAGATCACCAGCAAAATCTTGGCGGTGACAGGAGGCAGAATCTGATTACACTGCAGGAACAGTGGGGCATAATAGCTTGGAGTGGGTCTAACCACTGTGCATGAGACCGCTGTGGGCTGCAGAACACCACTGCGCATGGAAGATTCACAGCGGCCATTGAGATCGCTATTGAAATTCAGTGTCTCAGAGCTTCTCTGCAGTGGACATCATGAATGCCCGCCTTTGACATATCATGTAAATACTAACGAGCAGCCCCAAACTCAGGGACATAAATGGGATCTGTCCATCGGATCCCATTCCATCATGAAATCAAACATCACCCGCCGTCTCATGCACACCTCCCAGGTACTGCGTCATGGGAATCCACTTGTAAGTCCTCCATGCCAGTTCCCATCCCATCTGTATGTCCCTAAACCCTCCCAGGGCCTGCCCCAGAAGGGCACCATCCCAAGATTCCAACGCGGCCTACCACAAAAACGACCCATCAGAGGCGTCTCACACATCATCGCCGTCTCATCCGCCAAGGGTGGCGTCGGCAAGAGCACCATAGCCGGTTCGGTGCCCCCCTTTCCACCCCTACCCCCTTTTATTCCTCCCTCTTACCTCAGGGGTTCCACGACTAACCCTCCAACCCCAAAGCCAACCTCGCCCTCTCCTTCGCACGCCTTGGCTTGCGCGCAGGGATCTTGGACACGGACATCTTCGGCCCGTCCATCCCAACGCTGTTCAACCTGGCGTCGCACACGGCACAGCTCACCCCAGCCAACCAACTCCTGCCCTTAACCAACTACGGCGTGCGGACCATGTCGCTAGGCTATCTGCAGACAGACGAGTCGGCGCCCGTCGTGTGGCGCGGGCCGATGCTGCTCAAGGCGGTCCAGCAGCTGCTGCACGAGGTGGACTGGGGCGCGTCGGCGGGCCAGCAGCTCGACGTGCTGGTCCTGGACCTGCCCCCGGGCACGGGCGACGTGCAGCTGAGCATCGCGCAGCAGGTGCCCGTGGACGGCGCCCTGGTCGTGACGACGCCGCACCTGCTGGCCGTCAAGGACGCGGTTAAAGGCGTGGGCATGTTTGCCAAGGTCGGCGTGCCCGTGCTGGGCCTGCTGCAGAACATGTCGCTGTTCCGGTGTCCCCATTGCGCCGGGGAAACGGCTGTTTTTGGCGGCGAGGACAGGGTGCGCCAGATGTGCGACGAGCACGGCCTGGAGCTGCTCGGCGACGTGCCGTTGCACCCCAACATTGGCGAGGACGGCGCCCGGGGGAAGCCGACGGTTGTGGCGGAGCCGGAGTCTGACAGGGCAAAGGTGTTCATGCATGTCGCGAGGAGGTTAGCGGGGAAAGTTGGCTTGGAGGTCTGATCGCGTCTGTACTTCTATGAATGGATTGAGATGGATTAGAGGTTGAGACTTGGACATTGCATTGTACTATTATGTGTAGGTATACCGAGGTCTGTGATTTGTCGCTAGCTGCGAGGCAGTATACTATTAGGATCCGGTGTCAGGCCCAAGCCTGAGAGAGGTCGAGATGGAAGATATACCCCCTAATACTATGCGGCCGAAACCACTAGGCAGTTCCGTTATATGGTACCCCGCTGGACTTCATGAGGTCTTCTGCTCTGCGTGCCACACAACCACATCAACAAATGAAGAACATTGACAATAGGGTATCTTGTCTGCATATACCACAGCAAGCTCTAGTATCCCTACGCAGCCACGTGGGCCGGTACTTCAGCCGGCTACTTGTGCTGCGTATAGCGCTCTACAGTATACAGCAGGATGGTCATTAGAAAGGACGTTAGCCTCCGTCTGAGAAAGCAATGAGCTGGGGAGGAAGAGAAGGAAACAAATCAAACTCGTCCCAAACCAAAACGCCAGCCCATGTGTCCCGCTCCAATGAAAAAGAACCTAATGCCAGGCATCCGTCGTCGCTCGCTTCGCAAAAGTGCGAGTTGATCCGCTCCAGGCCGTGACGACGTCTCTGAGAATAAAAAAACCTCGAGTTAGTCTAGTCCAGATCTTCATTGGGCTGATAGACATGGCGGGTTCTAGTTGGATCCTTGCGCATAGGCTGGCCTGAGCCTGTGAAGCCGACTGTGAACGAATGTTAGCTTTCTGGTGGAAATAAAGATTTACGAAAAAGAACCTACCCCGACCATGAGCGCCTTCTGGAGTGCGAAACATGCTTTCCTTTTTGACCGCTTTGCCGACCTTGCCCTTGGAAGTAAACTCCTGCCATTTGTTTTTGCCCGCCTCAAGTTCCTTTGTTGCCTTGATCTTTTTGAACTTTGGACGGGGCTTTTCGTCGTTGTTGCCCACGGCCGCCTTGTTAGCGGCCTGCGCCTGTGGGTACATGTCGGCTGCAGCAGACAGGACGATGCCGTTGTTGGATGCGGTCGGAGTGAGCGAGGAGGGGCTGGCCACAGTCGTCGAGGCAGTGGCGCCGCCGATGGCAGTGCTGTTGGTCGAGACGGCAGTGCCGTCAGCCTTCCGCTTCTGAGCAACCGGGCGAATATCCTTAGCACGAAGCGTCTCGACTGTATCATAGCTTTTGAACTTGACTGTGTAGATGGGTGCCGTGGACGAACCAGTCACCGAAGTGATACGGGCTGGGTAGAAACCCTTGTCGCCCGAGACCCATTTCGCCATCACATTGTCGTTGACCTGATATGTGATAATCTCCGGCTCTTTCTCCTTCTCCTTCTCCTCGGCGGGCGCGGCCTTCTTGAAGGCTGGGTGATTCTCTCTCGACCACTTTTGCTCGACGGGCGCCGGCGAGGGAGCTTTCTTCGACGGGGCCTTTGCGGGTTCATTCTTGGGCTTCAACTCTGCGATTGAATCGTCGATGAGACGAATCATCTGTTCCAGCTCACCCTTGAGGTTTAACAGTTCGGCATTGTCGGGGTCGTCCTTAAGCGACGCGACAACGAGCTCGAGCTGCGACCGATGTCAGAATTCATTTCTAGTCGGATTTTTCGGCTTGGACATACCTGGCTCTCATACTCCTTCCGCTCTTCCTCAAGCTGCGCACTCATCTTGACAGTATACAATGGTATTGGGGTTGAGCGGTCGGCACCACACAACTTCAAACGGTATCTTTCGGTTGGGAGGATAGTTGCAGTGGCGGGGTTACAACTCTCCAGGTCAATCAAGGAAGAACGGTTCCAGGACGAGGCGCACGCGGCACTGTAAGTACACGTACAGGACCGTGCGAATCTGAATATTACATATATTGCACTGTCTTGAGTACATCATGAATTGAACTCTTCCAAGATCTCAGGGGAGCCCATCCATGAGAGGGCATTGTCCAGCCCATGAGCGCGGTTTGATGTTCCCTGAATTTTCTTCAGAATTAATGTTATTCTATGTGAAATTGGTTTGTCCAGGAACTACACTACTTTGTAGGTAAGCATGGTAAGGTCAAAGATGTAAGAAAAGGGCTACTGAACTCCCGCGAGGTGAGTCCGGCATTATCTAGCCCGAATAACTACTGTTCCTACACGGGCTCGTGGGTCACTCAAATGAAATGTTCAATGGAAGCTATTAAAGTACGATTTTTGTGATGCTCCCTTCCTACGTACCTATAGGGAGATGTCTTGATACTGTACAGAGTACGAAGTACACATGTGTAAATCCTTGATCGGCGCCAACGTGGTTCAAGATGTGGAGACAAGTCATAGTGGCCAATAATATCACTAGCATATCTCGACTTCCGTCACCGCTTCGGCCCCATGCAAGCGATTCACAAGCACAAGCATAGGAACGAGAAGGTCCCATGGACCCATTAACCGAGAGACCAACACCGGTCGAACTCTCTATCTGACTGTGAATCTTGTGAACTTGAAGCAACACTGCGTAGAAATACTCAACCGTGACTCTCAAAGGAGCAATTGCTCGATCGGTTCGTTTCGGTTCCGAAGACTTTCCCAATCCCGACCACAAAACCCCATTGACGGTACCATCTTCCCCACATTCCTATGACGAGTTTAACCTGAACGGAATACTCGCTCTGCTTTCTGCCGCTAGGAATTGAGAGGCCGACCAAGGCATCGCCAACGACTGATCACAGCAGGACAGCTCGCCCTGGTCAATCTGTGGCGAGAGATCAAGTTAGGCCGTTGGGAGAAATCGGGTACCAAGAAACAGGGCTGTAATGAAAGAGACAGACACAGATGCGGCGCGAGCCAACCAATCAAAAAAGCCAACAATGAACGTCCTCGACAGCGCCGTCACCGACGCCGACCAACCGTCGCAGCAGCTTCCACAACAATTCCCACATCCCAATCATCGCGTCAAGAGCCAGAAACACCTTGTTGGCGGCGGTACTGGCGGCCGGCTACATGCTCGGGTCCCGTCTTCCAAAGGCCTCCATAAGCACCATGCGTCGACATCAACGACGAAATTGAACCGCAAACACGGCTCCGTCTCACCCGATCGCGGGTCCGGATCTGGGGCCCATCACCACCGTCGCGCAACCTCGGAGCTCAAGCTCTCCCGGGACCCGTCTACGACCAATTTGAAGAAGGACCCATCGCACACAAATCTGAGGGGCAATCGCTCCCAAGTCGATGCTGGCAAGAGGACAAAGTCCGCCACCAATTTACATCGCTCCGCGTCCAATCCGGCAGTGGACAAGCTCAGGTCGTCGGGAAGCACCAAGGTTCACTTTAATCTCGGCGACGACGGCCAAGACGACGACGACCCAGACGACGAGTGGGTGGATGCCAGCACATCTGCCTCACCCCTGCTCTCTCGGCGCGGCGAGGAGAATACCCAGGCAGCATTATCCACACTGGATCGAGAACAGACAAACGATCGTTCTGGGGCGAACGGGACGCAGAACGGCGCGCACAGTCCGGGCCGTGCGGCGAGCAGCCACAGCCAGTACCTGACCACCCGGATTCTATCGCGAACCTCGTTACAGCGCGCCCCGCCCATGATGTCGACTGAAACGGTCGAAGTGCGGCCTCCCTCGTCACGGCAACAATCACCGCGAGACTCAAGCCCCGGCAATGGTCCTTCCTTTTCCGGCACGCCCGGCACGGTATCGCAGGCTCGGCCGGGCAGTAGCGGCAAGGCAGAACTAACATCCAGGTTCAAGGGGAACAACAGCCAAGAGCCCGGATCCGGCATACCAGGAGAGTCATTCATGTCAGCTGCCAACCGAGGCGGACTGTCTCGGGCGGCGTTGAACGGCGTGCCCAAACGACGCCAGTCCCTAGGAACTTTACCACGAGCCGGCATGGACGGGATGAATGGGGCCCGAGAGGATAATCTCACCGACGAGGAGGATGCAGACCAAGGAGTCATTGCGCCCCGTTCACGGCGGAATGGCAATTACGTGGTGCCCAGGGATATGAGCCGAACTCAGCAGAAGTTGAATCTACAACGGGCAAGCTCCAGTCTGGAACCAACGCACCCTCACAACGGGATAGGACTAGGTCCTTCGGGAGTCCCAGCAGGCGCCGGGCCTCTAGGCGGCGTGCCCGCCTATGATTCCGAAGAGAGAAGAATCGCGAAACTGCTTGAAAGAACAGGCATGGAATATCTTACAGTGCGCCGGCATGTGAGCCCGGTTGCCCGGTCTCTCTCGCGGGTAATGCAGTTGCCCGGCGTCGGCGGCAGCCGCCAAATACCTCAGAGCCGCAGTGGTACGCATTCGACCAGAGTCTCGGAGCTTGGTGGCCGTTTTGACTCTAGACCTCATCAACAAGACCCTCACGCGCGTGATCCTGGCATGGTGGATTTGATGGATTCCCAATCTTCAAGACGGCCGCTCACGCCGGGACGCACGTTCTCAGCTTTGACCACCGCTAGCGCTAGCTCGAGTCTCGGTACCGACGACGGCGCCAGCAGGATGCATGAACGGCAGGGTCTCAGCGGGGCCAGCCTGGTGGACGGGACCGAGGACGCCGGGACGCTCGCACTGCTTCGCATGATGTGGGACAAGAACATGGATCTGAGTGCGAGCCAGGATTAGTCGCCCGGGCAGCGGACGGCAGAGACGATGCCATGCGAAGAAAACACGATAGAAAAGGCGCACAATGATGGCGAAGACGATGATAGCGTCCCTCCAGAGGACTTGCTCTGCGAGGGGGTACACGAGGACTGGGTCGACGTCAATGCACGTCACAAATGATTTAGTGATGGGCTTACCAGGCTTAAGGAATAGAGTAGTCGCTAAAGGTCGGGGGCTGGGACTGATTTACACGGAAACACACAGCTGGACATGGACATGGGATATGGAGGGAACGGAAATCGGCCTGATTGCTTCATTCTTAACAGCGAGATGTTTGTTGGAACGCATTTGGTTTTAGGCCGGGCTTAAAGGCGGCCGCTGTAGCGACAAAATGCCGATTACTATACGCGGCGCTAGACGAGAACTCTTTTCTGAGATGATGATGATGCATGCAGTTTAAGGCAACTTGTAGACCTGCTGGATGTGACATTCAATAGAAAGCGCAAGAGGGCCATCTCGATATTTGGCCCAAGAAAGTGATAGAATAGGAATGCATATTGCCTTCTAGGATATAACTCCCACTCATAGCCAAGTCATGATAATGTTATACAGGAAGAAAGCGGTTCAAATTAGCACTGTTTGACTCCTTTTACTCGGCCACCCAGACCGCCGCCATGCCCATACCCGTACCAACACACATGGATGTCACACCGACCTTTTGCCCCCTCCTCTTAAGCTCGTACAGTAGCGTGGACACCTGCCTCGCGCCGGTGCAGCCGAGCGGGTGGCCAAAGGCGATCGCGCCGCCCTTGGGGTTAATCTTCTCGGCGGGGATGCCCAGTTCGTTGGCGCACCACAGGCACTGGCTGGCAAAGGCCTCGTTGATCTCAAAGATGTCGACGTCGTCCTTGTTAATGCCGGCGAGCTCAAACACCTTGGGGATGGCCTTCCAGGGCCCGACGCCCATGAGCAGGGGCGGGACGCCCACCACCGAGGCCGCGACGTACTTGCCCAGGATGGGCTGGCCCAGCCGCTCGGCCGTCGAGCGCTTCATGAGCAGCACGGCGGCGGCGCCGTCGCTGACCTGGCTGGCGTTGCCAGCGTGGATGCTGCCATCCTTGGCGAACGCCGGGCGGATCTTGCCGAGCGATTCGGCCGTCACGCCGTCGCGAATCCCGTCGTCCCGGTCCACCACAATCTCCTTGGTCTCCCCGGACTTGGGGTCCTCAAACTTGACCTTGAGCGGGTGGATCTCCTCCTTGAACAGCCCCGCGGCCTGGGCCTTGACGGCCTTCTGAAACGAGTGGGCGGCGAAGGCGTCCTGGCTCGCCCGCGAGATGTTGCGGGCCTTGGCCATCTGTTCCGAGAGCACACCCATGGGCACCTTGCAGTTGGCCGCCTCCTGGTGGCTCTCGAGCAGCTCCGAGAACTCGGACACGGCGGCGGGGCCGTACTGGGTCGACATGCTCTCGACGCCCGCGCCGATGCCAATCTCGATCATGCCGGCGCGGATCGCGTTGGCAATGTCCACGCAGGCCTGCAGACCCGACGAGCACTGCCGGTTGAGCGTGTGCACGGCCGTCGACTCCGGGAAGCCGGCCACCAGGCTGGCCGCCCGCATCTCGGTCGCGCCGCCGCCGGGTGCGAGCACCGTGCCCACCACAATGTCCTCGACCAGCGCGGGGTTAATGCCCGACCGTTCGATGACGCCCTTGAGGGCGCCCGCCATCAGGTCGGCGGCATATGTGTCCTTGAAACCGCCCTTTCCGCCCTTGGTGATGGCCGTCCGCAGCGCGCAGGTGACGACGATCTGCGTAGAGGTAGAGTTAGCGGGGGGATGTCGTAGGACAACCCGCAGGTATGTGAAAAAGTTAGAGCTTACATCGTCGGGATTCTTCTCGAGCAGCTTAGCCTTGCCGCTCACGGAGACGCCGGAGATCTGGTTGCCCAGTTGAGAAAGTCTATCGAGAGCTGGCGAAGAGAAAGATCAGTCAGTAAGGGGCTGACAACGCCGACAACGCCGACAACGCCATTTGAGTAAGGAGGCAAAACCTACCGCCCATCTTGAAGGTTGGCGTCTAATATCAAACCGTTGACACAAGTTGAGATAACCCAGAAAACGGAAATGGGATGAAGATGGAGAGGATGAGGTGTGCTGATTTCTTTTGAACTTTCGGGGTAAGAACGTGCAAGAGGCAAATATCTCGGGAGCTTATAAACGAGCCGCGATTCCACCAGTATGGATTACAGGAAGGTAAGCGCAACTTTTACCTCGGAGCGGCACTCAACATCTGCTACGAACTCCGTTCTCGCCTGGAACTCGGTAAGTTGGAGCGCACACAGTGGTCCACGCGGTGGTTTGGCCACTGTAACGGCCCAGGTGATGTCAGAACGGCCGAGGCATTGCCGCTTACGGTTTAGCGTCGACTGGGGTGCATTTCTCAGCGCCTTTTCACATGCTTCGAAGTCGAGTCTGGAGACTGGCTCTGCATGATCCCCTTCTTTGCCCCAGATTCCTTCCCCAACATCCGGTTCCTTGGGAACCTCGGGGACATGAGGCTGGTGCGACCTTCCAACCAATTCCGACATCTCCAGTATTCTTCTTTGATCAAAGTCTACACTAATAACTTCGCTTTGTCAATGCTTCACATGCCAGCCGTTTCTGGTCCGTAACTACGGAGCACCGGGAGCATGTTTTGCTCCTTTCTTGTCTGCGCTTCGATTCGAAACTGGCATACACACCACAAGTCCCTCGAGTCCACAGGCAGCGATTGCCACCGCACGTGCTTGTCAAGACACCTATCAAGCAGAGTTGTTCGTCGCCCTGGAGAAGTTGTTATAGGGAACTACATGGAACTTCGAGTCAGTACACAACAATCGTGTTGTTGACTCGTTGAACTTCCAGGCCTCCACGCTTCGGTCTCACACACATCCAACAGGATTCCAGGGAGCAGGCTCAGTCAAGTCCGCGCGAACTGCTAACATGGCATGTCCAAAGTGTACTATATGTACTCTGTGAGTGTCCACATGTGATCCAGATGAATCATGCTAGCCGGCCACCGTTTTTGCGCGAGTCCTCTCACTTGTGGAATGCCTTGACCTTCTCGACTTCGTCATAACTGCCCATGAATATGCCCGACTTGTCGTGGATGTGCTCGGGCACGACCTCCAGCATCCTCCTCATCTTGCTGTCGACAGCTTGGCCACCGGCTAAAATCAGGGGTTTCGCAGCGGTCAGCGCTGGTTACGGTGCAAGTGCTCAGGGGTCGGGAGGGACAGTGGCAACTCACCATTCTCGAATACCATGGCCATTGGGGCGCACTCATACAGGATGCGCAGCTTGCCCTTGGGGCTTTTCTTATCGGCCGGATAGGCAAAGATGCCGCCGTACAGCAGCGTCCGGTAGGCATCGGCGACCATGCTGCCAATGTAGCGGGCGCTGTAGGGCTTACCGCCTTCGGGGGCCTCCTTGAGCGAGTTAAAGTAGGCCTTGACGTGGTCTTCCCAGTAAAGCGAGTTGCCCTCGTTAACCGAGTAGATGGCGCGCTTCCTGGGCATTTTCATGTTGGGATGGGTCAGGATGAACTCGCCGATACCGTTGTCGAGCGTGAAGCCGTTGACGGTGCCACCGCGCATCGTAATGACGAGCTGCGCCGACGCTCCGTACATGGTGAAGCCCGCGGCCACCAGCTCCGTCCCGGGCTTGAGAATGTCCTCTTTTGTGCCCGTCGACCCTTCGGCAAGTTTGTGGATGCCAAAGATGGTGCCTACTGAGACGCCCGCGTCCAAGTTGGAGCTGCCGTCGATGGGATCGCACGCCACGGCGTAGCGCGCGTTCTTGCTGTCCTTGAAGAAGACGACGTTCTCCTCCTCCTCCGACACCAGGAGTGCGCATTTTCCGCTTGACCGCATCGCCTCAATGAACAGGTCGTTTGAGATGACGTCGAGCTTCTTCTGCTCGTCGCCCGTCGTGTTGGATGACCCCGCCAGCCCCGTCAGGTTGACTAGCGTAGCCCGCCGGATGTAGTAGGCGATCGACTTGAACGCGAACTGCAGCGCATGGCAGAGGAGCGTAAAGTCTCCGGTGGCCTCCTTATGCTTTACTTGCTCTTCCGTGAGGAACCGTGTGAGGGTGACGATGTGGGTGTTGACCTTCTCCGTCTCGACCTCGCCGCCATTGGCGTTGACCGCCATTGTGTCGGTGGTGGTGTCTTTCAAGCTTTGGATGTTCAAGGCTGATTAAGACGTGTAAAGCGCGAGGGGGTGCTATGAGCAAGTTTCCTCTTGTACGTCTCCAAGTTTCCTTGTAATAGGTGCAGTCAATGGCTCGGTATCGTCGAGAGCCTAAGCAGGATATAAGGAGGAAAGGAGAAAGAGGGGGGACAGACGCAAACAAGAGAGACAGCTCCAACGTGTGTATAAGTGGAGTAGTCGGGGTATTATATCACACAGGACCGAGGAGAAGATCGAGACAATGGACGGGACTTGTCTGCCTTTCTTACTAGGTCTACTACTAGTGCATCCTGCGGGAACCTACGCTATATGTAGAGTAATCGAGACCCCTAACGCTATCATCCCTAAGCTCCCCGCCACGTTGATGAGTCTGTCTCGAGGTCCTTCATTACCCCGTTCAGTTTGATTTTGCGAGCAGCCGGCATGTAGTGTATGTAAGTAAGTACATGCGCATACACCGGGTTCAGGTACCTTACTTCACCCCGCGCCGTGCCCCTCATCGGCCGCCGTCGGCAAAGGAGCGGCTATGTATGGAGCGGCTTTGGCGGGGCTGGGAAACCTCTGACATCAGTGCCTCTCCGAATGCCCCATTGCGGACAAAAGCACTCTTGAGGGGACCAGGAGTTCATTACTTGCGGTAGCCAATTGAGCTCCTGCCGTTTCTTCCAATATTTCTCTACTTTGGCCCCATATACCCCGTTATTCAAGGACAGCATATCAAATCCGGTCGAGAGGAAGCCGAGTATCTGACGGAGATATGGATGAAGAATCTCCAATACACGTAGTGTAGAACTTGATTCCCGAAAAGAGGATTTCCCGGGACGGGATGCATTGGCGGGATGTATTTCGATGTGCTTTGTCCCGACGGGACCCGCATCTAGAAGCTCGGCATTTCTTGGCCCCTGCCCCGCAGCTCTGGAAGCGTTTCCCGATGCCACGAATCGGGAGACGTCTTCAGCAAGAAGCTAAGCCCTCTGTTTCCCTTTGGAGCCTGCAAGTCAGATGACTTGATCAGCTGGAGCCCGTAAGCTGTTCCTGGCATTTGGGGTTTGAAATGTTCTTAGTAAGTGCCTTCTACTTGACGTTGCAAACGTCCTCGTGACAGTTTGGCTTCTCTAGTGCTATCAAGGGGTAGCAATGGTAGTACAGAGGAAATTAACGTACAGTACATACGCAGGGACGGATACAATGATAACGTTACCAATATGGAGGTACATACACTACGGCACCACGGATAAGGGCATTGTTACTGTACAGTACAGCACATACAGTACGATTCCGTTTTATACAGGCGTCTCAACTCCGGTGACGTCACACCCAACCTGGAATTGTTGACATTCAATGGAGCTCTTCAAAGTAAACAACTCATGATGTTAGTCTAGTGTAAACCCATACAATGATTCCTGACTCCTCAAAAACTATTGCCGCCACAACGTCGGGATTATGATTGCAATCGGTACCAGGGATTCTGAGACACCAAGCTGACATCAGGCATTGACGACTTTGCTTCCTTCGTAACATCCTGGTAACCGATATCGAGTCTGTGGTGCTTTCTCAAATCGCCATTAGATTCGCTCCAGTCTCGCGGTCCTTGAAACGTAAGCAGGCGCGGGAGAACGATTGATCTGTCGTTTCCCTTGAAAGCATATCCGTCGCCTATCTCCATCATCGAGGGGATGAGCGCTCTGCTCTTGTAGCCGCTCTCAGGTGGTGCTGCCGCCCGCCAGTCCTCAAAACCGAAATTGGGGTCAGCTGTGGCTGTATCGGGTGGGTATGTGTCAGGACACGGCTCCAGGTTGGCTTCGATGACCCCGCCAGAGATTCCGATATAAAAGTTTGGCGACATGTCGGTCGCTTTGGCCATGGACCATATGCTGCTGCCACTGAAAGCCCTGAGCGAGTTGGCGAGGAAGTACTTGGAATTGGGCCGGTAATAAACGCGCCGCGACAAGTCATGCCAGTGGCAGGACAGGCCCCTGGCGTGGTCGCAAAGTGCACGACCTCTCAGTTCAGTTGTTGGTGGCCTCAAAAAGGGCTGGTGAGGCGGCGGAAACGGTGTTCTGTCGAGACAGGAGAGTCCCGAGGTGTGATAGTAGCGTTTTGTCCACCGAAAGTCAAAAACCTTGACAGTCACACCTTGCCCGCCCCCTACCACAAACCGTTCCGTGCCATAGGCCATGAGCGCTTCGGCGTCGGACCACGGGTCAACATTGTCTTGATAGACAGCATCGAACGGGGATGGGGTGCGGAGGTCTTGAAGCCTGTAGCAAATTATTAGTCCAACTGCACACCCCTGTTTTTGACGTTGACAAGCAACTTGCCTGCATGTACCATCTCGCCAGGCGCTAAGAAGCAGACTCGTGCCCCCTCTCGACCCTCCATGTCTGTATACGGGCTCCAAGGAGTTTGGGCAGATAGTCCTGTCAAATTTGATATCAAACTGCCGTTCGAGATCCACGTTCTTTGCAGCCGTGTGATGAGTCCATCCGGAAGGAGTCAGCTCAAGGTAGCGGAGGGGATCGCTACACCCAGTGAGTGCCAGCGCCAGTGACTTGCCCCCTTCCATCCATTTCGCGTGGCACAGCCTCGCCGAGCTGGATGTAAAGACGCTGTTTCTCAGGTCGTAAGTGTTCAAAGGGGTCACCTCAGAGGCGTCCTCTTCTGGTAAGCCATACACCCTCACAACTGACTTGGTGGCAGCCGCTATAAGGTTCCCCGAGGCGCTCTCGAGAACATCTAGAGAATTGATCGTCTCCTGCTCAACTGTCTGTTGGGACGTGTTGTCTAATCCGGATGTTGGTGTAGAGGAAGGCACAAACTGGGCAAGGCGGTGGCCGAACCTAGCAGGCTCCACGGAGAGGAGAGATAGTTGACCGTTGTCGCGACCAGTAATTATGGCTCGTCCAGTGACATGCTCGACAACCTTCAACGCCTTGATATCGTCATAACCGACTTTGAAACCGAGCTCCTTGCCGTCGGATCGGTGCCATGATGTTTGGGAAGTTCGGCCACGCCCCCTGCGTTGGCGAAATCGGGCGATAACATCCTCCCCGGCACCCCATACCAGAAGCTCTTCCTGGGTGCTCGGGTCAAAATGGGCATCGACAACAGATTGGAATAAACCTTTACTCCCCCCTGGTAGTCGCCCATCCCTCCGAAGTCCAATATTAGGAACTATTGCCTGAAACTGAAGGGACCGCCTGTCCCAGCAACGACTCTGCCAAGTAATTGATTCTGCCACCTGCTGCCAAGTGTAGCCCCCTGTGACCGCGCTAGAAAAAGAGAGGGATGGAAATCTGTGCCTGACGAAGACACGCCATCCTTCGATCTGCACAAGATGATGAAGCTTTCGGCACGAGAGCGCAAGGGCTCGAAGGTCTCGGGCGCTTTCTAATCCAGCAAATATAAGGAGCAGAATTTCGTCCGGTAAATCCGCCAGTCTCTGCATATCTATCGTACGAAAAGAAGCCTATACTCTATGTTGTCGTTTCCTCGTTCAAGCTGAAATAGCGAAGGTAGTTTTCAAAGGTGAGGAAGCCTAGATTTTAGAGATTATGTCGAGTGTAAGATATATGAACGCCACTCGCTACCTTACATACCAGGGTAAGATAGAGAAGGAACTGGGAATTGAGCGGGCGCTTGCCTCATGAAGCTTAGCAGTCATTGGTCTGCTAGCCATAACAGGAAGTGTTGAAATTCTCTGAGTCATTTAAAACAGGCAGCAACCGGGGACCAGCGATCCAAAGTCCCAACAACGACCAGCAGCTCCGATTCCGACTCCATGATGGATGAGGTGCCTAGTTTGGACCAAGGGCTGGCCGCCGGCAATCTTTGGGCGGGCCCGGCGGTCACAGTAATATTCGTGCTTCTTACTTACCGACTTGTAATTCATCCCGCGTTCTTTTCCCCCCTCGCCCGGATCCCTAACGCCCACTGGTCTGCCCCATTCTCCCCCATCTGGATTCTCAGCATCCGTTTCGCGCGCAAGGAGAACAGGACCCTCCACGCAGCCCATCGCCGGCTTGGTCCAATTATTCGTGTTGGCCCCAATGAGCTGAGCATCAATGACATTGACAGTGTCCATGCTGTCTATCAGGGCGGTTTCGAGAAACCTGCGTGGTACTCGGTCTTTGACAACTATGGGTATGGCAACATGCTCGACAGGCGATGCACCGACATTTGCTCACACCTGTCGAAAGCGTCCCCTGCATGTTCTCGGCACGGCCAGCAGCTGAGCACTCTGCGCGGAAGCGATTGATCTCCCATGTCTATTCCAAGTCCTATATCCAGTCAAGCCCGGCCGTCTTGGCGCAAGCCTCTGCCATTCTCTATGACAGACTCTTGCCAGTTCTCAAGGAGTCGGTTGCAGAAAATCAGGTCCCGCATGGGATTGACATCTACTCTGTCTTCATGGCGGCAACCATGGATTTCATCGCCTCGTACATCTTTGGCCTCGGCAACGGCACCGACTTCCTTGGCAATAAGGCGTACCGAGAGCATTTTCTTGAGCTTTACAAGGCCCGCAATGACTACGGGTTCTACGATCAGGAGATGCCATGGCTTACCAAGGTCTGCCGGAAAATCGGCATTCCGTTGTGCCCAAAGTGGGTGGATGCTGCGAACAGGGAGCTTAGAGACTGGTGTCAGCGTCTTTGCAACAGTATGGCCAACTTTGTCGAGGGCCATCATGAACCGCCTGCGGGTTCTGCGGATGAACCCATTGTCTGGCAATCTCTCGTGCGTGGGCTGAGAAACGAAGAAGCGAAAAACGGACGGGCATCGGTGCTGTTCCCAACAGCGCTATCTAATATTGAGCTCTCCATTGCCTCTGAGCTCCTGGATCATGTGTTAGCTGGCCAAGAAACGGCGGGCTTAGCTCTGACTTACGTGAGTTGGCGTTTGTCGCAGTCGTTGGAACTTCAGAGAGAGCTCCGTGCCGAGCTTCTAGGTATCTCGCCAAACATGCGGATAGGTACTCATGGCACAACATCTATGCCCGACCTCAAGCAACTGGACAGTCTGCCGCTACTTCATGCCGTACTTACAGAAACACTTCGCGTTCACGCGCCCATTCCCGGACCACAACCCCGGCAGACGCCGGCCTCGGGCTGCCAAATCGGTCCTTACGATGTCCCGGGTGGCGTCAGAGTAGCCGCGCTGGCCTATGCATTGCACCGCGACGAAACCGTCTTCCCGGAGGCCGAGAAATGGGACCATACCCGGTGGCTTCCTCAGAGTGTCGATGATGAAGCTAGAAAGGAAAGGAGCAGACAGTTTTGGGCGTTCAGTTCCGGAGGTAGAATGTGCATCGGGTCTAATTTCGCAATGCAAGGTGTGTTCCCCCTTGACACTAACTTTCGAGCTCCTTGCTGAAGACATGATTGTCTTAGAGATGAAACTCATCATTGCGGCCATCTACTCTAATTACACAAGTCATATTGTTGATGATGAAGGCGTAGCAAACCAGTCCGACGGTTACACCGGACGGCCAGAGAATGAGCGGCTATACCTGCGCTTTGAGAAAGTCCATGATGAAAACACTATGAAGGTGGCTCACTGATGTAGCCCGAGCAATTGCATCGAGATTAACGTTAGGCTTAGTCCGAGGAGGATCCGTCGAAAGTTAAGGACTGGTCGCAACGTGGCCTTCCTGGTGTTTCTCATTGGCAGTTTCGACCTACGATGTAGTTATCATCTTGAAGAACCACCACACACTGTTGTGCAGAAATTCTGACCTTTGGTTCTCCGGGGCCTGATCTCATGAATTCGTTAGATGACCTACCGGTCCCAGTTGGGCTGCAGCTTTACGTACCAAACGCCAAGCCGCCGAGAGATGCAATCGATCGCCCAGAAAGCTTGTTCATCGGAAGATTCCGATCTCTCCGCGATGCACGTGTCCTCGGCCGAACCCGGTCTCGTGCACCATGCATTTGTAGCATAGACGGTGAGCTCTTGTTTGGACGATATCCAATTGCGGGAATACTCGAGCGAAATTGGACGCTCGAGTGTTACAGGTGATCTGGTACCTAGGGGATTTGACGATGGCACAGAAGACACGACGCGGGAATGTTTTTTGCTCCCGTCTTCACACTTCGCGGCAACTTGAACATGCACAAGGTGGAAGGCCACTGAGTGGCCAGATACTCAGCTGTTCACGGGACAGTTGCTTTAATTCGTGCAACGGAGATCCCTAACGTCGCCGTCTCTGTGGTTACGCTAATGAATTAGGCAGGTGCTTCCTCCACCACGAGAAGTGACCGTGGAAGCGAACCGAAACTTCCCCGTCGAATGGCTAAGGTAACAAATCCTGCGGAAACCCCGCCTATTTACTACACACTATGTTGGATTCTCTTTCCAAATTATCGCTCAGCGCGATCCAACTCAGAAAAGGTTTGATGATAACTGTTCCTTAAGTCGGTCGCCCCCGCCCTGGGTCGTTGCTGGCGTCCTCCTTAAGCTCTTATCACTTCGCTTCTTAAAAACCCTTCACCCCAAGATATCTCTCTTACGCTGCTCTCGCTCACCAATTGACCGCTTAATCACCCGAACAATCGCGAATATGGGCTGGTTTCGGAAAGTCAGCCCAGAAGCCAAAGCGGACGGGCATGGGGTGGCAAAGCGCAAGTCGATCTGGACATCTCTCCTTCCCGTCATGGCCTGCGGCGCCGGGCTGTTTTCAGATGGATATGTCAACAATGTAAGCGTGGCGTACTGTCCCTGCCAAGTCTGCCCGCCTAACCATTGGACTGACGACTGTAATTCTCGACCCGGGTTCCGCTAGGTCATTGGATCGGTTGTTACCATCCTGGCCCTACGCTATGGGGATGTATGGGCGACGTCAAATGCCAAGCACTATCTAGGGGACATCGCCTTTGCCGGAACGGTCGTAGGCCAGCTCGTCTTTGGTTACCTGTACGTACCTGGATACTGGCTAGCCTAAGCTGTTATGCCTGGCAACTACTGACTGGAAGCGGCTGCATTTCGAAAGGTCGGACAAGTGGTCACGCACCAACTCGTTGGTGCTCTCGACTGTCATCCTCCTCGTCTTCACTGCCCTCACGGCCGGCTCGTACTATCATGGTGACACGATCGGCATGTTTAATATCATGACGGCTTGGAGGTTTTTCGTATGTATATTCCCCGGATGTCAGACGTGCCTGGTTGTCTGACAGTTCATGGTAGGTCGGGATCGGCATTGGAGGTGAGTATCCAGCTGGCAGCGTGGGATGCGCCGAATCGACGAGCGAGCTCAAATCCGGAACCCGGAATATGTGGTTCATCATCTTCACCAACACCATGATTGACTGGGTGAGTGATGGTTGGCATGTGCATCGCGGTAACCCCGCTAATGGGTTGAAAAGGGGTTCGTATTTGGCGCTTTCGTACCGTATGTCGTCGCAGCAGCCTGCCACAATGAGCATCTCGACACTATATGGCGTACTAGCCTAGGTATTGGTGTCGTTTTCCCCCTGAGTCTACTGATCCTGCGTATCTTCTTGAAGGAGCCGGAGGAGTATCAAAAGAACTCAATGAAATATGCACCGATACCGTACTGGCTGGTTCTTCGCTTCTACGGCTTCCGCCTGTTAATGGTCAGCTTGGTCTGGTTCATCTATGATGTGAGATCCCTCGGTCCCGCTTCTGGTATTGTGCCTGTCTAGCTCACAGCACTAGTTCTCGGCATATTCATTCGGCATCTATTCGTCAACCATCCTCGCCAACATCTTCGACTCTGAGCAGGCACCCCTCACTACTGTTTTCGGTTGGAACACCGTCATCAACCTCTTTTACATCCCTGGGACGATGCTTGGAGCCCCCATTTCTGATTGGATTGGCCCTCGTTACGCCTTGGCAGCCGGTGTCACGCTGCAGGCTGTCGTAGGGTTCATCATGGCCGGCGATTACAACAAGCTCGCCCAGCCCGAGATGGTGGGCGCCTTCGCTGTCGTGTACGGAATCTTCCTATCCCTTGGCGAGCTCGGACCAGGAAACAACATCGGCCTCATCGCAGCCAAGACGTGCGCCACCGGGGTGCGCGGACAATACTACGGTATCGCGGCGGCCGTGGGCAAGATTGGCGCCTTCGTCGGCACGTGGGTTTTCCCCTACATCATTGCCGCAGGTGGGGAGTCCAAGACGCTGTCGGCTCAGTACCCGTTTTATGTGTCGAGCAGCCTGTGCATCCTCAGTGCGGGCCTTATCCTCGTAGGCGTGCCGCAGATTGGGCAGGACTCGATTGGCTCCGAGAACGACAGGTTTCGCGCGTACCTAGAGATGAATGGGTATGATGTCCGGCAGCTTGGGCTCAAGAAGGGGGATACGCTGGAGTCTCTAGGGTCTGGGCAAATCGAACGCGAGCCTGTGGTTGTCGATGAGAAGAGAGTATGATGAGGAACGGTGTGTAATGAGGTAATGTGGTGTGCTGGGGAACGGTAATATTAGACAGTAGATGCTGTTAGAATCATTATCCGCTTGCTTTCTTGGTTGAGAAAGTTCACCTCGATGTCGTCTTTGTGTGTCTGCTATTAGGCGGCGATCAATTGTCACGGCTTAGAGACACGACGCGGCCGAGTCATGACTCGCAGACATGGGGCGCTAGTCATTTGTCTATATACATCAACTCCCGAGTCAACTGTTCGTTCAAATGCCGAGTAAAGTAAGTCGAGATGCCCCACTCTTGTGGCATCTAAATTTACACCAAATCTAGATTCTATAAGACCATGACCGCCACAGCCTCAACTTACGTCTGATCTCTAATATAAGGTCGCTCTTCAATCCAACTCGACCCCTTCAAGCGCCTCCATTATGAACGCTTCTTGCTCTGCCTCTCTCTTGAACCCCAATGTCCCGATTTTACCAGTGTCTTCACCGCCTTTGCTATAAGCAGATTCAGACTCCTTGCTCCCCTCTCCTCCAACCTCCTCCTCTAATCCAGGCTCGCTGAACCCGTCCCCATCACCGTCCTCACCACCCACGCTGCCCTCCCCACCACTAACCTCGCTCTCCGTCTCAGGCGGCGTCTCCATGCCCAGTACCCTCCTTGTGGAAGAAGAAGCAGACAGATTTCTCCTCAAGAGACACATCTCGACCGTAATCCCTGGCCCAAACGCGCACCCGATTACGTACTCCCTGGGTCCACCTCCCTCATCCGCATCCTCATCCCCGTACGCAGTAGGCGCGAGCGCGTCCATGTCCTTGTGCCGCAGGCGGTCGAGCACGCTGAAGATGGTGGCGGAGCTGCTGTTGCCGTGGCGGACGTACGTGTCGTAGCTGGCGCGCATGTGCTGCGGGGTGATACCGAGCGCCTGCTCGGCCTTGGTCAGGATGGTGGCGCCGCCGGGGTGCATGGCCCAGTCGAAATGTGCGGGGCGCGTGTACGACGATGGCAAGGCCGTGGGGGGCGAGGAGTCTGGGGGTAACGAGTCGAGGAGGGTGCTGAAGGACGGCTGCAGGACCGACTGCGTCAACTGCGGCACCCGCGGCGACAGCACCACCTTCCACCCGAGCGGGTCGACGTCGAAGCCCAGGTCCGGTTCCGTCTCCGGGATGGTCTGGTGCGTCCAGGTCAGGAGCGTGTAGATCGGGGGCGGGGGAGATGCGGGGACCGGATGTTGTTGTTGGGTCGAGGTGAAGGGGATGTTGTTCGTGAGAAGGACGGCGCTGGCGCAGTCACTGAAGAGGACCACGCCGATGCGGGTCTCTTGGGACTCGTGGATGCTCTCGAGTTCGCTGCGGACCAAAGTTGTGCTGATTTCGAGCGCGACACACAGGATGCGCGCCGGCTTGCGCCGCTGCGTGTGGCCCAGGCAGAGGTTCGCGGCGGTGCGCAGCGCCGCCAGACCCCCGCTGCAGCCTACCCCGTGGAGCAGCACCTTCTCGACAGTCTGGCTCAGGCCGAGCTCCTTTGCGACGAAGTGGTCGTATCCGGGGTTGGCAGAGTTGGTGCATGTCGTCGATACCATGTGGGTCACCTGGGCGGGATCGACCTGGGCCTCAGCTAGGGCTTTCCGCGCGGCGCTGACGGCCAGCGGAACGCCATCTGACATGAAGGTCTTGTGGAGCTCGGCGATGGTGGGCGGGTCGGGCCGGTTCACCAAAGGGTGATCTGGCGTGCCTATCGAGGAGCGCTGGTCGATGCCTGTGTACCGGTTGATGGACAGGACTTTTTGCATGCTGAGGGGGCGGAATGTCAGTGTACGGGCCAGCTTGTTGAGGAAAGGACTGGCTACACTTACGCGGGCGAGTCTGGGTAAAAGCGTTTGCTCAAGACGTCGACCGCACTGGCTTCGAGCGCGTGGGGAGGGTACTGTGTACCAAGACCCAGGATGGAGAGGCCTAGCTCTCCGGAGTCGGTTGGCGCAGCCATTTTTGCTGGCTTCTGCGGGGCGCAATGGGCAGGAAGATACCGTGACAGCTCAATTGATCCCTCTTGAGCGTTGCGGAGTCGTTGCTCAGTATACCACAGTATACGTCGGCGTGATGTCAGGGCGGAAGACTTCGAAAGGCCAACACACCGGTCGATAGCACTCTTGCAGATAATATGAGCCGAGGCTAGAATTCAGTGCAAAGCCGACTTCTTCCAATTATCTCAGGACAAGACTGCGGGGAAACCTGGCTTGGAATCGAGAAAGTACTTCGTAGATATCGGTGGCTGGGGGCCGGGGGCGTCTCTGGGATGAATGCAAACGAGAGGCAGCGCCGGGACGGGCACGCGATAGGCCGTTACAGCCGCGCCTGGAAAATTGGGCGCTTGAAACTCGACAGCAAGCAGGCCAACGGATATCTCAAGACTGGAGGATAAAAAGATGTGTACGAAGTACTGTACAGTAGGGTGAAACGCCCTTGAAGTACCTCCGTAACCCTGTGAGCAGCAAGGGCGACGCTGCGCCCCGCCAACTAATGCCAGGAAGTTCAGCGTGTGCCGTCATCCATCTTGATTATGAGGCTTGGCCCCATCATCATCGATAGGGAGGATTCATCCAGTGATTCAATTTGGGACCCTGGCATTGCTGGATCGGGACATTCGGTGAAAGTTCCATGCGCGTACTTCAGCATTGTCCTGCCCTGGCCCGACATGATAGATATCGCCGTCTGATGTGGGTTCCTGTGCTTGAAAACGCCCAGCAGTGTCAAATGTGTGGGAGAAAGGGGCTGGGTAGATCATAAACGTCACAAAACTGATTCGACAAAATGCCCTTGCATCCATCGACATGTAGAAAAGCACGTGCGTGCTCCAAAAGGGTTCCAATTTCCAAAGATTAATTATGGGGCCAAGATTGCAACTGCCCGAGCGATTCGGAATTCTCGCTCAGCCTCGGTACCTCCACGGAAGGTCCGGCCGGGTGCAACCGCTACCAACTAGTACGGAAAGGCCCGCGAGCCTGGAGCCGGTAACCGCTCTGGCTGCTTGATTACTGCCAAAAAATATAAAAAAAAATAAAAAAAATAGTAAAAAATAATAATAATAAAAAAAAAATAAGGCAACTCCCAATGGCGCGCATTGTAAGTCGAAGACCCCATGTTCGCGCTTCTCAATAACATCCTTGGATGGCAAAATTACCGCTGTGTCCCCCCAGCTCGTGTAGTCTTGAGGAAGCTCAGACAGACTTGTCAGGCCTTGATTGAAGAATTCTGGGTTGAAGGAAGAGTTCCTCCAAACATGGCAGGAATAAAAGTCCAAAACGGTAGCTGTGAGATACAAATTCTTCAAGAGAGAAAATAAAAGGTTGAGGTATCAAAATGACATCGCCAAATCCATTGCCAATCGTAGTGCAACCTACACGTAAGGTATGTCCAGAGTCCCGTCTCCATTTTGTGTGCTGAACCGGCTAGCACTCCCAATAGACACTTGCTCATTCCCACAACCCTATAATCGAGAACCCTCCACCGACGACACCTCTCTTTCTGCATTACGCCGTCTTCTTCCACTGCAAATACACGCCAATCAAACTGCTCAAGGTGCCCGCAAGACCGACAATGCCGTCATCGAAGGGGACCCAGTTGAGCGCCGAAAGAGGCACCGTCAGATCGCAGAGGTCCGAAGTTAGTTGGAGTTGACTGCCCGTCCGTTCCCTGCAGCGCACACCGCGACGTTAGTAGCCGTTTCCATACCGCGTACCATCAGCAACTGGTTGGGAATCAGAACTCACATGGCAATCCTCTTGCTCTCGAGCACGCCCTCGCCCTCCTTGCGGTCCACCCTCGCCTCGCGCTGCTGGAGCTGGTAGAGGGTGTACAGCTGAGCAACAACGCTGCAGGCCAGGCCGGCGGCCCAAAAGCGGTAGGCCTCCTGCTGGAAGCGCTTGGCCGAGGGGCTCCTGCGGATGCCCAGGGTGTCCGGCAGGGTGGCGAGGTCCATGGTGAGGTACCCGGCGTAGCCGAGCTGGCGGCCGACGGCGGCGTAGCGCAGGACGGGGTCCATCGTCTTGGCGTCGGCGGCGACGGCGGCCGCCTTGAAGTGCTCGACGTTCTTGCCGGCGCGCAGCACCTTGCGCACGAGGCCAAACTGCTTCTTCAGCGTCTCCCACGGCTGGATCGACGCTTGCGGCCGGTTGGTCCGCAGCAGGTACCACGCGTAGAAGCGGGCAAAGTACTGCAGCGTGCGCAGCAGCTTGTCGCGCCCGACCGTCGTCGCGACATATTTGAGGTAGTGCGACACGGCCGGATGGTAGATAACTGCGTCGGCAACCATTTTTCCTTCCCTGTCGGTTCCCTTCTCTCGTCGAGTTTTTCTTTGGTGATTCAATTAGGATGCGGGATACCGCTAGGCAATAGATTGAAGCAAACCAGCCAAGATAGATAGCCTCTATCAGTGGTGGAAGGGAACGGAGCCCACAAAGGGTTGGATGGTCGGCGCGACGTTCACTCACATGCCGAGGTAGTACGATGCATTAGGGAGCGCGCAGAGGAGCATAAAGCGGGGCTCCGTCTCGGCTTGTCAGAAAACGACCGTGTCATTTCAGGGTTAGGGGTTCTCTGCCCCTTTACATACAAATGCACACACCCCTAAGAACCGGTTTCCCTGAGCGTAAAATCATACAAATGTACGGAGTAGCTAGCACGCTAAAGTACAGGAAATTGCAACAGATACCAAATGAACGCTATATACAGCCATCTATAGCTTCGGCGAGGGAGTAAACAACCCAACCTTTTCCTTCAGCGTCTCTTCGGCCTCCTTCTCGATCCTCGCGACGAGGTCCTTGCACGTTGGAATGTCATGGATTAGACCGATCACCTGGCCGGCGGTCCAAACGCCATAGTCCGGATCGCCGTTGATAAACACCTCGCGGCCGCGCTTGCCGCTGACGTAGGGGGCAATCTCGGCGAACTCGCCCGTCTTGCTCTCCTGCTCTACCTTGAGCGCTTGCTCCGTGACCTTGTTCCGGTACAGGCGGGTCGTGTTACGCCAACGGCGCAGCAGGAGCGCCGTGTCGGTCTCCTGGGCTCTGACAATCTCCTCCTTGATCTTGATGTGGACCGGGCTCTCGACCGTGCACAGGAACCGCGTGCCCATGTTGATGCCGCAAGCGCCGAGACAGAGCGCCGCGGCCAGCCCTTGTCCGTCGGCGAAGCCGCCCGAGGCGATGAAGGGAACCTTGAGAGTCTGTCGAGCACGGCTGAGGAGGATAAAGTTTGTAATGTCTGACTCGCCGACGTGCCTTTTGCAAGGTGTAAGTCTCTGTTTATCATCCGCCTTGATCATGTGCATGACTTACCCGGCGCATTCGAACCCGTCGATGCTCAAGAAGTCGACGCCTAGTTTTACAGCGGACTGGGCATGTCGGATGGTCGTGCACTTGTGCAGGATGGTGCACCCGGCCTTTTTGAGTTTGGTGATAACCGGGCCCGGCGAGTTGCCAGCCGTCTCTACGATCTTGACGCCCTCGTCAATAACAACCTGGGCATACGCCGCATAGTCTGGTGGCACAAGCGCGGGTAGCAGGGTAATATTGACGCCGAAGGGTTTGCTCGTCATTTTCCTGCACTTGCGGATTTCCTGGCGGAGCCCCTCGGGCTCAGGCCAGATGAGCGCCGTGATGATACCCAGGCCGCCCGCGTTTGATACGGCACTCGCCATCTCAGCTGTGCCTACATGCTGTTTAGAGTGTCAGCTTGGTGGCATTCATGCTAGGGTGATTTGGTGATAGGCTATTGTGTAGATTTACCTGCATGCCACCCTGGACGACAGGCACTGAAAGATATCAAGATTAGCAACCTCATCTAGTGCATGATTACATGCAACTTTCTAGAAGTACATACCTGTGATGCCGAGCCGGCGAGTGAGTTCCGTGTTGAAGGGCATTGTAAGTTTGTAACGACGATGAGTTGACGATGAGCAGCGCGTCGAAGGCGAAAGCGAAAGCGTTGTGACAAAACGGCCGAAGACAAATCGCAAGAGATTCGGGACGTAAGACGCCAATTGGTATCAAGCAGAACCAACAATGAGCAAGACAAGCGAACGGAAAACCGGAGGACGATACATTGATGAAGGCGTGGTCGGCCGGTCCGTGACCAGTATGTCGGGTACGGGGGCCTTGTCTTTGCGATGGCGGCCGAGCCGAGGTAAGTTTAGGAGCCGGACAAGGCCGAGGGCCTGAGTGGTCACAGGTTGTCAGTGGTCACAGGGCGGCCAGCTGAGGACTCAGCCCCGTTCCCCACTGAACGGAGTGTAATTACGCATGAATCTTGCGGAAGAAGGATGTAAGGAGCGTTAATTACTCCGTACAACTGTTCTTACAAGATATTTCGGAGCATGTGATGCGAGTTGATTGACCACATACCGGTATTACACTGTGGTATTCTTGAAATTCCACGCGTAACATTACGCTTGCAAGCATTCGGTTTGTAGTCGGAGCGTGCCAAGCCCCCCAACCAACTTAAACCGAGGGACGAACCTTCCAACTTCAAAGCGACAACATGGAAGTTCGAGACAACAAGTGAGATGTTTGACTCGAAAAGCATTACTACCTACATCGCGCCTCGAAGAGTTTTTAAAGATCCGAACGAGTTGATAATGTACCGCACCGGCCTTGGGGCCTTTCCCGGCTACCCTGTACGAGGACTTCTCGCATCACGACTTTCGCCTAGCCACTTCATTCAGTCTATTCATTTGTCATGAACTACTCATCGCTCTCAAGGGCCACAGCACCTCTTCTCAGCGGCAGATATTCTCCATAATTGTCGAATAGCACAGGCACGCCCAATGTGTGGCAGCCTATGCGTCTCCGACTTTCGGTGGCATCCATGCTGACCAGCACTATCAAACCACAAAATGATCCAGACTGCACAAGCCTACCCGAAGCTGCTATGCAGTCTCTGCCCAACCTACCCGTTTTGCCGAAAACGAAAAGGGACACGACGGGCCAACGCATGAAAGCCCAACAGGCGACTTGATTCTAGGTGCCACATACGATGTTCAAGTCACTACCTAATCTTATGGCCGCGGCAAGCAGCGCAGTGTTCCGTCGCCGATCAGTGAGAGACAATGTTCGACAACAATGCCGGCGCTACCTGAGCTGGCGATGCAGCTGTCGGAACTAGCGGCGGCATATCGCTACGCTTTGTTGTTTAAATAGCCGGCGCCTTCTACCACCATGGACCCGTATGTGTCGATAACCGAGCCCGTTGTTCGTCAAATATCTCACTTACCGCGCCTTGTCCACTCCCCGTGGGACCTGCCGTCTTCCGGATTACACAGACGGCTACTTGCTTGTCTGCCAGTCTCAAGCGGCATCCGACAGGTCACGGCAGATGTCACGACTCCCCGGGAGCAATGCTGCGATGCGGGCCAGCGCTTAGCCGTTTTCCAACCGCTCAGTTAGCTGCCTTCGTATTTTCGGCGTGTGTACCCTACCGGAGCCGCATAATTAACACCCAAAGCCGAGTTGGACATCGCGAACATCCCTATTGGCTGGGGACGATTACCTCCCATCCAACTCGTGCCCATAACCGCACAAGATTCGGTTTTGTATTCATCTCTCACCTCTCCCATTCTACCTGACAAGCTGGGCTGATTTGATAATGCTGCTTCGATTCTAGCCCCTTCACCGTCGCGGCTGGCCGCCTCCAATACCTGCCGGCCTGCGCGGCCGACGTGAATGAGCCGCGTGTCACTCGACTGAACCCTGCATGACGTTGATCAACAATTAATTGACGCCCCACTGCGCATCAAGGCCTGGCTGATGGTTTACTGCGGCGACATGCCGTGCACCATGGCAACATAATTGTTGGGCTTGATACAGCACTGATGGAGGGTTGTTGCGCAGCGTACCGCAGACTCCGCAGGTTCAATCTGGCCGGACTTGCCTTGGATGATTTTCGGTCTGCCGTCAAATTCCACGAAAGGTTGACGCCTAGCTACTCTCCTTGCGGTAGTAGCTGCGGAACGGAAGCGTCTAGAAATGTGCCGCTAGCCGACTGATGAGCGCCCCCAATGCTCTCTGACCCGCTGGTGTTATGCCTCAAGTGTCTATCTCAACTACATCGAGGCGAACAATATTCGGATTGCTTGCAGTTTGTGGGACGGACTTGACGGGCAAATGCCGGAAGCAAACAAGCTCCATATCTTAGCAGGAGGCTGGCACTTTAATTCGTCACCATCTTTCCAGAAATTATCTGGAGTGCCTCCACTGTCCAAGAACCATCTGGGAAACCTCAATGAAGGCGCTGGACAGGAGACGAACGCTTTTACCCCTTAATCCAGGAACCATATCCGCCAAAGTTCCTCAACGAACCTTTTTTTTAACTTTTTTTTTTAACTTTTTCTTTTTCTTTTTCTTTTCCTTTTTTTCCTTTTTTCCTTTTTTATTTTTTATTTTGGCTCCCCTCCCTTCGCTGTTCTTTCGTATGGCGGTCAGTACTCTGAAAGCGATGGCAATGCTTTGAAGGAATCATATTTCTCACACAAGATCGCTGTCAAACTGAACTGCCAGACCCCCTTTTGGACCGGCAAGCCCAGCCACCGGATGAAATTGGAAACCAAACGATGGTACCCGACTTGACGCTTCTGATTGGAGGGATTGGTGTCCCCCTCCATGCGACTTGATGATATTATGATGTCGCCTGCAGCGCTCCGGTACGCCAGCAGAGAATCTCAGATATTTCAAACGCAGTCTTCTTGATATGATGATACAGCATTTGTTGCCCGACTGTGACCTGGCAGTCGGGACGTACAATGCAGTAGCAATTAGCATCCGGTGCTGCCCAATTCGCTTTTATCGGACACGGTGAACGGGTTTCACGCGGGCCATGAGGGGCTCTTCCAGGTTGCACTCCTCCGGATGCTCTGGAATGCTGCGGTCCCGTACGGCATTGACAACTCAGTCCATGTTCGATACCTATATCCTTGGCACCCGATACACCTACACAAGCATTTCTGCCCAGTCTGCCAAAGACTGTGCTAGGTATCTTCTCAGCAGATGCGGTGCAGCAACATTGGAATTGTTGCTGGAAGGCCTTGGCGAGCCTTTAGCGCCACTTCAACTTCGTCCCTGCTTTAGTCCTTTTTGAGTAATGACCTTGTCCCAGTGACAGCTCAGCGTCACAGTGGGCAGCAAAGACTTGCCATGGTCAGAGACTGGATGGAGCCCTGTCTATTGCTTTTTCCCTTGCACCTAACGTTAATTAGTGCATCGCTTGTCCCTTGTTTCTTTCTCATCCGAACGGGACACCCGGCGCCCCTAGGCCGTTGCCAATGGCTGTCATGGTGTTTGAAAGCCGCTCGTGTGCGTTGACGCTGTGTTCGTGCAGTTGCTGGCGTCGTCCGTCCAGGTGTGCGCCCGGGGTCTCCAATGTACGACTGGTTCCCTGTTACGGAGCTGCAGCAACGGAAACGTCTTGATTAGTGTCATGGCTTGCTCGACTCCCAATGAATCCTGACCCAAGTGGCACCATGATTGTTGGACCCGGTGACTTGGCACGCGGCAGCAGCAGAGGTACTGTACAAAGGCAAAGTTGAAACGACTCAGAGAAAAGAGGAAAAGTCGAAGAAACATTTCCCATCCACCGCCTCCCGGCAGCAGAGAAAAGCGGCCGGCCAATGCCTGCCCAGGTACTTCGTACCCTCGATCTACTTAGACCGAGTGTGCTATCACAGCAGTTTGACCCGCTGAGATAGCCGCCTCTTCCTCTCGCAATTGTATCTGCTAGACGTCCTCAAAGGCGAGAACAGGAGAGAAACAAGGCATTTACTCACTTGTCCGCCCGTCTGTACATGTCCACGATGCACCGTCCCGTCATCTGTCCATAATCTACTCGTTGTCCTGCGTCTTTGCGGACAAACAAGTCGTCTTTGCAATTAGCAAGACAGCATATGCCCAGACCGTACGGACAAGGGATATGCATTCTAATTAAGTACACATCTACTCTTCGAATCCCTTTCGGCCACATCACTCTGTCTGTTTCTACCGCCTCATTGCCCATCATAGACCAATTAGCCGGAGCCTCAGTGGTACCGTCGTGGAGTGTTCCAAAGCTATAAAATCGATCCCAGAAACACCGTCATTACTGTGGCTCTTCCCGCATCTTCTCGCTTGTTTCAACATCTACTTCACTCCTATCTAGCCAAGAGGCTACCTTGTTGCAGATCTTCAACAACGCTTGCGTTGTCCAAGTATCGCCCAACTCATACCGTCTTTGTTGTTACTCGGACAACCCCCACATTGTCCAAACAATACCTCTGTCTTGCTGTGACGAATCACCGATTCTCTGGGAACCCTAAAATCCCCCCGTTGCTCTTCCAACCTGTCCGGACATTACACAATGGCGTACAATACTGGTACTTGGCAAGAAAAGCTCGACGGTACGGCAAGACCCCGAACCATTGTCTCATCTACTCATGTCTACTCCCCTACCTTCATCACATTCAGTTATTTCACCTAAACAGCAACAAGACTAACCAAGTTTCTCCTCATCTCTTGGGTACAGAAGCCTGCCGTGAGCGTGAAATCCAAGCTCCCATGTTCCAGCTCATGTCAGATAGACGGGGTGAGTTGAAGCCTTTGAATTGCCCTTGAAGCATTTTCCTTACTCATCATAACCCCCTATGATAGGCGGCCGCACTGCTTGGACCAGCGCCGTGACTGTCTACGGAGTTCAGCACAGGGCACGGTTCTGGTATGACGGCAAGAACCTCAACAACGCCAAGGAGGATGCCGCCGAGGTGGCCGTCAAGTGGCTCACTTCCTCGGCTCCCAGCTCCCCCGCTACCAGCAGGAGCGGCAGGTGGTCGTGAGCGAGGGTAGAGGTCTGAGAGCTGGCGAAGGGGAGGAAGGGAGCATGTGATGGGGAGGGAAAGGAGAAGCAGAGGAGAAGGATGAGAGCCATGGAGCTCGGGAATGCGGCCGTGCTGCGAAGCACAGCTTTGCCGGCTGCTGCTGAGTCTGGCTCTTTTCTCTCTCTCTCAGCTATATCTTTCCCTCATCCGTTTCGATTCCTCCCATCCAGCTGTCGGAGCTGCGCGAGACCATCGTTTCGCTTCTTGATTCACTTCCTCACCACCCGGTTACCACATACTTGGATTTCTAATGTACCATATCAGCATTGGCATGTTTTCCCTTTCCCTCTCACCCCCCTGATTTCATATATTTCTCTCTTTCCCTAAGCGAGGCACATCTGTCTGGAGTTGATGGAAATTGGTCATGCCACACGGCACCATCGGAACTGTTTGGACGGCGGTCTCCTATTGAATTCAGCGAGGCGAGGGAGGAAGCATTCAATGTCTCCTACTTGTTGGTTGGGTTGGATGTTCATGCCCTTCCCCCCCCCTCTCCCTTCGGTCTATTCTTCCCGCTCTTGGCATCTTACATCTTACCTAGTGCTGCTTTGTGTTTTGTTGTTTGTTTGCTGTTGCTGGGAGGCCCCGGCTAGGCTGGGATGGCTGATACCCCAATTCCGATATGGTTCCGAGAAGGGAGGGATCATCATCGGGTTACGCTTTAAGTTGTTTCTTTTTGCCCGATTATTTGTTGCACACCGCGCATTTTTACTAGCATAGCATCGATGCGTGGGAGGGATGGGTATGCATGGTGGCTGGCAGGCGGGCAATTTGAACGGTGGCTGGAAAAACTGGTTCCGGGAGAAAAGTTTTTTTTCTTGCTCCATTTTCTTCTGTTATTTCTCCCTTTCCTCTTGAGATTGCCAACGAAGAGACAGGGTTTGACATTCGGAAAAGGAGTCGAAAAGTGTCTGGATTCACTGTTGCCTCTTTGAATCCGGCCAGCGGATGCTTGGAGGACTGTCTGAGTGCTTTTCTAGTACAGCATCCCCTTATACATCACAGAAGCATCATGAACGGTTGGCGGGGAGCCTAATCACAAGGATACTATGGGGATTGGAGTTGGCATTTACAAACAGGTCTCATGGTAGCCACTTCGGAACGGCATGGATGGATCTGTTTATGCTAGATTGGGCTTGATTGAACCCCCTTTTGTTTTCATTGGAGTTGAAATTGCAAAATACGCTCCGATGACGGATAGTGTAGTTTTGCTCTCATGGTGTACACTTCACTTACACGTGTACTTCCGATGCTCTGCAGTGGAGAGTGGAAAAAGCAATTCTGGAGACGCGGTGATCTCCTCGGTTGGCAAGTTCCGGCGATTGTGTTGCACAAATCGCGGGGCGAGACACTGCCGGTAGGCCCTCGATGGGCGATCAGATAACGGACCCCTGCATGGCCTCGAAGCGACCCAATACCGCTGGAGTAACCACACCGCTCTCCAAAGGTTAGGAGAGAGACGGTTCACTGGGTTGCCTTTCGTTTGCTTCTGACCGTTCATGCCTGGGGAACGCTGGGCTGCAGTCGCTGCTCGGCCCGGGTTTCTCATACTGCCCAGGGATAGCTGTTTGATAGGTGCGCCCGCTGTCCACGTCGACACCACCGACTCGTCAGCTGGCGACCCCACGACCAACAATCAAGGGGCGGTTGGAGGAGCCAGCACTGAAGCGGCGGCGTCCTGTGCAGGAGAGCAGCAGCATCATGTGTTCCCGTGACCAGGGCTGCTTCTCGCGCTGACGGGAAAAGAAATGGGCAAACAGGTTAATGGGGAGAGAGTAGCTTCATGTGCTGCAATGCATGGACAGCTATCCGTAATTGACCTCGAGACCGATGATGAGGTGGGATTGTGGGGAATGCACTGTTGAGATTGGCGTGGAACACCTGAGCGGGCGGGCGTTTACCAACACCAAAGGCGGTCAGTATCCGAGTAAATTCCTCACGTGCGCTTCACACAGCTGAGGGTTTGGTGCCGGAGGCCCTGAGTGCCAGCGGGATCTCCCATGCTCCCATTGTCTGGGGTAGGGAAGCGGTGTGTCGAGTTGGGGGTCTGCCAGCGAGAGTTTTCTTTCAATGGCGCGGGAATTGTGTGGCAGGAAAGCGGGATGAATTGCTCATCACCACAAGAGAGAGAGGGAATCAAAACCTCACGGGCCAGTTTTGTATATCGAATGGTTTTATGGGAGGAAAGAAGCAAGGAGCCGATGAGAAAAAGCTCCGGGCCGTGGAGGATGAGAATCAATTCGGTCCACTGTCAGCTCGGCTCGCTGCTTCCATTGTGATTTCACTGATTTGCGCTAAGCTAAGTTACCGTAACAATACGCTAGACTGGCTACAGTACGGAGTAATTATGTATTGTCGAATTACAGAATTACGTATATGTACATATGTACTGTACGTACCGTTCAGGTTACACACGATGCTCCCCAGACCCGGCTGAACCCCGGCAAACTGGCAATTTTTCGAGAACACTCAACTGGGACAGTCGCGAGTCGCGACTCCAGCGCCAATCCCAGATATAGATTGCCGACCTACCACCTACCACACAACGACCATGCCTCCGAGGCTGAACATCTGGGGGGCGTGCAGAGCCCTTTCCATACGGACCCGGGCTGCTGCCCAATTGCCGCAGCCCGGATCAATAGCGTTTTCCAGGACAATGGGCGACTTGCCGACATCACGGTTGCCCGAAAGCAACCTCCCGCCCCCGCCGCCGCCATCCATGCCTCCCCAGAGCGAGCCCGTCACGTCTTCCAGTCCGGAAAACGAATTCGCTTTGAGCCAGCTGAAGATGGTTGAATACGGCCTTAACCCTTTCGATCCATCGGTAGAAGGCCACAAATATGGATTACCGGAACTGCCACTGCCGCCACAGAAAACCACAAAACGTCGCTACGACGACATCGTCACGCAGGTTACAAAGCTCCTAATGAGGGACGGGAAACTGGCCAAGGCTCAGAGGGTGAGGAGATTGGAGATGGTGTCCCCGTTTAGTCTCGACCGACGACTGATCTGACGCCGTGCTGTAGGATATGGCGATGATACTCAACTACCTGCGGACATCGCCTCCCCCGAAGCTGGACCCCTCAAAGCCGCTCCTTCCCGAGACCCCGCCAGCGTCTCATCTGCCCCTAGATCCCGTCCTCTATCTCAGCCTTGCCATCGACTCTGTCGCGCCGCTGATCAAGATGCGAGGTTTCAGGGGATTGGCCGGCAGCGGAAAGTCACTAGACGTGCCCACACCCTTGAGAAAGCGGCAAAGGAGGAGGATAGCGTTTAAGTGGATTCTGGACGTCGTGGAAAAGAAAAAGTCCAAGGGGAGCGGTCGGGCCATGTTCCCGCACCGCGTGGCGGAGGAGATTGTGGCCGTGATGGAGGGCCGGTCCCCAGTCTGGGATAAGCGCTCGCTGATCCACAAGCTGGGTACGGCTAACCGCGCCAACTTGAATCACAATGCTATCAAGGGCATGATTTGAGCGGCCTGGAAGCTGTTGTAGGGTAGGGGATGCTTAAATGGGAGTCGTGGTCGGGCCTCGGGACCTTTCAGAGATTGAGGTTCTCTAGGTTTGGCTAAGGTCAATTGATACCGCCTGTATGTACATTATGTATGGATATATGTCTTTCATCCCGAGTCGTGACGGTGATTTGGCATACAGACGACCGCATTGCTCCCTAGAGTATGTTTGTTTCACTGTTACCTCCCTCTAAAGGCTGTGTCCGAACTTGTGCTTGAAGGCGTCCGCTTTTCTCCGAATAGACAGACGAACTCTAACGTTATTTTGACAGGCAATCTCTCTCATTTCAGGCTCCTGCTCCCGTAAAGGGCTTTCCTGTCAGTTGCTGGTCATCTTCCAGATATATATACTTTCTTCAGAAGCTTGAACCCATTCCGTGTCTCTGTCCCCAGATCAGTCGTGTGAGCTCCATCGTTATCAGAGTAGAGTTCTGATGGGCCGAGGTAGATCCATACGCAAATCTACCTTAGTGTATATGAAGTTTAGGGGATAAGGTGGCTTGGGTAGGTAGCGTAGATCATGGCTGACGTGACCCCACCAGGTATCTGCACCCCCGCACGTCACTGCCAGTCGGGTCTCTGCAAGAGCTTCTGTGAAACAGGTCTGCACCCCCACCACATGGATGTCAAGGACCGTTTTCTCATACGTTCCAGTTGTCCAGTACTGTACGGATACCTCCGTACCTCGTTACATTGACATTCGATAACCTGGGGTCGATCGCACATCTCTGGCTTGAACTGCGCAAGTCCACTCCTCCGCCGAGTCCACTTGCGGGGCAGCCGGAGGTCAGTATCCTACATCAATTGCCAACTTTGAGCTTGGATAACTTGTGCAAGTCTCGTCTTGGCAGCTCGGGCACCAGAGACTCAGAGAGGCTGTGCTTCAGAGGGGCTGTCTTGGCGACGCCTTCGCACGGAGACGAGCTCGTCAGCCAGAAACACCGGCCTGCTCACACCCCACCATGATCTGAGAGTTGACAAAGAGGAAACTGCCAGCCACCGACCACGATGCTGTTTCGGCCGTTTGCATATCCATCTCGGCCTCACATCATACCCCGTTGAACATCCCCAGAGACGGTGCAGCTCTGTTGAGTTATCACCAAACTACCTTAATTTAATCATTGATTTTACCGGCGATTCTGGGGCCTAAACTACCTACGGATATCCCTTCCTTACACCCGCACCTGCATCCGCCCCGCCCTCCATTACCGCCTCCCAAAGCTCACTGTGACACGGCCTGTACTGTCCATCATGGCTCGACAACAGGCCATGTCAATGGAGGCGATGCTCGACGAAGAGCGAAGAGAGGTGCTTGCGCTGCTAGAGGGGAATTCGAACCAGCGGCCCAGAGCTCCCAGCTCGCTAGGCGCGCGCTCTCCATCCCCTTACACGTCGCCGCGGTCTCCGGTGCGCAGCATGTTAGATATTGGTGATAGCCCTTCATCCCTTACACTCCTGTCTCCAGCGTCTCCAAAGAGTCTGGCTACTAAGACAACTTCCCCGCCATTAGCCCCTGTGAGGAGCATGCTCGACGTCGACAGCCCACCGCCACCGCCAGTCCGGAGCATGCTGGATATTGACACCCCACCCGGCGCGAAGCAGGTGCTGAGCACACCCTCATCACCCACTGACTCGAGTTCCCGCTCTCACGGAGCGACTAACACGCACCCGAGGAGCATGTCGGATGCTGCAATCCGGCCAGTCGACTTCGGGCCACGGTCGATGGGCACTCGGCATGACCCAACTTCGGAGTACCAGTTCTCTGGGATCATCACCAACACGGGTCAAGCGCTCCCAAAACGGGTCACGCAGGGAGGCAAACGTGCTAGCGCTATGGCCGAAGTAATGAGAGGAAACGATGTAGCCGGCTTGGTTCTCCCTGGCGATCGAGGCCGTCATCATTCAGTCGCCGGGCCCTCAATGCGGCTTCAGAACAAGTCGAAGTCGCCGCATAATCGGTTTGGCCTTCGGTCTCACTCCCCTAAGGCGTCCCCGCTCTTGGGTCGCACACTGAGCCCTGCCGGACGGGCAATGCTCGGTGACAATCAGACTGTCGATTATAACAATGCCTACAGGCACCTTTCGGATGCTGCCCTTGCCCGCTCCGGAGGCAGCCTGTCGGAGCTTGGGTTGCGGAAGCGGTCAGACGATTCGCCTGGGACCGGAAGACTAGCTAAGGACTACCTGGGCCCAGACGGTGAGCTACTTGCCGAAGATAGCAGCGATGATAATGGAGGGAGCTCGTCTGAGGAGGATGATCGCGGGAGGAAGGCTGCCCGAAATTTTGATAAGCACAAGCCGACGAACGGGTCCGAGTCTCCCGAATCACCGAGGAAGGTGCGCAGCCTGCTCGCGGCTGCCGAGGAAGAACGTAGGTGGTTGCGCCGAGCCAACAGGTACGAGCATTGGGAATACTAACATGGTGCTGGGCAGGTATCCAGGTAGCGGCGCAACAGCCAGCGTACCAGTACAGGTCGCTTCTTGATGAGCCCGAGATAACAGTGACTGCGCCATCTGGCGAGCGGTTGAAGCACAACAAAACTGTCATACACCCAGCCACCAGCTTTGATCTTCCCCCTAGGTCCGGCTCTCGCACACCCGTAGACTCGGATACGGAGGCGGATCTCACGGACATCAAGCGAGCACAGAAGCTGTCCTTCTCCATGACGCAGATCATGGACACGCCCGAGTCTCACCGGACAATCCAAATCATCACACGGGGCGAGTATGCGAAGCTCGTTCGAGAAGCCGAAGAAGAGCACCGGCCTCCCCGCAAGTACCTGGTGGCGACCGACTTGAGCGATGAATCGACGCATGCGCTCGAATGGGCCATTGGCACGGTGCTCCGCGACGGGGACACCCTCCTCGCCATCTATTGTGTTGACGAGGAGACAGGGGTCATAGCAGGGGACGGCAACTCGGTGGTGCCCGATGAGCCCAAGGCTATGAAGGAGCAGGCAGCAGCTATCAATGCGGTAGCGGCCAGCAAGACGCCCGTCACGCCGAGCGGGACCAACCTGCCACTCCACACGCGCACCACACCGTTCTCACACATGTCGGATGCGAGCACGTCCCCCGCACCGTCGAGCAGGGAGCGCAGCAAGGCTGAGGAGGAGAGATACCGCGCGGTGCATGACATTAGCGAGCGCGTGACCAAGCTGCTGCGGAAAACGAGGCTTCAGGTCAGGGTTATTGTCGAGGTGCTGCATTGCAAGAACCCGAAGCATCTGATTACCGAGGTGATTGACCTGGTGAGCCCGACGCTGGTCATTCTGGGAAGTAGGGGAAGGAGTGCGCTCAAAGGGTATGTTGTTCTCCCTTTTCGTCCTGGTTCTGCACCCCTTTTGTTGGAAGGTTTGAATGCTGATATTTGGATCGTTGCGTCTAGTGTCATCCTGGGCTCGTTTTCCAACTACCTGGTTACCAAGAGCTCAGTACCAGTTATGGTAGCCAGGAAGCGCCTGAGAAAGCAAGGCAAGTATAAGCGGGTACCGTCTACTAAGCAGATCAACAACCTCCATAACCCCGTGGCGAGGAGTTTGGCAAATGCCAAGATTGATTAGAGGATGGAGCGAGTGGGACAGCGAGGAAGGCATGACAACACTGCTTTGATGGCAGGAACTTCAGGAGGTGGCAGTCCTCTTTCTACTCTTCTCATTCGGGAACCTTACTAGCGGGTAATAATAGTTTGGGCCAAGCCTATGTGAAGACACATGGTTACGGCTTTGTTTCTGAAATTGTTTTGGCTTGGCTGCTCTCTTGTGTATGAGATTAAGCACAAGCAGCCGGCTATGGAGGTAATTCTTGTTCTCTAGGCTGTTGGCTGACCACCAGAACGTGGAGACACAGCTTCCAAGCCTTGGAGTAGTGATGGGGAACAGCTGAACCACCCAACCACAACTGATTACCCAGCCTCGCCAGCGTGGGTATTGTATCGGTTGTTCTTTTCTCTGCCTTCTGCTCGGATGACACTGACAATCTGCATCATGATGACATGACCCTTCCCTTCGCGTGTCTGCCGGGTCTGCTCTGATAGTGGAGTAGGTCAATGTGTGAATGATGGAGGCCCACCCGCACATCGACAACAAGTCACCCAATAAGTCACCGTGTCTCCTTCGCAGAACTTTGTTGTAATCAACGTTATCGGTCTCATCATTTTTTTCATATATAAACTCACAGTCATTATCATGGCCAAAATCCCATCCGTTCAAGGTTTGCTCCCTGAATACAGTGGTTCCGCTGGTGGGCTGCGAATGAACAAATTCGGGTGAAATTGAACAGCAGCGACTTGATGTGGATGAGTGCGGGTAAGTGGGGACGTTAACACAACGTTGGTGTGGCCCCTCCATGAGGCAGGGGTCCGCGCGGGGGTCAAGACAGGCTAGCTGATTGGTTGGCAGTGAACGAGTGGCCTGCTCTCGCTGGACGGGGCAAGCTTCCCCAGCCTCTGATTTTTTGGGACAATTGCCCTGGTCGCATCCACGAGTGGAACCAGAGGACGGATTGCGGGCGGGATGCCATGCGATGCGGATGCGATGCGCCGTGGAGATCTGAACTGGAAACGACTAGCGAGAAGCATCCTTTTTCCTTTCTTGCGGTGAAACTGGCTAGTCTTTCGCAAATCCCATTTGACTTTCGAAATCGACGACTCACAACAAAAGGACTTGTGGTTGCGAGACCCAAAGACCCAACATTAATAGTGCATCAAACTTGCCTATCCCGTCCACCGCAACCTCGGCGCGGCACCACGACCGCCCACGACCGCCCACCACCGCCTAGCCCCGCAGACACACACACTCATACCACACCCACATTTGGTTCGGCGCGGACATTGCGACGTGCGCCCGATCCGCCCGACGCCGTCGCGCAGCGCAAACGCCGTGCGATGCAGTCGCTCTTCACCGTCAACAACAACGTATCACTGGCACTGGTCAGCATCACGGTTGCGCCGAGCGCCTGGGTCGCTTCCCTGGTGCTATCGCTGGTCTTCCTCTTCTTGTACTTGCCGCCTCTGTCGCCTATCCGCTGGAGGCCATCCTTGTCCTTGCTCAGGCGACGCAAGCTGCAGCAACCCGCACCCGCCGTGTTGGACGAGGACGCGCAAGACTCGCTATCAGAGGAACTACCGCTTCGGCGAAGACAGGTCGAGGACAAGCCACTGCCGCCATTGCTCGCCGATTATCCGTATCCCTACAGCCTCTTTGGCAACCACAGCAGCGAGTGCGACGACAGGCGGAGAAAGAAGGAGAAGCCGAGGCGCAAAGAAGAACAGCTCCGAATCTGCAGCAGCAAACGGGCTGGCAGCAACAGCGGCAAAGCAACATCCGGCGGCGGAGGAGGATCGGGCGACCATGGCGGGAGCGACAGCGATAGCCACCGATCAAGCCGAGCACCAGCTCGACCAGCTCGACGCGTCACTGGACGACTTCGCGCCCTCGATTGGCAGCCCACGTCTTCCGTTCGGGTACCCGTCAGCCCACTCGGGGTTCCGGAGCGACGACACGGCGAGCGAGGCGGGCGCTTCGGACTCGGGAGCTTCCGCCGGTGGCTACAGTCCTCCGGCGTGGAGGCGCCTCGGCAACGGCGACCGCAGCAGCGGCTTCTGGAGAAAGACGGACAACAACCTGATGGATATGTACGATGATGCCGTGCGCCGCTCGCGCGAGAGCAGCCCCGAGTACGAGAGCGCCGACGAAGGTGACGAGATCCTTGCCCAGGCCATCAGGACCAGGTTGCCGACTGGCAGCCTGTCGCCTGAAAAAGAGCGCAGTCCAGAGCCCGAGTACTATCCCGCGCAGCAACACTTGATTGATGAAGCAATCAATATTAAACAAGAAGACCTGGATGCCCGGCTGGCTTTGAGCGCGCTGAAAGATGCCGAGTTCAAACCAAAGGAGCTTGCAGAGAATTGTAGGTCAAGAGCATCGGCCCGACGACTCCTTTGTCTCATTGCTAATCTTTGTTCCCAACCCCCTGTTGCCAGACATTCGATTTGCTGTCAGGGCAGAAGTCCAACACCGAACTGAGCCAATTGAGATGGCCATCAATTGCATACGCAAGGGGTTCCGCACCGTAACGCACTCATGGACGTCCATGTTCTTATCGTTTATGGTTGCCATACTCTCCTACGCGGCCGTGCGATGGCTCGCGCAGCCCGCAGCGATGCGGCCCGTCCCAGACCTGGTTAAGGTTGCAGCTGTGGCCCGGTCGCTCGAACCCCTGATCTACTACTCGGAGAATGGACTGCAGCAAGTAGGCGATCTGCAGGCGACAGGCGTCGCCGTTTGGGATTTGGGCGAGAGTGTGCGCAGCAGCAACATGACGGCGGCCCCAATCATCGTCAAAGAGCTGGACGCCCTCAGCGACAGCCTGAAGACACTTGCCGAGGAGCTAACGAGGTTTTTCGCCAATGTCGACGGGGATATTGACGGGTAAATTTTCCCTCCCCTTAGCCTGCGCAATGTCTGACCGTCCGCTCTTGTTAACTCCCCGATCGCAGCATCCTGATAGTAATGGACTGGGCCCGCCGCGAGCTGTCCCAGGTCCAACAGCTCCCACCCCTCCCCTTATCCTCCGCCTTTGACAACATCCACAACCTCCTCTCCAACGCCGGCATCCTCGAGGACCCGGCCACGGGCCAACCCACCCGTCTCGGCGCCCTCTCCACCTCCTTGTTCGGCTACTCCACGCCGCAACGAACCAAACAAGCCCTGCAGCGCACCTTCAACGAGTTCCTGACGGTGCTCGAAGAGGCCGTCGCCTCAGAACTTCAACACTCCCTCGCCCTCTTCGCCCTGTTCGAGGCCATCGACCACCAGTTCCTCAACCTAGCACGAACCGTGGTGCGGGAGGCCTCGCTGCAAGACGAGAAGCACGCCGAGGTGCTCTCGTCGCTGTGGACGCGCATCCTGGGCACCAAGGGCTCCGAGGTGGCGAAATACGAGCGCAACCGCCTGCTGCTGCAAAACGTGCGGGAGAAGACGGTGCGCAACAAGGGCATCCTCGTTGAGCACAACCACAAGCTGCTCGCCCTCAAAGCAAACCTCGAGGCCTTGCGCCGCAAGCTTGTCTCGCCGCTTGTACGATCCGTCAACTCGTCCACTTTAACCATCGAGGACCAGATCCGTGGCCTCGAGGACGTCGGGCTCTATCTCGAGGGCGTCCGCGCCCGCCAAAAGGGCAAGCTCCTTGAGATGCTTTACGGTAGTGGTAGTGGTAGCGGGAATGCTAGGGTTGCCGCTGGTGCCGTTCCAGCTGCCACCGTTCAAGCTCAGCCCGTGGAGGCTGGGAGGTTCCGGGTCGGGCGGTAACACCGCATGGTTTTTCTTGCTAACCAATAGTACACACTTGGTTGGAGTACATGTTGGGATTCGTCATCGATGGATTGATTGTGTCTGCTACAGGCCTATGGGACGTATTGATGGCGTTCTTGATACTTGGCTGGGTGATTTATGGGATATTATCGATCGGGCGGCGTCATTAGGTACAGAGGGGAGTGCAACTTGCAACATGGATTGTACTGTACGTAGTTCCCGGGCATTGGTCGTGCAGAAGGGCTTTTGCTGGCGCTTGCGAATTAACGGGGGGGAGTTTTGACATTTGACACGAGCCGCGGCGCGAATGAACATGGACACATCATAGTCATAAGTACGGTAGTTTTCCCGTAGAATCAAACAAATAGCAGAATAGCAGAGTCAGAAATCGACCGCCATCATCAAGACATTACCAAGATTTACACAGCAGTGGAGACACACCTGATCTGAAGACTTTTAACTCTCTATTACCTAGTGCGCTGTTTAGGCTAACGCATACGTAGTCCTGTCTAAGACAAAGACATCCCGTAGTAATGGTCTCTTGGGATCATCACGACAGGGAAAGTGTGCTGCGCCGCGCAAAGCCCGTTCGTGAACCTCCCGAGGGAGAACTGTCGGGCACAAGTCCTGAGAACCGCAACCGTAAACGCCATGTCGGCCGATAACATCCCGCCCCGTCCGCAACCTGAGGACCAGATTCCCCATCATAACTGAGTCTATCAATACATGAGCATGACGTAGCGATGCCATAGCATGATGCCGTGATAATCCGTCGTCGGAGAGCCCTCGCGACTCCAATAGAAACGAGCCACATCCATCCGATGCAGACTCTTCCCCGACCCGCATCATCAGTTCAGATAGACCGTGCTGCTACCAAGTCAAGCTGGTATCAAAACTTTTCCGGACCGACGAGACCCCCAAACGAGCAAAGAAACCACACTCCAAAAGACACAGGTCGTGATTCTGTAGCAGACTTTCCCCCCAAGTAGCGGAGTTTAAGCCTTCTCCTCAGGCTTCTCTTCCTTCTTAGCCTCGCCGGCCCCAGCCTCGGCCTGGCCCTGGCCCTGCTGCTGCTGCGACTTGATGTACTCGTCATAGACGGTCATGGCCTCATTGACCTTCGCAACGAGAGCTGCCTCGTCCTCGAACCTGGTTTTGGTCAGCGACAATTGCACGAAGCAAGGAATGGAGAGATGCTTACAGATTGACGAGCTCCTGGTTGTCCATTTCCAAGAGCATACCAGTGATCTTGCCAGCCAACTCAGGCTGGAGGGCCTGAATCTTGGGGAACAAGTTTTCGCCAAGAATCTGCTTTTGCTGCTGCGGATTTTGGGTGCTTGCGAGCTGGGACTGGAGGAGTGCAGTAGCATTCAGCTCGCCGGGCACACCGAGTTGGCCGGCAGGCGGCGCGCCGCGACCAGCAACCACGAAGTTGCTAGCACGGTTGGGGCCGCCACGGCCGGGCATGTTGCCATTCTGAGGTCTACCATTTGGAGGATAACCAGGCAGGCCAGGGCCACCCATACCCTGAGGAACGGGCATAGCCGGGATACCCCGTCCGCCAGGTCCACCACGGCCACCCTGGAGAGCTGCAGCTTGTTGCTGAACCTGCTGAATGGCGGCGAGGAATTGCGGGTTGTTCGGCTGAGGGTAAGCGCCAGGCGGGAATTGGCCAAGAGGATACATGGCGGGAATCTGCTGAGGGGGGATGCCGCCACGGCCTCCCTGCTGAGCATAAGGAGGGAACTGACCAGGACGGCCGCCTTGTACAGGGGGCATGCCAAGGCCACCCTGAGGGAAGGGCATACCGCGGCCACCTGCAGGCGGCAAGAAACCGGGCTGCTGGCCGGCAGCGTAGTAGACCGGCGTCTGCATGTACTGCTGGGGCAGGCCGGCCTGAGCGGCAGCCTGCTGCATGCGCAGCTGGTTACGGGCTTGGATACTGGCCTCGAGCTGGCTCTTGCGGACATCCTTGCGCTGGGCAAGGGCAACATAAAGCGGCTTGCCGTTGATCATGCGCTGGTTCATCTCGGCAACGGCCTTGGTGGCGTCATCCGGGTTGCTGAAGCACACGAAGCCAAAGCCCTTGCTCTTGCCCAGTCTCCGCCCGGACTTTCCCTCCGACTTCTTTTCGCCAGTCTCACCCTCATCCTCCTTCTCATTGCCCTCCTTCTTATTCTCCTTGTCCTTACCCTCCTTATCGCCGTCGCTGGAGGGCTCGGGAACGGCATCACGCATCACCTTGGCGGAGGTAATGGGGCCAAACTCGGCGAACATTTGACGCAGCTTGTCGTCGTCAACCTCATCGTCCAGATTCTTGATGTACAAGTTGACGCCTTGGTATTTGTTAGCTTTCTCAAGGCGAGCAGCCTCGTAAGACTTCCGGAGCTCCTCTTCGCGCTCGTGCTTCTTCTGGGCGCGGCCGACGTAGAGATCTTGGCCACGGAAGTCCTTGCCGTTGAGTTCCTCAACAGCCTTCGCGGCGCTGGCGTGGGTAGTGAAGTTGACGAAGCCAAAACCGCGGCTCTTGCCCTCGGCATCGCGGGCGAGGGATGAAGAGGTGACCTCACCGTACTTCTCGAACAGCTCGCGAAATTCATCATCGGTAACCTCAAGATTGATATTCTTGACGTAGACGTTGGTGAAATTGGCCTTCATCTCCTCAAACTTGCTCTGGCGATCCTTCTTGGGGATATGATATCCAACATAGACCTTCTTTTCGTTCAGAAGCATGCCGTTGACGTGCTTGATGGCCTGGGCGGCGGCCTCGTCGGTCTCGTAGTGCACAAAGCCGTAGCCCTTGGAGTTGCCGTTTTCGTCCTGAGCGACCTTGCAGCTCAAGATGTTACCGAAAGCAGCAAACGTGTCGTGGAGGGCCTTGTTGTCAATGGCAACATCGAGGTTCTTGATGAAGACGTTACCCTGGCCGGTCTTGCGGAGAGCGGGATCGCGCTGAGACCACATGATGCGGCAAGGGCGATTCTTGATTAGGGTGTAGTTAAGCTCCTCAAGCGCTTTCTCGCCATCAGCAGTCGAGTTGTAGTTGACATAGGCATAACCGAGAGAGCGACGGGTGACAGCATCGCGGCAGACACGGATCGACGCGACAGAGCCAATCTGGGAAAAGAGCTCAAAGAGCATAGCCTCAGTCACAGACGGGTCCAGCTCACCCACGTAGAGGGATGCCGACGACTGGGGGTGGGGGGCGGCCGAGTTGGGCGTAGGGCCCGCGGTATCGGGGTCCTCGCTATGGTATTCACCACCAGCGACGTTGGTGTTGATCGCGGGGGCATTGCGGTTGTCGCCGCCGTTGAGGCTGGTGTTGCCGAGATCAGCGGCAAGCTGGTCGACAGCGCCGGGGGCAACAGGAGCAGCCATTTTGGTAATGAGGTCTGTGATTGAAATTGACGTCAGTTTTATGTCCTTGAAACCACCAAGCAGCGACTTGTAGCAACAGCGTCGTGTGTCCGTGGTCGCGGCGATGAGGAGCTGCTCAATTGACACCTCACGTACTGCTGGTCGAACGCCTGGACAGAAAACGTCTTGGTGCGCGATGAAGGGCGGGGAGAATACCGCACGCAAACGAGCAGCGGTACACACAAGACAAAGAAACGAAATCAGGTCAAGCTCGGCCGAGTTTCTTTCTTGATGGAAGCGAGGCTCGATCGGAACGACGAAGGAATTCTGTCTTCCAAGAGATGCGAAAGTCGGAGGGGAGGGGAAAGTAGGCTTTACTTTTTTGATTTTTTGATTTTTTTCCGTCTCCTGCCGGAGGATTGATAGGTTGTAGGTCGTTAGGTACTGGGATTCTTTTTTTGGTTTTCAAATTTTTTTGGTGAAATTTAGAGGGGTCGCAGAAAAGAAGTAGATGAGAACAGAAACCAAAGACTGTGGTTGTCGAACTGATCTGACTTCTTTCTGGGTTTTTGGAAAGAATCCTGGGATAAAGAGTTTTTTGATCGTTTGATGGAAGGGGAGGAGAGGGCAAGATGCCACCTGCAGAAACAGAAATTTTTTGACATTCTGCTGCCACTTTGACTGCAACCATTCAATCGCGATTATCGTAGTAACCGAGTTTGGTGCACTGGACCTGGACTGCCACATGCATGACTAGACAAAACTTTTTAACATATTCTTCCAAGGTGGTGGACTCCATGTTCTTTGATAGAAAGCCCGCTTGAGGTTACAAAGAGCTCCCGTTTTTGGGTGTGACTGGAATGAATACGCCGCTGCCTACACTTTTACCTCTTTGCTGCATACAAGCGTGCTACATAGTTATACCACAGTATGTCAACGATGTGGTATGCGGTATCATATGGTATCTTCACCTGACGGTACGGGAAGACCTGCCGCTTGATCAGTTGTCATAAAAGGCAAAGCTATGCGGGACTTCCTCATGACTTCCTCCAGAGGCAGGTGACAAGTTGTGGTGATAAGTTGTGGGATTTGTAATAGGAGAATTATTATTCTATTGGGTTCTTATTGTCAAACAACGCCACTGCCACTGGCGGAAGGACTGTCTCGAGAGGCAGATGTGGCGGGGTTTCTTATCGTTATCACTGCAGCCCACTTGCCCACCTAGGCTGTGTAGCTACGCCTGTCGTAGCACCTACACTAGCGTCAGGCGACAGGCCTGGGCAACGCTCGTCAACTGTTTGAGGCCGCTGGCTGACGTCTTCAAGAAGCTGGTCCGAATAAGGTCATAATATACCTACCTGTTTGGTCTCCAAGTTGTTCATAATTATAATTTTCTTTCTGTTTGCTTCTATAGTACCTCTAGTGCTTGTGCGTGTTGAACCCCTAGTTGCGCCGAGGGGATCTTGAAGCGGTGGGAGCACTGAACTTTCTGGAACGCTGAGTTGCTGTAGTGGCTGCTATCAAGGTATCAATCATCTGGTCCCTTCTCAACAGAACACCACCTGAATTATATCTGACCATCTGAGGCAACTTCTATCAGTGCATCCGCCCGAACTCCGTACCTAGATCCCAAGTTTGGTGGCATCAACTTGCAATAAGATTCTAACTGCTTCCCGTCTTCCTCCTGCCCCTCTTCGGTGTTGGGCACCCCGCCGACTCACTAAACGGTCTAAACCCGTCGGGCCCGACACCTCGTTGCAGACGTCATGTTTCCAACCTTCACAGGAAGCTCGCGCAAGGCGCGGAACGTCAATCTCAGCGGGCAAAAGACAACGAATCCATTTACCAGCACGTCATGGGCACCCAGCTCGGCTGTTGGAGCTTCCAAGACGGTGGCGCATGCCCAGGCTGAGCGGCAGCAGAGACACCAAGAGAGGGAACGGTTGAAGGCTGCACAGCGCATCCAGAGGTTATGGAGGGGTCACCGGATACGACGGGTCCTGCGGGCCGAGCGTCGCCAGGCTTTCGACCGGCTATACAGCGAGAAAGGGCCGGTTGACGCTGCGCAGAGGACGGTCGAAGGAACGCCGCTGGTGTTAAGCGTCTATCAGGCCTCCAGTCCGGACGACAACCGACGGCTTGTCCTCCTCTTGACTGACCTTCTTCAGACGAGGTTTTCCGCTTTTGCCTCGGGAGCGATACCGCTGCCTCGGCTGACCAAGCTAGCCGGTATCGTGGTTGCTGCTCTTGAGAGGTAGGAACCCCTGCTTTTCCTTGGCTTTCCGTATGCTGACTTATGGATAAAACAGGACTCTCGACTTTGGTGCTACGGCTTCAGAGACTCGGATACTGTTAGAGACCCTCGTTGAGATCTTAAGAGCAAGACCAGAATCGCTACAGTCCGATTTGGGACGGTATTACAGGATGCTTGGTAGATATTGCCGCGCCGTGGGGCCCGCATCCCCTTTGCTGGACCTCATCCGCTGTGCTGTGTGTGCGCCGCTTGTCGCAGCCAACGGATATCACGAGTTTGCCTTCTCTTTCCTGACCGAGCCTGATGTGTACTTGTTCGAGTCCAACGTGGACTCCTTCGCGGCCGACATAGACATCGATCGTCTGGCCGATTCCATCCTTGCCACATTCTCCTCAGAGTCCCAAACGCCTCGGTCGCAGGCGAATCTCATGTGGCTTCTAGCCCACTTTATTGTCCTGGCAAAAACGACAAAGCAACGGGTCTCGCGTTCTCGTTCTCTCAGGGTATTGTATTCCCTCGTTTCAGCGCTCTCGCATCAGATCCGGGCGGGGTTTGCGTCTGAAGGAAGAGACTCTGGCGAGGACGGGGACGCGGGCACTCCAGAGCAGGCATTTCCCCCATACGTCTCGGACAAGATCGCCTCGCTTACTGACCGGGATGAGATCTTTGGTCTCCTCGAAACGCTCACAGTGTAAGAACCCCAGAGTGCCACACGAGCTACTTCCTGCACAATGATGCTGACAACACTTAGGGAACACGGGGATAAAACGAGCTCAGAGTGGGAAGACGCTAGCTACCTGGCTGGCTACATTCTCACGTTAGTGTATTGCTTCCCGGCCCTGGGCGAAGACATCTGGATGCGTTTGTACCATGCAGATGTTTCTACTAGTGTTGGCGCCCGCCCTGCTATTATATTCTTCTGGGATGCGTTGAACCGGACCAGCATCTTTTCCAGAATCGTCTCCGATGCCGACGCTGCACTCGAAATCCTCGGAAATAGACCCCCTTCAGGCTTTGCCGCTGAATCGGAGGCTAATTCTCCATGGCACCGGGAATGGCGTACAATTCTCCTTTTCCTTGAGCTCTATGTCTTTATCCTCCGGCTGACGGATGACGATGATTTCTTCTATGGCTTAAGTTCTGCCGCAGGTCTAAGTGATCCGGGCTCACGGCTGCGCGCAAGCTGCCTCCGCCTCAACGACCTGAAGCGCCTTACCCTGTTCCTCAAGCACCTCGGTTTCACTCTATACTACCATGCCGCCGAGCTGCTAGGGTCGGCTACGGGTCACGGCGATATATCGAATGCCGCTGATGGATTACTGGCATTCTCCTCATGGGAGAAAAGCCATGCTAGTGGTAGCCAGGTCTCGACTGCGCAGCCATTCGTCCTCACCGCTGGTGTGGGCTTTGACTCATTCAGAAACCTCATTTCCACAGCGTTGAGGATGATTTACGACCGTGATTCTCGACGCCAGTTCCTACCACAAGACCACTGGCTCATGACGTCAAAATTCGACATGAAGGGGTTCTTATCCGCTGTTGCCCTTGAAGACGAGAGGCAACATGAGCTCTCCGAATCCGGAGACGAGGAGGAAGAAGACGGGTCGGACGTAGATGGGCCCATGAATTTCACTTTCGAAGGGCAGAGGCGGTCCCGGCAAGCGCAAATGGAAAAGATTAGGGTGTTGCGCAAACGGGCCGCTAGAGCAAAGATCAGGGCGGCCACCGCCCCTAAGCTCGAAATCTTGCGAAACATGCCATTCATTATCCCTTTCAACATGCGTGTCCAAATATTTAGACAGTTCGTTCACCTTGATAAACTCCGCAGAAGAGGCGGGAATCTGGATCCCGACAGATGGAGATTGTGGCTGGTCAACGAGCATGGTCATCAGTCGCTGGACGTTCTCAGTCGGCATAAGGCGCGGATAACGAGAGGGCGACTATTCTCAGATGCTATGGACGCGTTCTGGGACCTCCGGGAAGGGTTCAAAGAGCCGATACAGATCACGTTTGTTGACGAGTTTGGAATGGAGGAAGCTGGCATAGATGGAGGAGGTGTGACAAAAGAGTTTCTTACCAGCGTCACCACGGAAGCGTTTACACAGGACCAAAAGCTCTTCATCGCAAACAACAAGAACGCGTACTACCCAAATCCATGGGCCGTGGATCAACAAAAGAATGCGCTCCGCGAAGCCCAGATTCCCGAGGGCTCAGAGCTTTGGCGGGAGACGATTGCCGATCTGCTGCGGCAATACGAGTTCCTTGGGCGGGTCATTGGAAAGTGTTTATATGAGGGGATTCTCATCGATATTGCCTTTGCAGGCTTCTTCCTGCTGAAGTGGGCCTCAGCCGGGGCAGATACCTACCGTGGGAACATCAACGACCTCCGCGAGTTAGACGAGGAGCTGTACCAGGGAATGCTCTCGTTGAAAAACTATCCCGACGTCAGCGACCTGTCGCTGGACTTTACCATCACGGACCAAGTATCGCTGCCGAACGAGCCAGTCCGCACCGTGACGCGTGCCCTCATGCCCAACGGCGAGAACATCGCCGTGACCAACGAGAACCGCCCGCTCTACATCAGCTACGTAGCGCGGCACCGGCTCGTGGTGCAGCCATACGCGCAGACACGCGCCTTCCTCCGCGGCCTGGGCATGATCATCGACCCGGCGTGGCTGAGCATGTTCAACCAGAACGAGCTGCAGCGGCTGGTGGGCGGCGACAGCTCCGAGATTGACGTCGAGGACCTGCGCCGGCACACGGCCTACAGCGGCGTCTACGCCATTGGCGACGACGGCCTCGAGCACCCGACCATCCAGTACTTCTGGGAGGTGATGCGTGGCCTCGAAGACCACGAGCGCCGCGACGTGCTCAAGTACGTCACGAGCACCCCGCGCGGGCCGCTCTTGGGCTTCAGCCAGCTCTGGCCGCCGTTCAGCATCAGGGATGGGGGCACGGATCAGGAGCGGCTGCCCAGCGCGAGCACATGCGTGAATCTGCTGAAGCTGCCACAGTACAAGAGCGCGGCGGTGCTGAAGAGCAAGCTGATGTACGCGGTTCACAGCGGGGCTGGGTTTGATTTGAGTTAAAAGGGGGGAAGATTCGGAAATGGGTGTTTATGGGACATGACAAGCGCATGACTGAGTCTACATCGTACATAACGCAGTTGAAATTGATACTCTGTAAAAGCGTACTGGCATGGAATCCCTTCCTCCGTGTTTGGTATCCGTTCGCTAAATCTAATGGGTACTCTTACCCTCCTCTGCCAGGGTTGAGGGCGAAGTGACCAAGTCCAACCATAAAGAAATCGAGTCAACCGTCACAGCAGCGTGTCTCTAACCTTATCTTCTCTATTCGTGCATTTACCTCCTTATCGAGTAGTCCTGCAGACTTTGAAGCCGCTAAAAGCTCGTCAACCACGGATCTTGGAGCAGTTCTTTCGCCGTCTTCCGGTCTTCTGGGCGCCACTGCAGCATTCCCCTTACGAAAGCCAGGAACTTTTCTTTACTCTCGCCCTCTAGAAGTTCTTCAACACTCTCCAAGCTTCTGTCTTGGGGTATTGGGATGTCCGTCTGTTTCCATTGTCCTGTGTGATGGAAGTGGTTAGTAGGTTTTCGCAAAGCCATCCGGGATGGGAAAGGAACTTGGTAATCTCTCTTACCGTCTTCTGTGAAGAATTCTTTACCCCTCCGGCCTCGCTGGATCAAGTCAAGCGGCGGCAGTCCAAGCATGCCAATCACTTCGGCGAGATGTGCCCTGGTTGTGTACGTATCCATCAGTGGATCGATGCCGTAGAACAGGTGCTTTCCCTCGAAAACGTCCCAGATCTGGCATGGTACGGCACGTTAGTAGCCGAAGGTCTTCTAGGGCCAGAAAGGAAACGGGGGTTCTATTGACACACCATGGCACCGACATTCCAGATATCCACTGGATAGCTCCATTCCATATCCAGCATGACCTCTGGCGATCTGTAGACGTTGGGCTGTGCATCATTGTCTTGGTTTTGATCTCCCCGGACAGCGGAACCGAAATCGCTCAAAACAACGTGGCCCATCTTCCTTGGTCTCTCGAAGCGTTGGGACATGAATATCGGGGCGCCGTTGACAAATTTGCGTGGTGACGGGAATTCAATTTCGGCCTTCGTGAAGAGTTTCATGACGTTCTTGTCGACTAGCTCTGATAGGATATTGTCCATCTTGATATCTGTAGCCGGTTAAAGGGTGTTCCATGTTGATGGTGGAAAGGAAACGCTAGATCTCTACCTGTATGAACGAGCTTGCACTCCGAGTGAAGATAGTCAAGAGCCAAGAGGAGTTCGTAAAGACCAGCCTTCAGCAGCTCCAGGGGGAATCGGTGAACTGGGTTGCGGAGGACGAGGTCCTTCCAGCTGTCCCACAATGGCTTCAGGACAAGGCAGGTATAGTCGCCGCCGTCGCGATGGAGGACAAAGCTATCCAAGGCCTTTCGTACGAGGCGGTAGCCCCGATGAGAAGGGTTAGCTTTGCCTATAAGGTCGTAGTTCTCTATTTCCCTTCGAGCATCCCAATTCCGCGTGTAGACCTTCAGTGCAACATAATCACGATTGCTGCGCTGAGAATTAGCAATGCACGTAATCTGTTTGATCGGAAGGCATGGTTACTGTAGATTGCGGGCCAACCACACAGTGGACGTCGTTCCAAACCCTAGCTTGCCTAATACCTGGTATTTGGAATCGTATACATCACCGATGTTCACTGGGTAGTACAGGCCCTCTTTGAACTCGTCAAACTGCTCTTCCTCGAGGAAGTAGCAATCGGGGACCGTCTCGAAACCCGTTGTTTGAAACTGCAAAGGACTGAGCGGCGCTCTGCGTATCAGTTTCCTCAGTTTTCTTAGCCATTTGAAGAGAAACTCCATTTCGAAAACTGGTGGCCTTGCGGCACGAGATTAACGTTTCTAGTTGCCGATGAGCGACTGACGGGAAGCTGTGGTAGATCGGTGAGGTGATTCCATTAGGAGGTCACAGGTTTAAGTAGGCAATCGCTCCAAGTAAACCAGGATATCCAAAACCAGATGGAACCAACTTGAGTTGCAGTTAGAAGTTTTCTATGACAGTGTCGGCTTGCTGGCAACAGCGGTTACCATCCCAGATTTCCAGGTGGCATGCATGATGTTGGGAACAACCAAGGGTAACGAGGTACGTATCGTTTTTGTTGAGTTTCGCGGACTAGCTAAGCCAGGCAAGTGCTACCTACCTACTTGCCAGGTGGTTACTACTTGCGTGGCGAGCCAGTTGTGTAAATGGGCAGATGAAATCGGGCGAATTCAAAAAGCATCGCACAATGTAAGCAGCTGACTTCCTCAGGTGTCGACTCAAACTTGCCCCCAGACACTGAGAGGCTAGAGCTCAGTCTCCTCAGCACCTGTTGTCGCCCATTCTGGTCGTCCCTGTCCCGTCTCCATAGATATGGCAGGTCTTGGTAGCTTTGGCTCCCACAATCCTGACGCTGATGACCTTCTCTTTGTCCAGAGGGTTGAATTGGGAGTAGTGAATAGGGTTACCGTTTTTCGACCTTGAACCCGTTAGCTCGTGGTGTGCCCTTCTTCCACTCGACTAACAGTTTACCGCACCTGATGCAAACTTCCTCTATCGGGCCGAGCTTCTATCAAGGTGATCACTGATCAGCAATGTTCGATCCTCACAACTTATAAGTTATAGCAAACGTTCAGGTTAAGCGCCCGAAGAAGTACCCCCGCTGCGCCGAAAGAACTGCCAGGTCGCTGAGAACAGGGCAGCTATCATCAACGTTGATCAGGGATTGTTGATAGGTATTTAAATAGGTACTCACTTGTTCGGCGCTTCCTCCAGGCTCCGTGAACTTATCCAACCCCCTTTTCCAATCGGGCGGCAAGTCATCGCGTCTGAAGCCGAGGAACCGTACTACTCGGTTCCGGTTGATATTTCCTTGGTTGCTCTGAGACATAGTAGCTAGGAAAAACCAACGGGACGTGAACTTTAACTTGAAGTTGTAATTCAACTTCTCAAATAAGATAGTCCATGAGCCTTACTCTAGCTTCGAAGGTCCAGAAGCTGGACAGCAACCGGCACTGAAACGCCGACTTAATGTAGGCATCGGATCTAGGACAGTTTGCAGGCCAGCAAGATACATAGTCAGAGGCTACATGGTCAAGACGTCCTTGACTGTCACAGACACTGCCAGTTGACGGGGAGAGCAGGGTCTCTGAATCAGCTACAGCGTGAGATGGAATGGATTCTAGATATCTGTTTTGTTTCCAGTTGTCAAATGGCCTCAAACACCACAGTTGGGTCAGACTTGTAAGGTCTAACCGCCCGTCGAAGTGGATAGTGTGGTCAGAACAGAGGGCACCGAGTTGTGTCCACGTTGTGCCTAGTCCTACTAAATGAGATAGGATTATAACGGGCGATGAGAGGCTTCACTATTTCAATGAACACGTTCGCTTTCTCTTCACTGGAGTTTTGGACGGCGTTTACGATGTGACAGGCCCCGGTACTTAAGGGAGTATGGCTGGGTACCGTAAGCGGTTCATATACAGCCCACGGGGCTTGAACCGTTCATAAGCCGCTCAACGTACCAGGCCAGGGATAAATACAGAATATAGCAAGGCTCAAAAGGATGAGCCACTTATCTTTACAAACTTATAAGGAGTTATTGGACCTTGTATTGTTGTTGAGAGCTACTATTGCTGGTAAGTAGCTTAGTCTATATAAGCCGTTCAAATTGTAAGTATATAGTCTTTTTGTGACGAATCTCGGTCCCCTACCACTGAAAGGGACTCCTCAGACTGAAGGTTGACTTGAACGGGGTGAGGTTCGGTAGAGCCAAAGGGTCTACAACAAGTGCACAAGCAAGTGTTCACACAGTAGTAAAGACAACTGCTTGCATTGCTTACTTGTGACGAATCTCGGTCCCCTAACCACTGAAAGGGACTCCTCAGACTGAAGGTTCGTAACAACGGGGTGAGGTTCGGTAGAGCCAAAGGGGTTTACAACAGTTGACACAAGCAAGTGTTCACACAGTAGTATAGACAACTGCTTGCATTGCTTACTGGAGAACCTTCTGAAGGTCCTCCCTAAAGAATGACTATATACTATGTACGGTTCTGTTGATCGCATGTGCTCGTGTCCCGAGCACCCTCGAGCACTTGCCTGCTCGTCGTGCTATATCTTCAATCACCTCGAGCATTTTGCATGCTGCGAGGCGCTCGCCTGTCTTGGCGTCATAGCACTTCAGCCTTGCCTTGATTGGTCTGCCTGATGTTCCTAAATGATTGGCTCGGGGCTCCCTGCGCCCCGCATGTAGTCTTCCGCCATGCGGCCTGCTGTTGGTTAATTCGTGACACTTAAGTAACAATTCTAGATAGTCACTGATCACTCATTTCTAGGTATGAAAGAACTGTCTAGGTGCCTACTACTTTAGAATGAAGGACTCGACTTGAAAGTTATCTAGAAGGAATAGACTCATTCTCTTACGTCCCAGTTAAAAGCATGTATGTATGTGAATGAGAGCTGTATTAGTAAGGTACGTCGGCTGCTATTCTGAGAGATTGCTAGTACTACTAAAGTAAGATAGGCATCTAATGAACGAGGGACGGCGAGAACGGAGGAGACCTGAAGGCCGAGGGAAGCTTGTGCCTTGTGGTATACGCCAAGAGTCCAAGTACATTCATGTTGATTATCGTCTGGTGGTCACGATGGGTCGAGTCGGTTGTCATTGCTCAACGACAGTGTCTACTGCCGGTAGTCTTGACAAAAATACCCGGTCGAGCCCTGAGAGCGGGATCCGGCCGGGTACTTTGTACTGTGGTCGTGGACACGTAGCGCGGCTGAAGGGTTGAGGTTGCTACCTCGCTGTCCTTATCATGTATGTATGTACACATTGACAGTAATGAGCACTGGTCGGGTATGTGCCAGCTTGTCGCTCCCACCGACCCAGCCATGTATTTTCCAAGTTCCAACCTTTCATGGTATGACTTACCATTCTGTCAAGTCGTCAAAAGCGCTTAGGTGACAGACAGGTCCACGGCACGAACATCTAAGGCCGGCGGTAGTAGTTTCCTCACAGAATTGAAGTTGGTCAAATCCGACTTGAAAAGGGAAAGCAAAACTCAATTTCCTACTGCACCGGCTCATGCATCAATGATCAGTGCTCCGGTTTCTTCTTTTCCAAGTGGGTTTCCATTTTCAGCGATGTCTACCCATTAACCCCATTTCATTTCTCTTTTCCCTATTCTCATCAACTCCGAGTCACCTACAGTACCTCTCGTCAACAACGACCCAAGGCCAGAGGGATCTCAAGGCGCAATGAAGCCGTCTCATTCAGCCGGAAACGGCACGCCTAATGATGAGAGCTCTGATGAGAGAAACGGCTTCAACTCCAATCGGTTCTCCAAGTCCCTGTCCCGGGACAGTGTGGGGTACTGCTAGGGCCCCTTTACCTCCGTACCGTGTCCCGGAATGCAACCCCTGGGCGCTACCAAGTATTGGCTTGGCACTCAAATAGCCAAGAATATTGATCCCCAACTTGATGTTGGCCTTTTCTAAAACTGAACCTCGCAACCATGGGCTAAGTGAGATTTGGGCCCTTGGATGATGATGACTTGAGTCTCACGGAGCCGTCGTTCAGGATACCCGGATGTCTGATGCAGGAATATCATTACACAATGCCGCTGCTGGAACAGCAATAGCATGAGAAAGCACAACTGTCACTCTCAGAAGCCGGAGACCCTACATTGACGGTCCGCTTGGGTCGAGGGAGAACCGGACGACATGAGGCCTGAAGCTTCGCCGTACCGCAAGGCCTCAATGGCGGTTCCGGTACACCTCAGTGTGCCTCGGAGGAGCCGAGTCTTGGTATTCGCTCTGGTCTGCGTCGGCCTCATATTCTTCCTCCGAAAGTTCGATATAGCGAGTGGGACTACGCTCTCTCTTCCGTTTGGCCATCGCGGGCCGAACTACGATGTGCTGGAGTTTGTTGATCCCCTGATCGGGACAGCAAACGGAGGTGCGTTTCTTGTTCAAACATGTTGTTTGAACGACAGTTCTCATGCTCAATTCTAAACAGGCCATGTCTTTCCCGGCGCTACATTGCCATACGGTAAGACCCAGCTCATAACCCCCTTATCACATCCCCCCGGTTGACGTCCCGTGGAGGTATGGCCAAGGCCGTCGCCGACACCAACAGCGCGGCTGAAAACGCCGCCGGTTTCGTGTGGGACAAGGCGCCCATTACCGGCTTCTCCCACATGCACGACTCGGGCACCGGCGGTCAGCCATCGCTCGGAAACTTCCCCTTGTTCGTCCACCCGGGATGTCCCGACGACGACTTCTCCAAGTGTGCGTACTCGGTCATGCAGAGGCCGACGAACCGCGTCCCAGGGTCGGTCTTTGCCGCTCCGGGATACTTCCGCATCAACCTGACCAACACGGTGCAAGCCGAGATGACCACGACCGCGCATGCCGCCCTGTACCGCTTCACCTTTGACGGCAGCGATACCGTGACGGTACACACCACGGACGAAGAACCCCCGCAGCACAACGTGCCGTATTCGCCCCTTATTCTGGTGGACCTGATCGACCTGATGAACAGCCGCAGCATCGGGGGCATTCAGGTCTACGAGGACTCGGGACGCATCATTGGCGAAGGGCGATACGCCCCGTCCTTTGGCTCGGGTAGCTACCAGGCGTTTTTCTGCGCCGACTTCACCGGCGCTACCATCCGCAAGACGGGCACCTTCAAGACCAACAAAGCAACCGAGGAGCCGAAATGGCTTGACGGCCTCGGGTCCGACTATTCCATTCCGCACGGTTCTGCGGGTGCCTGGATCCAGTTCGAGAAACCGGAAAAGAACTCGATCCTGGCCAGGGTCGGCATGTCCTTTATCAACGTGGATAAGGCGTGCAAGAATGCCGAGGCCGAGATTGTCGACTTCCACTTTGAAAGGGTCGAGAGCGATGCCAGGAAGGCGTGGCGCAAGAAGTTGTCCGTGATTGAGATTGACCATGAGGGGACGAGTGAGGAGCTGCAGACGACCTTCTGGTCAGGATTGTACCGCACTTTGCTGTCCCCCCAGAATTATACCGGGGAGAATCCGCTGTGGAATTCGACCGAGCCGTATTTTGACTCGTATGTTTCATGTGGTTGTCTGAGCACCTCGTAGTCTTTATTTGCTGACCTAGCCCACAGATTCTACTGCATCTGGGATTCCTTCCGGGCACAGCATCCGCTACTGACCATTATCGACCCTGTTGCCCAGACCGACATGGTGCGGGCTTTGATCGACATCTACAAACACGAAGGTATATGATTTTTGACTATATAGAGACATCGCTGACAGTTGCTAGGGAAACTGCCGGACTGCCGCATGAGTTTCTGCAAGGGATTCACCCAGGGAGGATCCAACGCCGACGTGGTGATTGCCGATGCATTCACCAAGGACCTTAGAGAGGGCATTGACTGGAACACGGCTTATGAGGCCGTGATCTCTGATGCAGAGGGTGAGCCCGAGCCCTTGTTCATTCCTTTGCCATCTCGTAGTACGAGCGGTGGAATTCTAACGAGCTTCAGTCGAACCACCCAACTGGGGTCTCGAAGGGCGCGGCAACCTGGTGAGCTGGCACTCTCACGGCTTCATCCCCTGGAATGACATCGACAAGAACGGCACCGGGCCATCAAGCCGCAGCATCAGCCGCGGCGTCGAGTACGCCTACGACGACTTTTGCATTTCCCTCCTGGCCTCGGGCCTCGGACACGCGGCCGACGCATCCAAGTACCGGCGGCGCGGCGGCAACTGGCGCAACTACTGGAACCCGGACCAGCGCGACATCTACCGCGACTCATCCGGCGACGTGACGCAGACTTCCTTCAAAGGCTTCATGCAGCCGCGTCTGCTTAACGGTACCTTCCGCTACCAAAACACGCGGGCCTGCTCCCCTATCCACGAGCAGCACTCGTGCTACTACGACACGGGGCTGGACACATACGAGGGCAGTCCCTGGCTGTACAGCTTCTTCGCGCCGCAGGACATGGCGACGCTGATCGGGCTGATGGGCGGGCGTGAGGCCTTCGTCGCGCGGCTTCGCTACTTCCACGAGAGCGGCATCGCCTACATGGGCAACGAGCAAGGCTTCCTGACCGTGTTTCAATTCCATTACGCGGGCCGTCCCGGCGTGAGCAGCGAGTTCGCGCGCCGCTACATCCCGAGCCTCTTCAACGCCACCGTCAATGGCATCCCCGGCAATGATGATTGCGCTATGGGCGCCTTCAGCGCCTTCGCCATGATGGGCTTCTTCCCCGTCGCCGGCCAGGACGTCTACCTTCTCATCCCGCCCTTTTTCCGTGAGGTGAGGATCAAGGCCAAGGAAAAGGGTAGGTGGGCCGTGATCAGGACGGTCAATTTTGATCCCGCTGGAAAGAGGATGTATATTACCGGCGCCAAGCTCAATGGCAGGGTGTATACCAAGAATTGGATCACCCACGAGTTTTTCCTCAAGGGAGGGATACTGGAGTTTACCGTTGGAGAGGAGGAAGGCGACTGGGGGACTGGGGACGATGATCTGCCGCCCAGTTATCCAGTTGAGTGAGAGCACGAGATGGAGAGGGGCGGCCATGGAGAGGGTGGAGTGGCCGATTATGATTGAAACCTCCGTATAGAGAGAGAGAGAGGCCGAGGTACACGAGTTACCCTTCTGTGAAATCTGCATCTTGCAATAACTGGGTATCTCTGTTGGAGTGAAATGTAGAATCCAACCTTTGCCCGGCCTGCTACTGCTACATCGAATACGCCGCTCAATCAATCCTTTGCCCACGGCGCCTTCGTGACGGAGAACTGATTGCTCGCTCGACCCGGCACACCCCGCGGGAACGCGGTTGGCGGAGGTGGGCCAGTATCCGGGACGCCTCCCCTTGGTGGCGTCGGCCCGGAGCTTCCGGCGCCTGCCCACGGCGCCCTCGAATACGGGATGCCTGGCCCTGTCGGCATGGGAGTGGGTAACCCGGCAGCACTTGATGCCGCACTTCCCGGACCAGATGAGGAGGTTCCGGCTGTAGAACCTGCCGTAGCGGTGGCCGTCAAATGCATGGACAGCACCGGCGCCTGGGCGTCTGGGTCCACGTCCCACGAGAATAGCGACCCGAACGGAAAGTGTTGCACTACGGGAAACTTGGCGAGCACTTCGGCGTTGAACATCTTGATCATGCCCTTGTTGATCTTGCCCCATCCGTCCTTGATGCCCGAAATGTCATACAGAATCGGGCTGTGCTCCCAAAATGGGCCCTTCTTGACATCATTGATGAAGCCAATGGCGGAGAAGTACATGTTGGATTCGCGGTGGAGGTCGACCGAAGCGGGCTTGGCCACGTCAGCGGGCTTCGGGGCACCGGGGGCAGAGCCTTCCAACGGCATAGGCTCGGAGTCTGTGATGGGCCGGGTGAGCTGGGCCGAGCCGAAGATGTATGGTAGGAACGAGTGGTCGTCAAGGCCCCATACCCCGTGAGAACCGGCCGGTTCGAGGTTGTACGTGAGGATCAAGCGGCGGACGACTCTGAGGTACCTATTTGCGGGACCGGGTCAGTTCATCTCAGCACCTTCTCCCGCATATGCACAAAGACAACTTACGGCTCGAAAACCCCCAACACCACCGCCCTCTCCACCTCCCCATCCTCCTCCTGTCCCCTCCCAGGCTGGGAAAAAACCCCTAACTTCCACAAACCCCCCAGAAAAGCCAAGAAACTCAGCTCATGCCCCGTCCCGTAATCCAACCTCTGCGCACTGCCAAATCCGCCAAGGAAATACACCTTGAGCTCCTCCGCCGCCGTCTCAAGCCATTCGTCACCACCGCCCCCACCCTCCTCACTCCCATCCTCACCCACTTTACCCCCCTTGCCATCCACTGGCACAAGACATGTCCTCAACAACCCCCCAGCCACCCGTTCCTCAAGCAGCCCATACCACCGCCGAAAGGCCACGTTCCCGAACCGCCGCGGTCCGGCCTCGGGTGGCGCCAGGTCAATCAGCCCCTCAACTTGGGCGAGGATTTCTCTGAGGCGGATGACGGCGAGGGGGTCGGCTGGGCGGGGTGCGTCGAGGGGGAAGGACTGGACATGGGTCTGGGACTGGGATTTGATTCGCGGGTTGGTGTTGAGGGTGGAAGATACTGGCGGTGGCGGTAGTTGTGATGTTGAGGTGGCGCCGGGGGTGGCAGTGGTGGTGGTGGTAGTAGTAGGGGTAGAAGGGAGCTTGCGCGGGCAGAGGGCGCGGTTGAGCTGCAGGATGAAGGTGCAGATGTCGCGGTAGGCGAGCGAGGTTAGGAAGTGAGTGAGGTCGGCGCCTGTGTGGATGCGTTTCGTTGGGGTGGTGAAGGGGTGTGTTTGGCGGGATGATGACGAAAGGATGGGTAGCTGTGGGAGAGACGGAGTGCGGGCGGAGGAGGAAGACGGTGTTGGCGTGGATGAAGAGGGTGTTGGTGTCGCCGTTGGGGCTGGCGGGGGGTCCATCAGAGCGATAGCGGTTCGACTGAGGATTAAGATTGTTGCGACGTTTTCAAGAAGCGATATAGGCTAGCCACAGGTAATGTGCTATCTTGAGCCGCTTCCAAGGTTGCAGTCGAGTCTCCTGTCCAGTGCAATCGGGATGAAGTGCAGGTTATGGTTGGGACGGGAGGTTTGGCAGGAGAGTTCGTTGCACCGGGGGTGGGGTTCAAAATAGTTGCTTCGATGGGGGATCTGCCCCGCTGTCGTCACTGTGGAGTAGACCTTTCAGCTAGAAGGTCAACCTTACCTTGACCTTCTTCGTGTATCTACTGTACAATCTGGTGAAGGCGTGCACATGTTGGATACCTATATCGGTAGATACTCAAGGCATCGCCACAGTCGCTACACGCCTGTCAGCAACTTAAATGTCACTTTCAGCGTTGAATGCCCATTCCATCCCCCCATCAAACTTCACTCCCCCCTTCCACACCACCCCCTTCCTCCCCATCTTCGTTCTCCCCATCCCCCTCCCTCCTCCTCCCCTGCCAAAACCCTCTCCCATAACTTACCAACACCTCCTCCCCTTTCTGAATCCCCACCTCCCTCGCCCTACCCACCGCCCGCTTTCCAGCAGGCATTACAAAAACAGCCATACACTTCTCCCCCCTCCGAGCATCCCACACAACTCTAAACTCAGCATTCGGCCTCTTCTTCTTCACACTTGGACCCGGGACACCGCGGTAGTCGTTGACAAAGCGCGCCTCGTTGCCCATGCGCGCCGCGTCAACGGCCACGTCGGCGTCCCGGTCCAGCCAGAGGTCGTAGTCGGATTTGGCATAGTCGTAATACTCGTCGCTATCAATACTGCCACCACTACCATCACTGTGTACGATAGGGTTATTGTGGTAGCCAAAGGGCGGCGTGCCGATGTGCACCTCGCCCAGGTACGGCAGGATCAGCTCGCCGGGGCGCAGATCGTGGGTCGCGAAGAGGCCGGCTTGGCCGTGGGCGGGGTCTTTTCATGGAATCCTGTTAGTTTTGGCTACTGGATTCATTTACTGCTTAAATTTTTGTAATTTTTTGTTGACCTTTGGCCAAGGTAAGGTTGAGATTACGTACGGCTAGGATCTGTAATCGGTGTGATGCGGACCGCCGGGCATGGGCCCGGTTTGTAGTTTAGAGGAATCTCCGGGATTGGGTCGGGGGGATCCGACGGCCGGGTACGGATGCCGGCGAGGTGTGCCGGCGAGAGATGTGTAGAGTATCGCGGCGCCGTGAGATATGGAATGTGTGGCGGCCAGTTCTCTGGAAGGCAGTCCGAGGATTGCACTTTGGATTTGCCGTGCATTTTATGGAGCGGCATCGGTGTCTTGTTGCTGACCTGGACCTGGAGTGTTGACTTGACTTGTGGAGGAGCAGACGCAAGAGCGTCGGAGGCAAGTTTATCGGCCCGACGCTGCCCCGGTTGATGCGACGCCCTCACACCCCAACCGAGGACAGTATTGCACGATATAAGTAGTCAATATACCGACAGATAATCCGAGTCTACTATCACTGCCCTTGGCTGTCGAGCACCGACATCTTATGGTACGAGCCGCTTCCGATGAGCAGTTTACTCAAGAAGAAACCCACCACCCCCACCATCATCCTCCTCATCAGGCACAAAAAACCCCCCTCCTCCCTGATCCTCGTCACTCTGAGCATCCTCCATACCCACATCATCCTCCAAGCCCACCGGCTCCCTGCCCTTGGTTTTATGCCCCGGATGCTCAGGCCCCGCCTCCGCCTCTTCCGACTCGTCCACGCCAGCCCAGATCCTCTCCCTAATCCTCAGCGCCTTCAAAAACCGACTCCACATCCTCAACGCCCGTCTCGCCCTCCTCTCCCGTTCCATCTCAGCCTCGAGATCCGCCAAGCCCTCCACAACCGCCCAGACCGCTTCCTCCGCTTCCTTTGGCACCACAACCCCATTCAGCACCGCTGTGCCCTGCCGTCCCCTGAACTCAAACCCTGTCAGGGCAGGCGCGTAGTCCACGCCCAGAATGAACGCCGCGTGCGCGGCCCGCTCGTGCGCGATATGCACCCCGCCCGGCGGCACCATGCTCGGAACGTAGACGTCCAGATTGCCAAACTTGTTCTTGGGCACCTTGCCGCCCACGACGGGAGGCGCCGTGTACAGCTCGGTCTGCTCAAACATGTAGATCGGCGTCCCGGCCACGGCCGCGTCACCAAAAAGGCCGACCTTATCCGGATCATCATCATCATCCTCCCCTTCCTGGGAATCACCATCGTACCCCATCCTCCTCACCCTCCTCTTCTTAGGTAGGATCTTGACCGGTTCCTCCCCGGGCTTCACGACCCTCCCAAGGCGGTACCACCTCTCTCGTGACCTCGCAACCCGGACATCTCGACGGCGGTAGATCCTTTCGAGCACCGCGCCGGCCTTGGCGCCGGCGCTGACGGTGCCGGCGGGCTGGGCGCCTGGCACAAGCACCTCGTGGCGGCGGAGGTGCCGTTGCAGGGCGTAGACCGGATGGTCCTTGAAATCGGCCACGTTACGGGGCATGGGCTCGCGGGCCTCCTCGGCGGCGAGCTCGTTCAGTTCGATCTGGTCAAGATCGGTGGGGTGCGGGCGGGTGTACCGCCTCAGCGCGAGGCGCCACCACCGAGCACCATCACCATCACCGCCGCCGCCGCTGGGGTGGGGATTTGGGAGGCCGTCGATGCGCATCCTGCGCGTCTTGGCGTTGTAGGCCTTTGCGTAGCGGCGCGTCACGTCGCGCGCGCTGCCGTCGGCTTCGAAGGCGACCACGTAGCTCAGCCTGTTTTGCGCGTCCGAGGCGGGCGGTTCGAGCGCACGCGGTTTCCATTGCGTGTGCGTCACCAGCGCGTCGACCGGGTGCCATTTCTGGTGGGCCACGTCGAGCACCTCGACCCAGTAGACTGGAAATGGCGATTCTCCACGGATTTTCTTGGGTGTTGAGACGGCGGGTTTCGGGGGCGAAAGAGAGGGGGCGGCCAACGAGGGTATGTTGAAGGCAGCGGCGTGCGGATGGCCGAGGCGTCGACGAGGGGAGGGCACCGTTGCGCCAGCTTGGAATTCGGGGAACTTAGTTTCGTGCTTGGCAACTGCTGCGGCGTAGAGTTCAGCCTTGGACGGCTGTCGTTCCTGCTTCTGGGAGGGCTGTTGCTTGGGCATCGGGGGCGCGCCGGGTACGCAGGCCAGGGGTTGTAGAGAGCAGACCAGCCGGGCATTGACTCCGGCGGCCCGAAGCATGGCACAGAATAGCTGGGCACCGACATCCCGGGAGCCTTTTAGCGTTTGCGCTGCCTCGAGAAAGTCATCCTTGTCCATGGTAGACTCAATGTCGTCTGGGAGATGGTACTGGTGAGAAGTTAGTCTAGACTCGGCTTGAAGTGGTAGGCACTCAACTTACGGTTTTGAGTTGCTCCTCGTCCTCTGCCCACAAGGCCCTCCGTAACCCGCGCTCTGTAATGGTGAATTTCAGTTTAAATATCTCCTTGGCCTCCTGGAGACCTTGTTTCAGGGCCTCTGTACGTCCAAACTGTGTCAGACTGGACCTAGGCACTAGGAGGGCGGCAGTCTTCTGGGAAAGCAGCGGCCGAAGGGCATCCTGAACTTTGGGGTCATTACACCACCAGTTTCTGCGCTCGACATGCGAGAGGAGGCAGAGGAGATGCATCTTATGGATCTCGACACGGCGTTCTTTTTCCTCTTTATTGATGGCCTTGCGGCGCTCCGCATGGCGTTGGGCTGTCGCTGTCATGTGCGCAGATAGGTCCAGGGTCAACTCTTTGGGCTCTTCCCTAGCTGACGCCGCTGAGGGTCCCCCGGGTTCAATTCCCACGTCCTCAAATGCAACGTCATCGTCGTCCTCCTCATCATCACTGTCTCTCGTGATGGTCTGTACTGTAGGAGAAGGCAAAACGACGTCTTCAAATTCGATGTCTTCGTCATCAGTATCGTAGAGCGTGTGGACAACTGCCCTTTTGGCGGAATTGGCTACCTGGCCATCGCTTTCCTTCGGTGCATCAGCCCGCAGACTTGTTTCACCGGGTCGCCTTCGTTTCGTTGGCCGCTCGGAGACACAGGCATCCTGCCTAGCGATCTCAGCCTTTGCCTCGGCCAGCATTTCACGGTAAACATCTGGAACGGCGGCATCTCTGCCTCGGGTCGTCCTGCGAGGTGTAGCGCTTTGAGTTTGCAGCCTTGCGCTGGCACGCGTCGCCCGCGTTACTCTGGAGCTGCTATCATTTGGGGCATTTGGGGCACTGCGCTTATTGCCCACCATGTTTTCTGACTGCCGGCAGGTTCAAGAGAGTTGCCGCAAGAAGATGTACGCAATCTCTGTGCCCGAATATTCTTTGGTGAGCCGTCCAGGGCTCCACCGCCGTTGCTGCAATGACGACCTCTGGAAGCAGGGACGCGCAGGAGGGTATCAGAATCAGCACACGAAGTCACGTGAGCGGCGCTGGTCATTAATTGGTGTGATTGACTCCCGACTCCCGACTCCGCGGTGATGACGGGAGGGGGTACGGAACCTCAACGCCCTCAGCACGCTGGCGTGGGACACATCTCAGTCGTTTGTTTACAGTGGGAATGCGATGACAATTTGATATTAGCTGGATATACGAACAAATGCCTGATTGGGGAGTAAATGAGAATATGTGCACTACCCTAACCTACACTCGGCTTCCGCAAGCCTTGGGGTATATCCCGCTTCCTATTTGTACAGGTGAATATTACACTCTCTGCTTTCCATGCTCTGGTCAACTGTCGTTCACTTGATCTGGTTAAAACCCGGGAACTGCCTTTTCAATTCTTGCGCTGGTTGGCCCGCCCTTCATCCGGACAGGTTCCTTCAGCGCCCTTTGTACTAGGGCCAGCGTGTGCTTCGGCACCCTCAAGCGGTGGCCGACGACCAACGCCCCTGTCAGTAGGGCGAGCGCGCAGGCTTGGTGAGCGGCTGCAAGCGAAATCGGAACCATGTAGATCAGGGTGCAGATGCCAAGAGTAACCTGCGCTGATACCAGGTGAAGCAGGCCTGTGACACTTTTGCGTACATTCCTGGGCATGGAAGCCTTGACCTTGCCCGTCCGGCTGTATGCAAAGAGGGCTAACACGGCGCTAAATGTCGTCGTGGCAAGGATGCGATGGTCAAGCTGCACAAGGGAGGGGTTTTCAAGCATGTTGCGCCACCACAGATCTGACCCGTCTTCCCTGCGGCTGTAGAACTTGTCGAGAAGCTCCGATTTAGGTGGCATATAGCCTGTACCCATCTTAGGGAACTCGTTGTATATAAGACCGGCGTCAAGGCCGGCCACGAGGGCGCCCGAGAGAACCGTGATGAAAATCAGCCCTGTCAGAGCAGCAACGGAGCCGCGGAGGACTCTTAGCGCGGGCGATTTCAGCGCCGCAAACTGCTTTGCGGCGGCTTCAGGGTCGCGGAGTGCCCGGTGCGTCCTAAGAACATCCAAACCGGCCAAGAGCATCCAGGAATAGCAGGCGAAAGCGGTAGCCAGATGCGCCGCGAGGCGATATTGACTGACACGGGGGTGCGATCCGGGGGCAAACAGATCATCTTTCAATCCAGACTTGACCATCCACCACCCGATAAAACCTTGGAAGCCGATCAGGCCGGAGATGCCGACTAGTGTTGCAGCCATTCTCGGCGTCACTCGACGACGAGCAATGAAGTAAATTGTTGGCAGCACAAACGAGAGGCCGACAAAGCGTCCCCAGAGCCGATGGGTCCATTCCATAAAGTAGATCTTTTTGAACTCGGCCAGGTCCATATGCGGGTTGAGCATCTTATACTCGGGGGAAGCACGGTACTTGTCAAACTCGGATTCCCAGTCGGCAAGAGATAGGGGCGGGAGCGAGCCCGTTACGGGCCTCCATTCAGTGATGCTCAGGCTGCGCACTGATTAATCCTCGGTGCAGAGACCAGCGAACCCGTTTCACGTACCCGGATTCTGTCAGCCTTGTCAGTCCGCCAAAGACTACAATGCCGAAGACGCTTGCCGCGCTGCCCAGAAGCCAGTAGCCCACCACCCTGGCGTTGGTCTTGGGAAATGATGAAGATTTTGCTCCGTCCGAGCTTCCCAAAGGCGCAGCCTTCGATACAGCGTCTAGTTTTCTCGTAACGTCATTGCTGAGCATATCGAGCGCAGGTCTGGACTCGGCCGTGGCATATCGTCGTGTCGCCCGCGGGAGCTTCAGGAGGCTCGATGTCTGAGCGGCCAAATTCAGCTGTCGTCGCATGCATCGGCCGCACACGATCGGCGGGCGGGCCATCTGGGCAGCAGCCCTGTGTATGCCGAGCTGGAAAAAGGCCATCTTGAAGCCCTTTGCGCCGGCGATGGCTGCCGTTTGTGCAGTTGGAACGGTGCTTCCGACTGAGCCGATTTTATTAAAGTCGAGCTTCCCAATTGGAAGTGGACTGTCTTTGGTTCCTGTGCCTGACGATCAGCCCACCGTTTTTGGGAGCTAAGTGCCCATTGCGCCCCGTGCACCGCACCATATCCACGCCATAGTTAACCCTGATTCTCCCTCTTCCGTCCTCTTCTCGCCGAGTCGCATCGGATCATCGACCATTGACCTGTCCTCCTTCATAGGTACGCGCTTGGCTTCAGGCCCAGTTCTAAGGTAGTGCTACAGTCGCTCGTGGCCAATGTCCCGTCCTTCTGCGGTGCTCCGCAATGGTGAGGGCGTTTTCCTCAAACGCCGTCAGACTTTGGTCCAAGCTGGAACGCCCGTTAGCATCCGTAGTACATATATAACCCTAGCCAAGGCCCCTGATTAACCAGCAGCTACGGAGTACGGAGGTATTGTACAGGCCACTACATTGTTTACTGATAATCGGCTTAGGTACTTCGTACGTCGTATCCGTATTCCCATTGTTGACGCCAACGCACACGCATCATGACCATTGCGTCGAGAGTGCTTTCAAGGAGCCGAGACTTCAATCGCCGCACTCATCTCATCCAGCGCGTCTAAGTTTTGTGAAGATTGCCCTGTCTGTAACTAGTCAACCTGGCCAAGATCCGCATTGAGCCAGATGCCAAGAGTTACAGATGTTTTGCAAGGGCTTGCACGCTGGTGAGGGGCCAAGCTCGCTGTGGTCCGCGTTTTGCACCCTGGTTTCTATGAGCGTCTTCTTGACAACATACCTGGTCAAAAGTGTATATACGGATACAGTACTCCGTACATACATCAACATGGACAAGCACTGATATCTGTGCCTTGTAGCAGGACCTGATGTGCCTGTTCGTATGTACATATCCATGATGGCGTTGCTTCGATGGAGCTTGTGGTACGGATAAGGCCTGTCGCAGTTCGCCGCACAGAAGCCAAGACTCAGTGCCGAGCCGCCATTAACACCCCGCGATCTTACAGATCTCAGACGGTATTGTACCTACCCTGTCCTTCCCCATGACTTACGTGTGCATAGACCCCGGATCTCGACCTACAGTAGGTAGAACTACCCCAGGGCAAGGCAAGTTCTGCCGAAGCTGGAAACATGGAACCCCCAGAAGGCGAAATACACTTATTATCCAGCATCTCTGGTCGCTCGCCGCTGGAGCAAGAGAATCTGCACTCAGAAGGAAGCATCGCCGGTCGAGTCATACTTGCCCAAGCATTCAGGAGCCGAGGAACGAAGCCCCTCACCGAGTCAGTTGTCTTGTTCTTCTAAACTTCTACGACTTCCATCGCCTCGACAAATCCATGCTGAGACCGAGTTGGTACAAGCCGATAGTTGATACTGTAACGCTTGCCTCAAACTGCCCCACTTGCATTCGGGAGCGGCTGCCGAGAAGCATGAAAGTGGGCCTGTTTCACAACAACTCGCTGACAGTTTCCCTCTTTGCGCCTTTCCCTCGAGCTTTCCCTAACCATATCCCGCCACCCGTCCGAGACTGCCTGCCGTCCCAATGAATGTGTTTCCGAGACGAATGGCCTCGAATCACGGCTTTTCCACGACCCCTGTAGCCCAAGGCACGGGCTGAATGCCAAGCTTGAGATGATACTTTATGGAACCGCCAGAGCACAAGCCTACGAAGCTACTTCAAACTCAATAAGCTTGATAAAGTACGGATAGATATGATTCTTCGCCCAACAGTTGGCCAAGCCTGGCTGCCGAGAGCGTTGCCGGAATGCTGCTTGCAACATTGGGCAGCTGAGCTTGCTTGCTAAGGGGCACAGGGGCGTTGGCAGCTTGTGACAGGGACGGTAAGATGGACGTGTTCATCCTCTGACTATTGACAGGGAAAGTTGCTGTGACGATCAGTCATCCCGTCACAGTCTTTCAGGGTGCTCGCTGCTTTTACCTCATGTATTGTCCATTCCTCACGCAAGCACGACTCGCAGCGTCTGTCGCCTGCCAAGATGCTGATCCGCATCATGGCACGTCCGGCCGTATACTAAAAGCAAGGCCAAGCCTCCAAAAACGGCCAGAGCTTGGATTCATGCCGCCGATTTGAGGTTGTTTGGTTCAGCTCACAGTCGTCTGGAGGACTTATTCCCTTCCTCACCTTGGCCGGTTTGGATTTGCTTTCTTTCCCTTTCCCTTCCCTTTCCCCCGCCGCCCCTGGATGGTTGGCCTTACGAACTACCCTCTTTTATTTTTCTTTCCCTTTCTCTTCATCTTCACTTCGTTGAAGCCGCGGCGCGGCTTCGTTTGTAGCTTTAACCATTGCTGCTATTTAGCCCTGGGTGAGAGGCCTGGAGTCTGCTCTGCCCCTGAGAACAGTAATGGCCCAGAACGCCACGGGGCAGGTCTCCGAAATGGACCTCACAGGGGGGAAGCCGCTTTGTGGTAGCGGCGAGGAGGTCGGCGAGTACGATCTTCCCCTCCACGTCGCGGCTTTGTGTAAGTGATTATGATGATTTGCCTGCCTCTGTTCACTTTTCGACTGACACACCTGTTCAGTCATGGTTTTAGCCGCCTCCATCTTCGGCGCCGGTTTTCCCGTCGTTGCGAAGAAGGTCAAGTGGGTAAAGGTGCCGAAAAGGGCATTCTTTATTTGCAAGCACTTTGGAACTGGCGTGTTGGTCGCTACTGCGTTCGTTCATGTAAGCAGGCAGCCGCAGGTTAGAGTGGTAACGAGAGACTGACGGTTGGATAGCTGCTGCCCGTGGCCTTTGGGAATTTGACAGATCCCTGCCTCCCAGATCTGTTCACCGATCAATATCCAGCTCTACCCGGTGTCATCATGATGGCCTCCATGTTCTGTCTCTTTATCATTGAGATGTATATGAACACAAAGATGGGCGGTCACTCTCACGGCGGCCCCATGGGCTTTGAGACGCAGCACTCTCACCGGCCCGATCCACCTCGACGACCCCCAAGATACACGAGCGACACCGAGTTCGAGATCGAGGATGTCGAGTACGAGAAAAAGATGGCACAGAAGATGTACGAGGAAAAGGTAAAGGATTACCAGCGCGGGAACCCTTTCTCCGACCCCGATGGTGTCCAATCCGAGATGCCGCCTTGGTTCATCGTCTTCTATGAGCAGTATGTTCGCCAGAGACTCGAGATGATCAATATGATCAAGGCAAGCTCCCAGCAGCATGAAAGCGATTTTTCAGCCAAGCGCCAGTCCGCTCTCACCACACTGGCAGACGGGAACTCGCCTTACATTGACGTTGAGACGGGACAGGCGGTTGACCCGGCTGTGTACCGCAAGATGTCGATGAACATTACTCTCCTCGAGGGCGGCATCCTGTTCCACTCGGTCTTTGTCGGCATGACTGTCAGCATCACGATTGATGGGTTTCTCATTCTTCTCATTGCTATCCTCTTCCATCAGATGTTTGAGGGTCTCGGTCTTGGTTCCCGTATCGCCGCCGTTCCGTACCCCCGTGGCAGCATCCGCCCGTGGGTGTTGGTTGTTGCTTTCGGAACAACCGCGCCAATTGGGCAGGCCATTGGTCTTATTGCGAGGAATTCCTACGATCCCAACAGCGCGTTCGGCCTGATCATAGTGGGCGTGTTCAATGCAATGTAAGAGGCGTCTGGGGAGACTCTGTTTGGCTTCCAAGAATAAGCTAACACGGCATCATAGCTCGTCTGGCCTGCTTCTGTACGCTGCACTTGTCGACCTGTTGGCTGAGGACTTCTTATCCGAGGAAGCAAGTAGGACCATGACGAAGAAGGACAGGATGACGGCCTTCTTTTGGGTGATACTGGGAGGTAAGACTTCCCCACTTCCCGTTCTTAATCAGAAACAGTCGACCTGATGATTTTACTTTTTATAGCCATTGGCATGTCTATTGTCGGTGCTTTTGCATAAGATATACAAGCGCCATGGGCATCAATTTGTGCGATAGTAGAACCCCTAGTAGCTCCCTCTGGCAGTAACTCCTGGCAACCGAACCACACCGACATGATCGCTTGCAACGCCGGTATCTCCTTACTCTGCGCGAGATTCGCTCGCCAAGATACATCCTGGGCAAGAATACCGGAAACCAAAACAACAAACTGGGGCAGGACAATGGCCGACTGCTTCCCCTGAAGGCTTGAGGCCCATGATCCTGAGCAATGTCCTGTTACAGCACAAGATTTTCTTTCTTTTTTCACCATGTGGTCCATTTACCCTTTGAGTTGCGATGGTCAAAGGAGAATATGACAAGTTTACCCTTGGTGCAACACGGTCGGCTGATAGCTAAAGGTTGATACAAGGAGGAATAAGTGTCAAGCAAAGCATTTGGGCACATCGCGGGAAGATGGAGGCTCATCACACGGTTGGATGTTTGGAAAAGGACAGATGGAGAGAGAAACAATACTCCATCGACTAGTGGGGATTCAAACAGTATGGTACGCCTGGCAAGGATAGTATCTTGGAAAGTGGCTGTATAGTATGAAGGGCTGTACGTAGTATAAGTAGTGTACATGCGCACATCAAAACATAGCTTAGCCATGACGCCCTCAGGCAGTGGAAGAAAGATGTAGGTTGAGATTCAAGTAATCCAGAAACCTCGATGAGAGAAAAACAAAAGGGAGGCACACCTGCATACTAATACATCATCAAGCCTGTTGTGTCTTTGGGGTTAGGATTTCTTTGTAGGGTACTCCGTAATCCGGTACTATGTATCTGACTTACATAGGTAGCGAGCGTGGCTGTGTTGATCGAGGTTAGGCAGGGGGTGCCGATCGTGCGGGAGGGAAGGTTACAGCCTACAGGCAGGTCCCTCGAGATCCGGGCTCTGGTTGGGGATTGAACTCAAGTATTCTTCACCAGGTATCTGTTCTCTCGCGGTAGTACGTCAGACAAGGCATGGGCGGGAACAAGTACGGGGGTTCTCAAAGAATAACCACCATGGAGGTTGGGCGGTGATGCTGTAGACTCACAAGGCTTGAGGAAAGGCAACAAAGGCGGCTATTCATCTGATGACTGTATGGTGTCTGTGGGTGGGGGTATATAGGGAAGTTTACGGCTCCTGGTCGCCAACAGGAGCCGGTACGTCATTTCATTGAACCATTTCAATGGCGATTTGGCGTAGCGGTTCCAAGCGCGGGCTGAGAAAATCCCCGGACGGCCTCTGGTTGACGAATGTTACTGTCCCAGACTGTTGTCTAGGCACATGCCTGCCTCTTTTTTGGGTTCGATTCCTGGAACAATCATCTTTTTTTTTTCAACTTTTTCTTTTTTGCTGCTATTCTATTTTGTAACTAAGGTACCTGGTTTTTGAAATCGATTGCTGGAATTCATCCCAATGGTTTCTCGTTGCCCGTGCTGGCACCACTTCCTTCCCCGAATATATCATCAATCAGGTTAGGTGGTACACCACCTGCCCTCCCAGACGCCAGACTGTCTGGCTCCGAGTGACTACAAGGTACTCACAATTCCTGGTTTGACAATGATTGAGAAGGAGCGCTTGCCTTCCACCTTGAATAGCCTCGCTTGTAGCGAAGGCTGCAGCTGCCGCCTATGCCCACAATGCAAGAATGGCAAGAGATACTGTAGCACGAAGAGGGTCATGGAGACGATGACCTGACAGAAGAGTGGATGGCCACTCTCTCTGAGGTGGCCGATGAAGAATCCTTTTCTCTCCAATACTCACTCTACAGTAATAACGATCATACTCCCTATCCTGAAGCAACGCAGCAATCATTGATTCGCCTTCAATTCTAGCACATCAGCATTAGACCATCGCATTGCCCTAAGAAGACCGAGTCTTGGACACCAAGAAATCTTTTTCGCGCATCCCGGATTCACCGGACCACAAGATTCACGTACCAGCTGAGGCAATACACAGGTAGGTCATTCCACTCATCGACCTGCCCGTCTCTCTCTCATCCTAAACCCAAGCACACCCACTGCCATGTCCGAAACCAACCATCCGCCGACCACAACGACAGCAATAATCGATCAGGGATCACAGCCCACCTCCAACCCAGGCACCACCATCCTTATCCTCATCGCCGTCCTGCTCCCCCCTTTAGCAGTCTCCTTCAAGCGGGGCTGTTCGGGAACACTGGCAGTCAACATCCTCCTTACACTGATCGGCTAGTTGCCTGGCGTGCTGCACGCCGTCTGTGTGATATCCACCTGATTCCATTCTAATTCGAGACGGGCCATTTGAGCAGGTGAAACGACGAGCATCGTCACCTTGGAACTCGAGGCTAGGGGAAGATACGAGGCAGGGGAGCGGCAACCAAATATACACGACCAACCTCATGGCGCCGGCAGCCGCCCCCTCAGTCCTCATCTGGGCCTCGGTCCTCTTTCCGCCCCTAGCCGTCTACTTCAAGCGTGGCGTCAGGCCTGAGCTGGGCATCAACGTTTGCTTTACGCTGTGCGGGTTTCTTCCGGGTGTCTTTCACGCCCTGTGGATCGTGAACGAGGAACAACTCCCCCAATAGTTGGCTGAAGGCGCCAACGTACCGGCAACGGACTGCGGTTGGACTGATGTGATTGGATGGGACTACTCGGCGCGCTGGAGCATACATATTGCGTTAGTAACTAGGATGGGCCCGGCTGTTCAATGCTGCTTCTGCCGGTGCTGCTGCTGTTGGTGGTGTTGGTGGTAATGTGGTCGCGGCAATGGCCAGGGGCTGATCGCCTCAACGATTGTACGAGACACCCTCCTTTCCTCCCCTCCGTGACATAGTTACGGGGGGTAATTCGATAGACCATTGTACATGTTGTTGACCTCTAAAGACAAGGGAAAGCACCAAACCTGCTATTGTGGGGGTGGCAGACTGATCCCTGAGTAATTACACTGCTGCTCTCCTTGTGTAGCATACCTTGCCTCTTGTTGTAGGCCGAAAAAGCCTGTTTGGGATAGGCATTCGGCTTCTGTGCTTGGGAGAGTCTCCTATAGGTGTTAGGGGCTGGCATAAGATCGCCAGCCACTGAAGTCGATTATTGCTCGTACCCCTTTCCCCTGTCTTTCCATCCCCGGTGAACATGAAGACAACTAGATCACCTAGCACTTCCTGTTAAGGAGCAGTTCTCCTGACACAAACCAAAGAGGAATTATTCAGTAATCAGCACGCAAAGTCAAGCTCAGATTCTAGATTGACAGCGACAAACATAGGCGCTGCGGTACAAAATTCTGTACTCCGTATACAACTGGACAATGTAGACTTGGGGAGCAAGAAGCCACCAGCATAAACAAATATTGAACAGACAAAACCCTGACACTCTGACGCCAAAAGGGATAGCCTACACTCTGCAAACCGAGCCTTTATACTCAGAACACCCCGACCAAATACACACCGCCAAACCCCTGACAAGAATTCTCACAACCGAAACCCGAAACCCTAGTCAACAACGAGTCCCTCCAGGACGCGAATTGCCCTCGCCCCCTCCCTCTCAAAGGCCGACACCATGGCCTCGCACTCATTCTTGAGCTTTTGCTCGGCCAGTCCGGCGTTATGATAGATCCACTCCTCGACAGACATCCTCTTCTCGGGGCTGGTGAGCGCGGCACCCCTGCGCAAAAGCCTTGAGACGCCATCGTTCTCCTTGTTGTCCGCATCGTGGGAGCTGGTCGGGGAGAACAGCAGGTCCAGGTCGGCTGGCTGCCACGGCGTGGTGCTTTGCAAGCCTGCGACAAAATTGTTGTTGTTGTTGTTGTTGTTGTTGTTGTTGTTGTTGTTGTTGTTGTTGTTGTTGTTGTTGTTGTTGTTGTTGTTGCGTCTTTCCGGCGAGCTGCTGTGCATGGGAGTGGCGGTTTTCGGCGCGAGCGCAACGCGCTTGTCAATGGCGGCGCCGGATGCTGCGGCACTTGAAGGTGGCCGGTTCTCGGCGTCAGAGGACTGCGGAGATTGTGACGGCGAAATGGCCGCCTGTTTGGCAGATGCGGAGGGAGTGGTGCGTGCCCGGGGTGGTGTTGCTGGAGGCTGAGACAAGCGTGTTGCGGATGACGGGGGCAAGGGGAGCGCTTTCTCCGTCTTGACCGGCGGTTGTACGGCTGGGCCGTAGTGGTTAACTTCAGCCGGAGTCGAAGGCTTGGCAGCAGCGGGCACGGGTTTCCTAGCAATCTTTCCGGATTTGCCCTTGAGTGAAGAAAGCGACTCGCGATTGCGCGACGATCCGAACTGCACCTCAGGCTCCAGCGGGGATCGCCGTCGCTCCTCCGACTCTTGAATTGAAGCCTGAGAAGCGGTCGACTTTTTCGATGGGCGTCCTCTTCCCCGCTTCTCCATGCTAGGGCGGTTGGTAGCTTTGTTAACAACAGTGCCCGTACTGGCATCAGGGTCCGCCAACTCCGGCTCCGGCTCTGTTTCTGCCGGCCGTGCCTCTTCTAGAACATGGGACTGTGACTCAGGAGGGTTCGCGATGTGCTCCGTTGCTGGATCTGCCGGATCTGATTGGGGCTCGGGCTCCTTGGCCTTCTTCGTCTGCTTTGATGCCTTGCGTGTCCCAGCCTTGCGTCCCTTCTTAGGGACTACCAGAGTTTCTGATTCTGGCTCTTCTAGGTCCATTTCGGCCTCCAGCGCCTTGAACTCAGCTTCAATTTCTGCCTGGTTTGGCTCAACAGGCGTCGGATCGAACATTGCATAAGCCTCACTCCTCGGCTTCATCTGGCCACTCGTTTTGCGCGCATTGGCGGTCTTGCCGCGTCCTTTCGCACGAGCTGGCGTCCTAGGTTTTTCGGAGCCAGAATCAGCGGCCGCCTCTCCTACGGCAGGTTCTTCAGTATCAGACTGATAACGCTCTAGATCAGCCTCGAGCTGACACTCGATTTCATCGTCATCTGGAAGATCAACCCGGGATGCGGCAGGAGACACTTGGGACCTCAGCGATGACTGCGAGGTTTTACGTGCCTTTTTGGCATGGGAGGCTCGCGCCTTCTTCCGGGTCGTGGCCTGTTTCGTCGGCGCGGCATCGACCATCTCGGTGTCCGGCAGCAGCACAGCCGAGTTGGCGTTTTCTACAGCGTTGCTTGCTCGGGCACGTGCGGTCCGCTTCTTGGGAGCTGGCTCCTCGGTATCAGCAGCAATGGGATCCTCCATCTCGTCACTTGTCCGCTTTCGTCCTCTGGGAGCTTTCTGCGGCGGAACTTGTTGCTGCGGCGGTTCATCCTCCAAAATTTCCACCACATCTTCCTTCTTTGCTTTGGTCTTCCGGCCCTTGGAAGGGCCCGCCTTCTTTTTCCTCGCCATCCTCTTTCCGCCCTGTGTCATGTTGGAGGCAGTGGTCATGACACTATCGTCATGATCGGCCGTGATATCAGCGGCGGATGCAAGGTCTGATATGCCTGTGGCAACAGTCGCTATGGATTGGACTGAAAGCCTCGATGCCTTAGACGATCTTGGCGCCTTGGCTCGCCCCGATTTCTTCGGTGCTGGATACTGGCTTATGAGGGTAAAGAATGGACAATTGGGCTCACGCCGGTAGTGCTCGTCGCTGTATTGCGGTTAGCATTGCTCGGAGAAGAGGCTTTGAAACGGAACTTGCTATGGATTGTCGTCTGATTCCCAGCCCTCAAGCGCAAGTTGGCAATAAGCACATGTTGCCATGTCATCGGCATCGAGCGATGGGGTGTACTTCCATCCTGCTTCGACGAGCTGCGGCTGCCAGTTAGCTTGTGCGACAAAGCACCCACCGCTTAACCGCGCCTACCTTCTTGGTCTTGCACTTAAACCCCTTTTTTGACTCGTAGGGCCACCTGCCGGCAAACGTCGCCTTCCGCGCCTCGATCATGGCCGGGTCTAAAGGGTGGACCTTCCGATAGTTTCCCACGCCGGCCTCGATTGCTGCCGTGATGGCCCACCCACACGTCGGAGAGTGCTTCAAGTGCTCTTCTATCGGGTTGTCGTGCTCTTCCCACCCGTCCAGCGATTTGGCGCATAGGAAGCACACCACATTATCGGGGCTTTTTGGGTGAGGCTCGAAGAAGAATCCGGCTTTCGCAAGCTAATTCAATGCGTCAGCTAGAGTCGCGCAGCGCTTCAAGGGCTGCTGTCGTACCGCGACAGGAGAAAGCGACTTGTGCGGCCAGTGGAATGCCTTGGAGACTCGGCCCTTTACAACAGGCTGAGAGCCTCGAAACGAGGCTAGGCGATTCTCAAAAATGATATATTGTTCGTCGGAGGAGTCCATTGCTATTTACTTCGCTGGATGAAAGTCGGTTCGGTCGTTTCGGTTGGGATTTGTTGGTTGCGACGGGAGGCAATGGTGCCGCTTACAAGAAGCGCATAGCCCGTTCTGAGGACGGAATAGTTACGGCGCAACAGTAGAAGGAAACCGTCTGAATGAAGCTGCAAGTAATTGGCGATGATATGTTCGGATGTTTGCGAGCGTAATGGGAACGGGGAAGTCGCAACTCGGAATCGCAATTGCTACGCGTGATGATGATTGGAGAGGCTTGCCGCGTTTGTTTACTTTGTCCATTGTGGGTAAGCAGCTTCAAGTGGGGCACCTCCTGAAGCAGAACGCCTCATTCGACGTTTTGCCTGATGTCAGTCACTGTGGCGGAACCCCACATCAATCTGCTTGCAAGGGTTCGCAACCCTCCTTTTCCCTATTCTAATGAGCGGCAGAGCGGATATCGACGAAAAATCCACCAACAGCCAAAAACAAATAAAAAAGGGGACACAGCGACTTTGAGTTGGCCCAATACTACGTCATGACGCTTGTTGTGATATACAATGCCCCCCTGGTTTGTTCGGTAGCGCCTGACTTAAAGGCAAGGGTTGATCAACCCAAGAATTCGAGTTTCAACAGCAAAACAGCCACTCTTTTCCTACAAGTAGGACTGAAATAAAACGGCCGTTTAGAGTTTTACTAGATGCTCCATTTTCTTACGCTGTGTTAGCTTTCTTCAGTGTTGAGAGAGATCTTTTTGAATTTGAGACCAGGACCCCTGTCGGGAGTTCTGCGCTAACGAACGAACCAGCAATGAATTGTGTTCTGAAGACTAGAGGAGCTTTGAATCCTCATAACTCAGCATGTTCTGAGGATCAGGCCTTGCATTGCTGACGCGGCTGAACAGTATCCCATATTTCCAGCAATGTATTGCGCATTTATAGAACAGTGAGGTATCTGAGAGTCTGGAGCCAGGCCGGGGCCGCCGGGTACTGGTCTTCCTCGGCACCTCCTTATGTCCGTCTGTCTGCTGGAACCAACCTGGACGTTCGGATGAACGTCGCAAGTCGAGTCGGCCCTTCCGTGTGCGGTTCCTCATCTCAACATGGGGAGCTGGAGATGGAGACCGTGACTGAGTGGCCAACCAGCCACCATTTCTTCGTGTCCACCAGTCCACCCTACAGGCGGGGGCCACAAATGGGGACATCGAATTGGGCAAAGACTGTCCCGAGTCATGAAATCTTTGACATGGACATACCGATCTCGGGATACACTGTAGTTCCTTCTTCTTTGCGAATGTACAACGGCCATTCCCCTGGGAACATGAGGGGAATACTGAGCCCAATCATGACGTGCTGAAAATACGGCTACGGTTTGGATAAGCTTTTTAAGGCGTACATTGCCGGACTGGGCGCTCAGGCAGAAGCTTCGGGAACGGCATCTGGCTGACGGCCCTACCTTCCTTCCCAGGAACCGATGCGGCACTTCATTGGATGCTCCACCCATGTAAGTCATGATTCATGGATAATCGTTGAGATGGAGTTTCATTAGTGACTTGGCAGCCTCACATCCCAACTCCCAAGACCCTTTTTTCTCTAACGCGTGGCAGGTTTTTTCGGTCTGTACTGGCTGCTGACCAATACAGTTAGCCCTAACACACCGATGGCTTCAACTTGCCTCGAGATGCCACCTGATAGCTGCACTATCAGACTGCTGAAGAGGTGACAGTTAGACAGACTGGAAACTTGTAAATCCGGCGCAAATATATCCTCATAAATGACGTCTTGTCCATGAGCAGGATAAACCAAGACACCCTCTGCGACGCAATGTCTTCCAGGTTGGGGAACTCCCCCAGAGACCTACCTTCTCTATGCTGGTGGCGGCGAAGCCGCCCACCCCGAATGCCCTGGGATCTGTTCTCGGCCGAAAGTCGGCCACTCCAAGCAGGGTTTGTACATACTTGCCTCGTCCCTGTTCCGCGGTTTCGCAGATCTCGGCTTCATAAACTGCCATTCTTTGCCCCATGTTCCCCCGTTCTCCCCAGTTATCCCCATCTTCCCTCACGGTGTTGTCTCTTCTGCCACCTGGGAAGTCGACGCTGTGAGGCCGCGACTTCCCTTGGCCTCTGGTTATCAGGCTATCGCCTTCCAAGCAGCCTATCTTACACTAGGTCGAGCTCGATTTACTCTGCAACTTTTTTCAGTCTTAGATCTGCCTTCTCATTGAGAGTCTCAACAGGACATAGCCCCAGCTACAAACCCCGGCGGCGAAAGAGGCACCGGCACTGCGCGAGCGATAATGGCGGCCATCGATACCGTCCCTCAGGGGAAACCTCTAGGGAAAGGTCAAGCTCCCGAAAGCCCGGATTACGCCCTCATGAGTTCAGCATCCGGCGAGATTGTGGGCGAGGTGCGCGCTACCTCGCGCTTGGACTTTGAGAAGCAGAAGGCTGCCGAAGGCGAGGAGCATTTCCACCGTCTTGGATGGAAGCGCCTCACTATCGTCCTGATCGTCACTGCCGTCGCTCTCGGTAGTCTCAGTCTTCCCAGCGTGTTCGCGACATTGGGCATGGTAGCAGGCGTCATCCTGTGTGTCGGGATAGGGCTCATCGCCATGTACTCGAGCTACGTCGTTGGCCAAGTCAAGCTGAAATACCCCGAAATATCGCACTACGCCGACGCTGGCCAGATGATGTTTGGGAAGATCGGTTACGAGGTTATCAGCGTCATGTTCGTCCTCCAGCTCGTCTTCACCACAGGCTCCCATGTCCTGACCGGCGCCATCATGTTCGACAACCTCACGGACGACGGCGCATGCACCATTGTCTTCACTGTCGTCTCGGCAATTATATTGTTCCTCGTCGCGATCCCGCCCACTTTCTCCGAGATGGCTATACTTGGCTACATCGACTTTGTGTCCATTATTGTCGCTATATTCATCACCATCATCGCGACCGGTATTCGTGCTGGGGACTCGACCGGCGGTCTCTCGGCTGTCGCATGGTCGGCCTGGCCCAAGGAGGGACTGACGTTGGCCGAAGCATTCATCGCCGTCAGCAACATCGTCTTTGCTTACAGCTTTGCGCTCAGCCAGTTCAGCTTCATGGACGAGATGCACACCCCCAAGGATTTCGACAAGTCCATCATCACGCTTGGCGTTTTTGAGATTTTTCTCTACACCCTCACTGGCGCCTTAATCTACGCTTTCGTCGGCCCCGACGTCAAGTCCCCGGCTCTGCTCTCTGCCGGTCCGCTGGTGTCCAAAATCGCTTTCGGCGTGGCCATCCCTGTCATCTTCATCTCGGGCAGCATAAACACCACCGTGGCGGCACGCTACATTCACGTACGCGCGTTCAAGAACTCGATCGTCCGCTACGTCAACACCCCCATGGGCTGGGCCACCTGGATCGGCCTGGACGCCATCATCACGATTCTGGCCTGGGTCATTGCCAGTGCGATTCCCTTCTTCTCTGACCTGTTGGCTATTTGCTCGTCCCTGTTCGTATCGGGCTTCACATTCTACTTCCCGGCTATAATGTGGTTCATGTTCATCAAGGAAGGGAAGTGGTACGAGGTCAGGAACCTCGCCTTGTCAGCCACCAATGCCTTGTGTTTTGCTGTGGGCGTCATTGTGCTCGGTGTTGGGACGTATTCGAGCATTTGGGATATTGTGAGTAGTCATATTGCTCTTCATTGCGTCCACGATAACTGACCATGTCCCTAGAAACACCAGTACGCCATTGGAGCGGTCTCCGAACCCTTCACCTGCGCGCCTATAGGCTGAAAAGCCGCCAGCGTACTAGGCTTTTGCCGAATATGGGGATGTTGTTGTTTTACGGAACTGTATGATTAGAGAGCAGTGCGCCAGAGGCTCATTCTGGTAGTGACAATCTGGCGGCGTTAATGATCTGTATGATCAATGACTATATAGAATAGAACAGCGTATGGTTTTGTGTTTGTCATGACTGCGAGCTCTCTTGTGTGAAGTCCTCGGTCCGCATGGTCTGGAAAGACCACACATTTCACTGATTTCAGGGCTCTGCTCAGCCACTGACTCGCGGTATTCTATAAGAGTTCTATAGGACATGTCACAAAAGCAGGGTGAAGTTTCCCAGAATCACTTCTATTTCCAGTCAAATGAGAGGCCAGTTTCCTGGGACAAAGTGGAAAAGCGACCAGAATAAAGGTCACTAAAAGCGACCAGAATAAAGGTCACTCACCATCACCATTTACAGTGACGCGAAAATAGGAGGTAAAAACAAAACAAAAGAAACTGCCCAGTAACAGGATTGAACTGTTGACCTTCGCATTACTTAATATAGCCGCTAAGCAATATTAGTACGACGCTCTAACCAGCTGAGCTAACCGGGCTCGGAAGACAATTATGCATTCCGTTGTTGAGTCCTATGTTCATGGGTCTGAATACCTGGTAACAGCAAGTATGATAAACAAGAACACGTTACGGAACGGGGCTTCGCTGTGGAACTTGTCATAGCGCAGAGTTCATTCATTCCAACTCGAGGGGGTTGATTCCATCTAACTACTACATAGGCCCAGGGCAGAAGAGCAAGGTGGCTCTCTAGACCTGCCCAGCACCCTCTATCTCCGCCAGAGCAGGACATCAGCACGTCATTTCGAGACCACCTCCATTGTCAGCCCCAAGTCCTTGTAGAACGCTTCAGAGCTGGGCTTGCGGCCCAGGAACTGCTCAAGCGTGAGCATCTCATCTTGCGAGCCTCCCTTCTCAAGCACCGTGTGTCGATAACGGCGGCCCTGGACGGGATCCATGGGGTTGCTCTTGAAGACGGTGTAAAACATGTCTGTTGAGTACACCTGTGAGGACAGGTAACCGTAGTATCCCGCATCATAACCGCCAATGAGATGCCCGAAAGTGGCCTGCCCATTACCCCAAGTGCTAGATCCTTGTCAGCCAGCTTGCAGGGAAGTTGTGGGTGGGGGTGATCAAGACTTACCTTGGTTCACCCAGAGCCTCTGGGCCCTTGATCTTCGAGATATCAGCTCTCAGTTCGTTGTACAGCTTGCTGACATCCAGTTGCTCCAGCTCGGAGTGGCTCTTGGGCGTGTGCACGGTCATGTCGAAAAGACCAAAGTGCAGCTGCCGCAAGTTGAAAAGAGCGTCGTTGACATGTTTAGTAGCGATGAGCTTCTCAATGAGGTCATCAGGGATCGGATTGCCTGTCTCATAGTGGCTGCTCAGGCTCTTGAGCTGGCTGGGCGTCCAGCACCAATTCTCTAGCATCTGACTGGGAGCCTCGACAAAGTCTCTCACTGTCGATGTGCCGTGGTAGCGTGCATATCGAGTCCGACCAGCCAAGTCGTGGATCCCATGACCCAGTTCGTGGAAGAGAGTGACGACCTCGTCGTGCTTGAGAAGCGAGGGCTTCTTCTCAGTAGGCTTACTGAAATTGCAGACAAGCGCCGTGGCCGGATAGCGCCTTGTGCCGTCCGCTTTCAAAAAGCCCGGCTGCAGGCTGAAGTTGGCTGCGTGACCGTACTTGCCCGGCCTCGGGTGCAAATCCAGGTAGAGATAACCGACAAAACCATCTCCTTCGCTTGCGTCATCCCATACACTGAAGATAATAACGTCTTGATGCCAAGCAATATCTTCAGCGTTTCCGGTAGGGGAGATGCGCTTGCGATCTTCGGGCGTCAGCTCGACGAAGACAAGGCCGAACAATTCCTCGAAGATGCGCAGCATTCCTGCCACAGTCGACTTGAGCGGGAAGTACTCGGCAATGGCGTTTTCGTCGATGCTGTACTCCTGCTCGACCATCATCCTGTCGTAGAAGCGGTGGTCCCAAAGGTAGTAGTTGCCATCAAATGGCAAATTGCGGGCCTCGTGATCCTTCTTCTTCAGTTGGAGGAGATGTTCAATCTCCTTTTCGCCGCCGGCGGCCAGTCGCTGCTTGAGGTCTCCAAGGAAATCGAGCACGGTTTTTGGCGTCTTGGCCATCTTGTCCTCAATACGGAAAGAGGCATGGTCAGGATAGCCGAGCAAGCGAGCAGCCTCATCACGAAGAAGGATGGCTTCCTTGAACAGGGGAACGTTTTGGTTGCACTGGATGCAGTATTAGTACCAGGGATGTCTCACACAATGACAAGGTTTGCGAAAATACCTTGTTTTCGTTTTCGATGAACACTCTCCTGCGAGTCTCTGGATTCTTCGCAAACTTGAGCGTGGGGAAGAGATCCGGGTACTTGAAGGTTAGCCGCAGCTTGCCCTCGTTCTCCCCAGTGCCCTTCTCCAAGGTGTCCAGAACATCCTGGGGGACGCCGTCGAGGTCCTCCTTGGTAAACCAGATGCCATTGTTTTCCTCGTTGAGGTTCTTTTGGAACTCAATTTGGATCTGGCTCAGCCTCTTCTTGATCTCCTTGAACCGATCCCGCTGCGGGCCCTCTGGCAGGCCAAGACCGTTCCTGATGTAGCTCTTCCGCTCCTTCTCCAAGAGCCGCGCACTCTCGACATCCTCCAGGCCAGCGGTCTTGGCCATGGAAGCATCGATCAAACGCTCCCGGTCCTTCTCCAAGCTCTCTGCAAGCCCCGACTTCTTGTACACGGCATCGACCAGGCGGAAGACGTCCTCGCGCATGCTGCACTCGATACCGAACTCATCCATGATCTTCTCGGCTTCGGTGCTCGCGTCGCGTAGGGCGCTGTCCCCGCTGACATATTGGTAGAAGCCCAGGATGCGGGCGCTGAGGGAGCTTTGGTTCTCATCCTCAGCCTGTGGCCGGACGACCGAGTCAAAGGTAGCCGCGGCCGGGTCATCGTCCGGCTTGATGTTGGCCACGAGCGAGTCCAGGAGGGAGCGAGTTCTGTCGCATAGGGCCTTGGCGTCGGCCACGATGCTCTCCTTGGTGCCCGTGAAGAGGGGCGGGGGCTGCGGGGGGTTGGCGTACTTGGCCATATCGATGGAGGGCGGGCGAGTTATGAAAGAAGCTGGAGACGAGAATGTCAGAGTACCCAGCGCTGGGCTGGTCGAGAGAGCACCGTAGCCGCCTCCAAGGGGTTTCTGTTGTAGTCGGCTGTATTTGAGTTGAGTAAAGAAGGTAAGAAAGCGGGGAACAAGCCGTGGGGCAGCCAGGATGACGGTTGCGGTGGAAAAGAGGACAAGGGAGAAGAGCAGCAGGAAAACAACCCGCCGCCGACTCGAGCTCAAAGCAGCCGCCAGGGTGGAGGTCTTCTGGCGGACAGTTGAGGAGCGAGGACAGGATGCAAGAACAGCAGCTTTGCCTGGGTTAGGTACCTATCGCGTGTGGGCACTGGGCAGCGAGATGCACACTAATTGCGGGGAACCTAGGAAGAGGAAGGTGAGACAAGGTCGCCCTGCAGAGCGGCCAGTGGTTTGTCTTGGTACCTGACCAACGAGCGTAGTGGTAAGCTCGTGACGCAAGATAGCTGCAGAAGGAACAAAAGATTCAGAGTCGACGTTGCACAGGTGAGATGCAGGCAGCAATCTTATTTTGACCGAGTTGGAACTGACTTTGGGATCTTCTGAATTATTAGATCAAAGCTGGAACATCAATGGACAGGTTGACGTTTGAGAATAACTACGGCTGGGGCATGTTACAGTAGGTACATACACGTGCTGAGGGGTCGCTGTGTGCGCACGCACGGACTCCAGGATGCGTCCAGACTGTCAGCGGCTTCTACACTACGTCTTGTTGGCGCCTCGAAGTTCAACATCTCATCCTGTTGCATGCAACAATAGAACGAGTTCTACAGAGTATAATGACTTTCGTGTTACCGATATCTACCACATGTATCCTGTCCCAAGTCCCTGAATGGTGCCACAACAGGACCGATCCAGGCCCCCAAATTCAATAACATCGCGCAAGACTCCAACGCCGACCGTCCACCCATGGAAACAATGCAATACCCTCCATAACAACCGTTCCGTAAATTGGCTGTTCTTCCGCAGTCTTCCTCGTCCCAGCATACGGTTGCTGCTTCGTCCCGTCTAGTTCGCAAGGATGGTCCGGACAAGCTCTGATTGGCAAGCGGGTGTCAGCAAACGTACCATCATGGGACCGTATAGAACCATGCCTACCTGTGTAGTTTACCTGACCGGAGCTTGTGTCAACGGCCTTGAGGAGCTCGTCCACCTCTTCTTCGGTCATCTTCTCACCGAGGTTGGTGAGGATGTACTTCAGCTGGCCGACACCGATGAAGCCCGTCATGTCCTTGTCAAACACCTGGAAGCCACGGCAGTATTCCTCTGGCTCGCCGGGGTCGCGGAAACCGCCGGGCCGGTTCAGTACTCGTTGGAACATCTCGAAGTCAACTGATCAAACCAACCGTTAGCAGCTGATTTATCCGGACGGAGACTCCCCGATGACAAAGGCGGCACCACTCCGCATGGTATAACATACAGTCGCCCCCAACACTCTTCTCTAAGTCACGGATCTCGGCCAGGGTCGGGTTCTGACCACAGGCGCGAAGCAGGTCGCCGAGGCTCTCGAGTGCGACGCGGCCATTGCCGCGCTTGTCGAAAAGCGAAAACGCCTCCTTGTAGTTCGTCGAGGCCTGCGAGTCGTACTGGTTAGAAGCCATTGTCTCTGATTTGGGCACCGAAAAAATGCGACTGGCAGATGAAGGGAAAATTCCGCGGAGTAATGAAGAGAATATGTATGTTCGGCTGCGCAGAGCTGTCCTATATGATGCTGGAAAGTGGAAGCGGGAAATTCAAAGAGTTCGATATTGTTGCGGTTTCCCTGCTGTCGCCCATTCCCCGCCCTGTTCTGCTGCTGCACCACACCCGTGCGCTAACAAAAGGAGCATTTTTAGTGGCCGATTGGCCTTGATTTTGTTGACCTAGGCAACCGCGCGGCACAAACTTGGGGCAAGTGGCAAATTGTGAGTTTGGGCGTACTCACCATTTTGATTTTCAATCGCGAAGCGGTGCTGATGAGTCTTGAGGAGAATTCGCAGTTGTAGGGAGGGAAAGGGAAGAAGCGCAAACGAAGATGGAGAGCGGTGACCAAACGACGGGATGTGGAACAGGGCCTGGCCAGTTAAGAAGCGCTGCTGGGACTGGGCGCAAAAGCAACATGGATTGCGGTCTGTGCCTTCATGCACTGCTTGGTTTTTAGCGGTCGTCTCCAGGGGCAACCGCAAATGCCCCGCCAAATGACCTGTCATTGAAAACGGAGATTCCCGTCAAGATAACGTTAGGTCGATAACATACGGATAAAAGCACGGTTTCCCAGGCAAGCTATCCTAACTTCAGCTTGATATCCTTCAAGATGTCTCGCAACTGAAGTGAAGTCACTCATTGAATGGAGATTTTGCAGGTCCCAATCTGGCGTCGATCTGCTTTGTCACAAGGCATGTCGAATTGTCGATACCTCCGTTAGTACTCTTGGCGGGGTCAGAAGTTGATAAGAGTCATAAGACCGCCTAAATAAAGGAGGGCCGAGGAAACCCGCAACTGGAGGCCATCTCTGGAGCGCCTCCCGTTCCTCGTTTGCTGATTATCACATTCGAGCTGCCATCGCACGACTGGGCTGACCCCGTGAAGTGGCTTCCCCGGTCCCCCTGTACGGTACACTACAGGACTTGGACCATATGCGTCTGCTGGGCCGCATTTCACGTTCCGCGACTGCCTTTCCTCCGTCTCGACCTTTGGCTTTCCCCGCAATTCTGTCAGCGACAGCTCCGCTATCTCATCGTCGACAACCAGCCCGGCAACTCTTTGAATCGAGAGCCACACCTACCATGGCGGCCACCGACACGACTATGCAGACATTTTTCCAGTCCCCTAAATTTGCAGTTGTTGGCGCAAGCACTAATACAGCCAAGTTTGGATACAAGGGTTAGTCCCTCAGCATTTCATCGTTGTGCCTTGTCCGTGGCGAGCTTCCATTGCTCCCCGCTCACCCGCCGAGCGAAGCACCTGAAAATGTTCTTTTTGGTCAAGGCTAGCAAGTCCAGGGTGGTTTGGCGATGCTAGCCGTCATCTTCGCCATCACTGTTTACTGATCTTGTTACTGTTCGGCGGCTACCTAGTGTTCAAGTGGTACATTGACCGGCGTCTTCCCGTCACACCCGTCAATCCGAGCGCCAAAGCCATCCAGGTTGGCGATGAGGAGTACCCCACTGTCGGTTCCCTCTCACAGCTGGATAGCCCCAAAGACACCGCCATCTCTATCATCACCCCACCGCCGGTCACCTTGAAGACGCTCCAGGAGGCAAAGAAGCTGGGAATCCCGTCCGTTTTTCTTCAGCCTGGAACATTTGACGATGCTGTCTTGAATTTCGCCCGTGAGAATTTCAAGGCGGTCGTCGCCGGGGAAGGCGGCTGGGGTGGCGAGGGTTGGTGTGTGTTGGTCGATGGAGATCGCGGACTGCGTTCGGCTGGGAAGCTGTGAGGTGAAGTGGACTGTCCTCAACAACGCCTGCTGCGATTCCGTGAGGTGGTTGTTTGAAGGCTAACCCGCAAGTCTGAAGAATGACTCACCCCTCGTGATACATGGGCTCGGGCACTTAGAAAGTTGCGGGCCAGGTGCCTAAATGAATGGGACTGGACTGGATATTGTGTTTGTGTAGCTCATTTTGAGTTTAGGGAGCCGCACGACCCGATCTGAAGACAACCAAAAGCAGACCAGCCAGATATGATTTCAAACTGTGCAAGATTCATGTCTGTCTGTGTCTGCCATCGTTTTGGATTTCAAGCTACTATAATGGTATGCACAGGGCTAGCAGGGGCCCAGGGGCAGGGGGCTGTACGAGCATGCCGAGCGAGAATCGTTGATGTACTGAAAGTCTTAAGATCCCAGGGTCAGAGAGCAAGCGTGGCGTCCCTATCCTATTGTTGTTGGAGGGTACCTAGGAGCTTAGGCTCCCTGGCTCACTGCCTGGGCTCTTCAGGCTCCGGGATGAGAAACAGAGTTTCACTGTCCTCGAGTGCTCCAATAAACCAAGACTATGACCAAGTATGCAAAGAGTTTAGACACTCCAACCCAGCAAGCTTATATGATTCAGTAATCTTCTCGATGATTTCTTGGTTCTTACTAGGTCCTAGGGTTGTGACTGCAAACCTAAGGTGTCACCACAGCTGTCAGTTCCAGATATGTGCTACGAAGGTATAACTGCACCTCAGCCCTTTATGTAGCCATCGGCTAAGAAGCGTAAGATCATCCTGCTGAACCTAGCATGGATAGCAAGGAACTTAGCAGTCTTTCGCAATGTATAGTACTTTAAGTGATAGCCTAGGTAATTTATCAAGGTCTGCTATAATCGTGGTGTACGTACTGCGGTGCACACACCCTGATTGTAATAGGACGCTGTATGGAGGTATGTACCGCCCTGCGCCCGCGGTAGTTGCTGCCCTTTTTGAGCTGTCACAGGCGCCCCCAGCAGGCCCTTGGCTCTAGCCCACAGCTAAGCTTCTCGCTTAGGTATCCCCAGCACGGGCCACCGGTCCAATTCAGTCCTAGATTTTTTGTTTCAAAATCAATTTCATCCAAACGCGGTACCCAACGCGCTCACGGGCAATAGATAACGACCACGCGTACCTAACTCCCGTCTCAAAATCCATCCACATCGGCAATTTCCTCCTATACGATGAGCCTTAGTTCTCGCAGCTCGGAGCTTGATTGAGCCCTTTCTGAACAAAATTGGCGAGATAGGGCAAGGCCTGGGGTTTGGCATATCAAGGTGTGTAGCTCTCTCTTGTGGGTGTACGGAATGAAATCATTGCAATATCTCCGTTGAAACAGCAAGCACAATCAATCATCAGGTCGAATGATTGACCGCGAATTTCTATTGGTCTAGACGTGGTGGCGGATTACAAACGCGAGTTGCAATGGCAGACGTTTGCTAAGCCGGCTTCAAACGCTGCCCACAGCGGCAATTCCGCCTCCAAGGCCGAATGCTAGTCAAGCTACCGTGGATCTCACTGCCGTCGACCGCACTACTGTGGATCTCACCACTGCTGTAAATCACTTCAACCACACAGCAAGTACTGGTTCGGTAAAAAGCGATACTGCCATCAGCAGCGAATCACCCGGTGGCTCAGCACAAACTCCAGCCGCCCCGGCTCCAGCGGATCAGCAGGCGGCATCGAAACCAGTTTTCAAGATGAAGCGCAGTGGGGACGCCATCTACCCTGTCACTCCCGTATCATACCCGCCAGGTCCAACAGCTATTAAGCCGACCGTAGTAACCCTCACCCCCGATGTCGACTCGCAGTCGGAGCCGGAGCCGGAGCCGGAGCCAGCAAAAATCATCAGCGACCTGTCTCTACCTGGCCCCCAATCTACTCCCCAAAACCTCACAGTGCCGTCTCCTGAGATTGAAGTTGACTTGAGTCGCTCTGCAAAGGCATCCAGTAAGGCTGGCAATGGAAAGGGGTACAAATACTCTGAAGAGAGGCGAAGGAGAATCAGTGAGCAAGTACGCCGTATGTCGCTTCCCTTTTATTTTGTCTATCTCTGATTTCTCCAAATGTTGTAGCTTCTAATCAAATGCAGAGCGATGGGCATCTGGTGCGATGGACCACGTTCACCAGAAACGGATGGAGACCCTGAGACGGAGGGGCCAGCTTGAGACCCCCAAAAAGCCCAAACAACACCATGCTAGAGCACGATCCCCATTCCTGAAGAACTTGGCACGTTCGCTTCAGAAGGGATTTGACAGCATGTTTGAAGCGCACTCTGAACGAGATCGAACGTCGGCATCCAGCCTCACTCCTTCAGACGTGAATATGATGGATCTTGACCAGACCAGGCACGAATCCGACAGTGACGACGACTCTGAAGCGGCCGAGTGGCCCAGCGGTACACCAGAGCCAATGGGTGACGGAGAAGACATGTGGAGCTACCTCCAGCCTCACCTGGTTGTACACAAGGGGCCTGTGATCCCATCAACTGGATGGGTCAGCCACCTCCTTAGGCTTCCTCGAGTTCGCGAACTTGACTGGAACACACCTTGGCTTGCTATGAATCCGTTCAAGGATTCACAACCGAGAGATATCTCAGCTCTGATCATCCAAATGACTGGAGATCCTGCGCCGAGTGCGTGCAAAAGGTGCCGGGACCTGAAAGGGCCATTTACATCTTGCATCATGATATCACAGAATGCCCCAACGGAACCTCTGAGGACTATTCTTGGCTGTGCCAATTGCTATTACCATGGAACGGTGAGTGTTTACATCTCTATAACCAGTGTTAACTGGGGCCGCCTTCAAAGACAGGGTTGATTGCCCAAGTTGCCCGGATTCCTCCCAGTGCTCTGCAGGGAATTGAACACGACTAACATAACTGACTGCAGCAAAACTACTGCTCCCACAGAACCTGGAGCAACGAAAGGGCGAACGAAATCTTGAGCGGCAGGGTTGGGATCGCCGAAATGGATACATCAACCAGCTCAGAGGATACGGGGCATGACGAGACTCCCGACGAGTATGATTCCAGCGTAAACGCCTTCCGTGGTGAGGCCATGGAGTCTGTGACTGGCGGAACCGCCGCCGTCACACCCCCAAGCGATTCTCCGGCCGGTTTCAAGGAGGCAGAGCCCGGTAGGCCATATAACATGTGGCGAGGTGAGAGAAACATCGTATTGCCCAAGCTCTCACCCCTGACAGGATGGCGGCAGATAAACACGGTAATCTTCAGGGCCTATACGGTGCTCTACTCCCAGCTGGCTACCAGCTCGATAAAACCGTTCCTGGCAGGCCATGGGTTTGCCCCGTCCGCACTTGCCGGAAGGCACTCCGCAAGCCGCCGGATCTGGGTTTCCATTTCGTGGTACGTTACACAAACCAAAGCCCCATAACGATTTCTTTTCGGCTTATAGGTGATCTTCAGCGTGTTCATTTTGCTGCGCTATTACATGACAACGGTGATGGAACCTTCTCAGTGAAGGGAGTCTACAAATCGAAAGAGAACAACGTAGGTCCGGGTGGCAAGATTTGGTCCCCCTCGCCTCCTGTTGTGGTCTCCCGAGAGCAAGCTGCCTACCGCAACAGCTCCCTTTCGAAGGTCCATTACCCCAGTGATTCGGCCGATACTCCCGAAAGCGGTGTCGAGAAGCAAACCATGCCAGAATCTGAAAAGGATACGATTATGAAAAGTTCAGGAGACGTCTGGGCTTACATTCGACCATTCTTGAAGCCGAAGTTTCCGGAAAACCAGGTTCCGGAAAACCCAGTGTTAAAGCAGCTCCTGACCCTACCACGGCGGCGCGATCCTGTGATGAATAACCGTCCCGGGAAGGGGGGGTTCCACGTGGGAGACATCAGGGATGTAATCGCGCTGGCCATTCAAGTCACCGGCGTACCTGTCGCGAATGCCTGTCGCTACTGCGCACAGCAACATGGCCCCTTTAAAGGGTGCATAGTGCTGGGGTCCTTTGCGCCTGCAGAGGCGCGGATGCGCTACCCATGCTGCGGGAACTGCGCGTATCAGGGCAAGAAGAGCAAGTGCTCACTGGTAACCTCCCGTACCGAGCAATATGACTTGCAAGACGCCGGAACCGCAGACGCCGGGACTTCAGACGCTGGGCGGTCTGCAAGCGAGGTCGTTGATTCCCACGAGAACCACTTGGGAGTTGCCGGGACAGCCCGCAACGCAACCAACGGCTCAGCGAACAGACGGGCCGTACTTACTCGGGCTTCGTCTTCGTTTTCATCGATCCCGCGTGAGGACCTCCTCGAGATGGAAGAGTGGGAAGTTGCTCCGGGCCGGATCCGAGAGGTCGCGGTTGCTGATGCCGAGAGTGAGTTTCACCCTTTTTGCCATTATATCTGCTTGGTTGCTCTTCCCGAAAGGTTAGGACCTAACCTTTGTTGATTTGCAGACATCGCCTTCTCAAAAGCCTACCTTTCCACCAATCAGGTTGTCCCTGTCTGTGAAGACGTCTCTTTTCACGTTGACACCGTCACCAGTGGCCAGACGCTCCAGCTGGAGGCAGACCCCGACAAGATGCGGATCTGCTCGGTCGCGACGGGCAAGGTGCGGGTCAAGATCGGAGAGCAGCCCGAGTTTGTCATGGGCCCGCACGGCCTGTTCAGAGTCAAACCGGGTACTGCATGCAGCATCAGGAACCAGAGGTACACTGATGCGGTGATCCATACGACGATGCTGGAGGGATTTATGTGAGGGGTGTGGAAGCGGAATCTAGATGGTGATTCGGGGGGTTCGTCAAGGGGCACTGGCATAATCGGAATCTCGGATCCTCAATCGATATTGGGCTCGCCGTGGTTTTTTCAGCTGCTCTAGAGTACTGCCGCTGGGCCATAGACCGGTCGCCGCCGGGCTACAGTTAGCTTCGAGGGTTGATTTGATTTAGCTTGCTTTGATTTGAGATATCTGCAGACTCTATCTGCATTCCTCGCCGATCTGGGCGAACCTAGGACTATGAGTCCTAAAGATACGGTAGGCCAACAACGGCAGAGCTAGGCCATAATATTGAGACTCTTGATACAGGAATCTTGGAATCAACATCTTGGCCTCTTCCCGTGTTCCTGTCCTTGCAACCTGAGCCGTCACATGAACCTCAAATTGAAGGTACTCCCACATGCCCCTGATTGACGAAATCGGTGGTTGTATCCCAGATCTATGTTAGTTAACGGGGGGCTAGTTGGTCGCGGGGGAGCATTTACTCCAGGAACAAGGGGCAACAATATTTGCATGACATCATCAACGGTCACCAAGACAGCAATCGACCTCGCCTCCTGCGGGTTCATTCCGCCACCTACCTGGAAAACATCTATATAAACAGATATTCCTGGAACGATTGGCTATTCTTCCTTTGAGCAGCCATTCTATCATTTCCAAAACCAATAATCCCCCCCGAATCAAATCCATCGAGCTATCTACTATCCAAGGCCATACCTTCCACATCACACGAATATCACAATGAACCCATCATCGAGGACACACCCCCAAGACTCGCACGTCGGCCCCAAGTCTACAGGCGGCAAGGCGTCCGACGTCACGACCCCCGCCAACGCAAATCTGGGCCACGACAAGCCCGGCGTTTTCGACGCCCAGGGCGCGGTCGGCAAGCAATTCACACGTATGTCACTTTAACGTTGTTTTCTTCCTATACTCTGTCAAGATCAAGCATGAAGAATCATAGATTGATCCATGGTAACAATGGTGGAAACAGCCGAAGGAGCGATTGGCGGCATGGCACAAAAGGTCGGCGGGCCCATGGACAAGGAGGGCATGATTGGCAAGCAGTTTACCGAGCAAGGAAGCATTGGCGGAACGGTGCAGAACATGATGGGCGGGACGAGCAAGAAGTCGAATTAAGCTGAACCAGGCTCGCTTTGCTAAATTGTATATTTTGGGATGCGGTGTTGGATGTCTGGCGGCCATGGATTGATGGATGTGTGTCCCATGTTCAGGCAATCTTAGGAAACTACCTATACCATATACTGGAGATCTTACATCGACATATACATACACCATAGAGACGTGGCCGCGTCCCGAAGGAACCGTGGGAGTTGCCCTGGTGTGGCAACTGAAGAGTATCCCCGGCCGCGTTGTAAAGTTCTGATACTGTACTACTCCAAATCTCAAGAACCGCTACGCTGGCGCCGTAAGGTATGTAACGGGTTGAACCTTTCCAAGCCCGGAGTGCCTTGAAAGGTAGTCGGCTTTCTCATTTAAGGGTATACGATTATGTAAGTATAGCCCTGTGACGGATGTTCAACAACCCTGTTGAGATAGACTCAAGAGGAGACACGAAGCTCGGGGTTCATGTAATTCACGGCATCCTTGACCTGTCGCATCGATTTTACGTACGTAAGGCAGCGGTAGACATTCATAGTACAAGGTACATACATTATGAGGTAGTCCAATCACCAAGCAGACCGATGTACTTCAGTTCTATCTCCTTTTCCAAACCAACGGGGCCCTTTCTGGGTGCAACATCTGCAGTAACAGAACCATTGCCGAGTCCGTCTCGATCTGGTTCAACACCCTTTTGCATGCGGCGCGCAGACTCCCGCGGTCAACATCGAGAAGCACCGGTTCAACATACCACTCCCGGAACAGGACGGCCATCGTGGCAACAAACTCGACCTGAGAGAACTTTCTGCCCGGGCAATCGCGTGCGCCTTCTGACCAGCCAAGAAAGGTTCCCTTTTTGGGAGCCAAGAATACCTCATCGTCCATTGCTCCGCTTGCACCGGGCGTCACCCAGCGCGAGGGTTTCCAGTCGAGAGAGTCGGAACCCCAGTGTTTTGGATCCGTGTGCACCGCAGAGTAACTGGGGATAACCATTGTGTTGGGTGGGAGAATTAACGTCTTGTCTCCCACAGAAAGCGTCTGCGACTGCGCGCCAGTCCACTTGGCCACGGGCACAGGCGTATAGAGCCTGAGAGTTTCATACATGACGGCGAGAGCGCGTTTCAGACGGGGAAAATCGCTGGCGTAGTGCCATTCGTTCGGAGGGCGGTTGCCCAAAACATGGCGGAGCTCCTCGAAGACCCAGTCCTGTACTTCTCGGTGCGCAGCCAGAAAATAGAGGGAGAAAGTAAAGGTATGAGCGGTTGTGTCGTGGCCAGCAAAGTTAAGGACGAACATGTTCCCATAGATCTCTTGTTCGGTGAGGCCGGGGCCAAGAGCACCAGATGAAGTCTTTGCCTCATCTTGCGAGGCCCGAACCAAAGATTTCATAAGGTTGTGGTCCCCGGGCATTGAAGAGGACGATGACGATGATGCCTTCTTTTCATCCTCATACGTCTCGGTCATGTATCTTTGAAAGGAGGCGCAAGCCTCTTGCAGGCGCTGCAGCTTGCGGGGCAGCCACGGCTTCCAATCGGCCAGAAATCTCGGGCCCAGGGCCATGATCAGGATACAGTTTTCGAGGATTAGCTGCAAAGATTCCTTATAGTTTGTCGATGTCTGGTTCTTCTGTCTGTCGTCATGGCCTTTAAACTTGAATGATTTGCCAAACCCGGCGCGGGACAGCACATGAAGCGAAAGCGTGCGGGTGTCTGGTGCGATGGAATCGACTGACGGCTTTGATGCCCAGTATTGGATCATGTCGCGCGCCAAAACGGTGCTCTCGGACCAGACAATCTCGTTGTTCTGCTCCGTAAAGCACGTTCCAATGAGCTTCCGCTGCATCTTCCATTGCGGCCCGTCCACCTGCACTCAGTCAGCCAACCTTGGCCAGAGGCATAAGAAAAGGAGAGACGATATCTCACAGTTGACACATTGGGTCCAAAGACGTTGAGGACTTCTATATATAGCATTCTAGTTAGTCTTCCTGTAGTCTCCGAGAATAACAGAGGTGATAGGACAGCTGGAATTCTTACCGGTGAGCTCAAGACAGCGAGGGAAATCAGTCCTACGGCGGAAGACATCCATCAGAGCATCCGGGTTGGCGATGTACACCCAGGTCCTTCCCGGAGTAACCAGGGCGAACACGTCGCCAAGCTCATGGTGAGAGAAGTATCTCTCGCGCAACTCCCATCCTCGATAGTTGTGCCTGACGAAACTGGAGTTGCGCAGAGAAGGCACCAGCTGCGTGATAATGGAGAGTATCTTTCGATCGAGAAGCATCCAAATCGGGTTGGTGTGGTCGATAGGTATGACACGGAGGGGGACGCCAAGCTTATGAGCGGCGGCGTAGTTTCGCAGGAGGCAGACGCCCCAGTAGAGCGTCAACGAAACTGCTACTACCACCCATGCAGTGCAGACGATGACAGCGAGTTGGACCATGCTACGTATCTCTCGGTCTAGGTGCGGATTCTACAGAATGAGCGAGTGTGGCAAAAAAACAAGGAAAAAAAGATGGGGAAGGAGGGAGGGGGAAGCAGCCGAGGGAGGAAGAGCGGACGAGACCAATCTAACATGTTGCGACCGCGCCGCGGCCAGTGGGAGGGTTCAAGGTGCCAACATGCCGCCTGCAAAGTGCAAAGCGGGATGTTGCTAGACAAGACGTTTTATTGTTATTCTCGGTGAATCACTGCCAAGGGCGAGAACGGTCCAGCCGCAGGGCCCCCAGGTGGTATCGCAGGTGGCACGACAAATTCAGATCAGTCCCGGGCCGTCTTTCCCAACATTTGAACACAGTGTGTTGGGACTGTGACAGTCTGCAGTAGTATGTCACTGGCAGTCAGGCCAAAAAAACTACTACCGGTAGTAGGTACCTACCTTAAGGCACTTACCTGCCTAAGGTAGGTAGGAAGTGAAGCCGAACACCCCTCTCTGCCGAACGTACTGTTGGTGGTACAGGTGTAGGGTGCCTACGTCTATCTACAGTAGCCTTATGCAGTTGGAACTTGGGACGGGAGCGGCTAATTTGCAGGGCGGGCCGCGGGCGGGTAGTAGGCTACCCTACGCTAGACAACCGTTGCTAGGACCTCTGGAAGCCCGCCAATGACAAAACAGCACTAAACGTCGTTGGTGCAGTAAGCCATCAAGAATGCAGCACACAGGTCAGGAACCATCACCCTGGACGACATCACGATGCAGAAGACAGGCGGCGTACCATTTGTCGCACTCAGGCAACGTTATGCGAGTCTGAATTGGCAATGGACGGCATGGTTAATGTTCATTGTTCTTTGGTTTTCCATAATCTCACTTCTGTGTAATTAGAATCATTCCACCCTGGCAGTTGGCAGTTTGGCACCCTCCTAGGAGTAGGGCCTCTCTCAGTTCCCTCCCTTTCGTGTCATCCCCCCTTTCCACACTCCTTACCTTGGTTTGTCCACCTTTCTCTCCTCTTAATGAGAGACATTTGGACTGCCAGTCTTTAGACGTAGCAACTCTAGTGCCATCGACTGACCATGGCAGCAAACAAGGAGTCGGATCCCGCCGTCCCCGCAATCCAGCTTTCCCCCTCGGGCGAACACCAGGCGCCCACAGGTGACAGCATATACCTTGTATCATGGCGCCTGGCAGTTGTAATTCTCGCTCTTTGCTTTGGTATCTTCTTGTTCGGCCTTGATACAACTATTCTCGGCACCGCGATCCCCGAAATCACGACAGAATTCCAGTCACTGTCGGACGTGTCCTGGTACGGCTCGGCGTATCTTCTGGCTGTAACAGCCTTTCAACCACTATTCGGCAGTCTCTACAAGTTCTTCAGCGCCAAGATAACCTACCTGATATCTCTGTTGATTTTTGAGGCAGGCTCCGCTGTGTGTGCCGCCGCCCCCAGGTCCGCAGTGCTTGTCTTCGGCCGTGCGCTGCTGGGACTCGGGGCGGCTGGCCTCCTGCAGGGAGCTCTCGCAATCATTGGATACGTGGTTCCTCTTGCAAAGGTGCCAATGTATCAAGGAGTCGTCGTCAGCGCAATAGGTATCAGCGTGTGTGTATCAGTCCTGTTGTTGGCGGCGCTCTAACTCAGTATGCGCATTGGCGTAAGCACACCGATCTGCATGTGTCAATCACGGAAACTTCGAGCTAACTGAAGACTTTGTGTTAGGCTGGTGCTTCTTGATGTGAGTACTATATCATCCGCTACAAAAGCCTGGGTTCTGCATGGAGTACCTGCTCACCACTCAAACCCCTTTGGCTGGCCCTGGTGACAGAAACATTCCTGTTGGACTCTGCGTTGTACTTGCTATACTCTTGCTCGTACCTATTCAGCAGCCTTTGAACAAGGCCAACAGGGCTTTGCCGCTCAGGGAAAAACTTCGACATATGGATGCCTTAGGAACCATTCCGTTTATCGGAGCCGTCTGCTGTCTCCTTCTCGTCTTGACTTGGGGTGGCGAGAAATACCCCTGGAATGATCAACGATGTGTCGGTCTGCTCGTCGGCTTTGGCCTCCTCACGGTTGCTTTCTGCTTCTGGTTGTGGAAGCAAGGCGAGGTTGCTATCATCCCTCTTCGCGTTCTCCGGCAGCGGTCCATCTACACGGGGGCGCTTGTGCTCTTCGGACTGGGAATGTCAAACCAAACCTACAGCTACTACCTGCCCATCTTTTTCCAGTCCGCCCAGGGGGTATCTACTACAGAGAGCGGCATTAGATTCATTGCACTCGTCGTTCCTCAAATTGTTAGCTTGGTTATTGTTGGAGCTATAGTGACAAAATGGGGCTACTTTGTTAGTTTCTCAGTTCTTCCAAGGTATTCCCCCTTCTCAAATTATCGATTGCTAACTTCTCTCGTGCCTGGTCCAGGTCCCGTTCATCCTCGCTGGCATTATCATTACCAGCATTGGTTCTGGCCTCTTGACGCTCATTACGATCAACACTACTACCACGGAGTGGGCGAGTTTCTTGGTTCTATGTGGTTTGGGCATGGGAATGGCCCAACAGCTTCCCTATACGGCTATACAAGCAACGCTTGAGTAAGTTAAGCAGCTCATCAAACCAGATCGTCGGCCTCCTAATACTAATGGACTCACAGCCCGATTGACATACCGACTGGTAATGGTAATGTTAGCCCCTAATCAGCTCCTTATCGACAGATGTGACTAGCTTGAACTATTTGCCAGATACTTACACATTTGCTGGCAGCAATTGCAGTTTTTTCATATTAACTCGGAGGGTATGTCCGCCCACAGGCCTAGTTCAACATCGTCTGAACTAACCCGAAACGTGCATGTCGATATAGAGCCCTTGGATTGGCCATCGGCTAGAACCTCCTGATCTGGAAGCTCAGATCGGCCGTGCCTAGATTCACGGCCGAAGTCGCTCCCGACCAGGTGATAGCCGTCGGAGCCACCGGACTCGAGTTACTCGCTCCATCTCCTGTGGTCCTTGACGCTCTGCGTCGGGCGTATGCTGAATCTGTACTCCCCACGTTCATTCTCGCGCTCGTGGCGGCTTGTTTCGCGTTCCCGCCTGCTTGTGGGATGGAGCGTGTGAATATCAAACACGTTGCCGAGGAGAGAAGACTCAAGCTGAAGGCTGATCACGATGGCAGCGAAAGACAAGGCGAGGAGAAGGAGAAGGCACGCTCTACAGTAGGGGAGGTGTGATTAGGAAATGTTCTCCGTCTTGCGGCCTCCTTTATCCCGGCGTGTGCCTCCCAATTGCAGTTTGCCATAAGTGGAATGGACTGAGAGGTGGATAACTGGGACATACGTGACGTTCTCTAGCCTTGTAGATATACCTTAGGCACTGCAGTTTATCACTAAGATTATACCGTATCTTGTGATCATGGGTTAAGACCTCGTGTCATGCGTGGGCAGTTCGTTGCTTCTCCGTCTCTCAACTGAAGGGTTTGTATGTACGCTACAAACAGCCATTTACACTGCTAAAAGCCCTGGACTCTCCCGGTTAAACGACTCTAGACTTAGGATGTAGTACATTGCCGTACTATTCCTGCTGTTCCTTAAGGAGTGCCCTCTAATCTTCCCCGGGGGATGACTAGATCACAATTCACATTGGAACAGAGAAATTCTGCCGAGCAACTCGAGAACGTTTGACATAGAGTAACTACCTGGCAAGACTGGTACTAGCACATATCTGGACTACGTGGCAAGAACACGAAAATAAGAGAGTGCTGAGTGACAGATTATTTAAACCAGCTTAGTAGTACTTTTGGTTCTAAGAACAAGATGCAGCACAAATAAGAACTTCCTGAATACATTCAAGCATCGCCGAAAATCATACTGACCGCACAGTCTGACCCACGGATCTGACTCTGTTCGCGCCATGCTTTGGTAATATTGAACCCAGCATGTAGTATGAGACCCCTCTCCCCTGCTAGACATTCCCATATAGTTCAGCCCGTCTTGTCATAACGCTCTCCGGCCTATGCGGATTTTTGGGGAGCGGAATAGGACGAAACTCCGTTTGTTCATTACCGAGGTACTGGAAAGTTGACTGCGGCTTCAAGTCGCTAGCACTGGTGCCCGGAACAGTCACATAACAGAAGTGCTGGCTCGTGTCACGACTGACCAGGATGCCGGTAAGGTCCTGGGTTGCGCTTAGATTGGTGCTCAAGTAATCGTTTCCGCGCTTTCTAGATTGGGTCTTTGTTCTCAGACGTTGGATAAAGCTTTCCGATGCTTTGTAGACGGGTTTCTTTTTCGAGGAGACGAAGAGTTGGGGGAAAGAGGTAAGACAGGCAACCATGATAGCTGGTAACTATTAGCGTGAATCCCATTCCAACTACCTGTACCTGAACGCACCAATACACGCCTCAACGGCGCTCCAGAGCCAGAGGTACGTCGGGTCGTTCTGGTTGTCTTCCCATTTAGCGGCACTGACGCCCGCTGCCCGCACAATAGCGATAATCATGGTGATGATGGTGAGAGAAAAGAGACCAGCAAAGGCCAACTTTTTTCTTTAGGCGCATATGGAGGTCCCAAATCCAAATGATGGGAATGAGCATGACTAGTACCATGCAGCAGTCGGTCATTAGTTCAGGTTTCGTGCTACTTATCATGATGACACACTGAGATGCCTGACTCGGAGTAAGATGTGTTTGAAGTGAAGGACTCACTTAGAAAGTCGGAGAAGACATCCAGCGCGCAGTTCACCTTGAGAGTGACGGTCGTGAACTCAATAGCGGAGGGCTGATCGCACGTCGCAATGATGTACTCGGCTGAACCGATCAGGCATCTCCACTGCGAGTTGCCAATTGATGCACCGCAAACCGCCACGGTGAAGGCAACAACAGGCCACCACACGTATTTGAGTCTATCCATATGGTACCCAAGCCGCCGGAAGAAGAAGAGGAGTGACAGCTTGACAGTAGTCAGAGAGACGTAGAAAAAGATTTGGACAGCATATGACACTCGCAGCCACCGCTCCATCTCGGAAGGGAAGTTGGCGGTGGGCAACGCCAAACCGGCCGTCACGTTCAGGGTGTAATACATGGCAGGGGCCGCCCACTGCCATAGAATTGCGGTGGCAAGCGACAGGACGGTGGCAACGATAACGAAGGCGTCGTCCCAGTAGAGGCGGCGGGATCCACGGAAGCGTGCGTACAGTCGGACTGCTAAGAACAGAATAGCTACGGCGGTGGTGCCCCAAACAGTACCCTAGATTCAGGAAGAGACATCATCAGCAATCCTACTCCTGGTACAAGAATAGTAGTCCCTGCCCTCCAGTCGGTGGTGGACGCGTTATCATGTTGCTCACCAAGAACCTCTCATAGGGAACGCCGGGACCCATCTTTTCTCGTCAGTCGGTGTCAGTGGGTACAATGAGTAGATCGGTAGCAGGAGAGTGCTCAGTATGGCTTCGGTTGCAATCGATGTACGTAGGGCCTGTTGTGCCTTGAACTGTGTGACCAATCCAAATGATGCTAACTGGGCAGTGGGGAGAAGCAGTTCAAGACCTTAAGTACGAACCACATGCACGCACTTCAGGCAGGGATCGAACCATGGAGAACACAAGGGCGTGGGGAGAGATAGTATACTAGCATTGCTACTATACAGAGAGCGACCGCGACATCGAAACTCGAAAGAAAGAGGCACCAACCACCGAGGCATAAGCGAAGAGGTAGGTATACAATACAGTACCTACAAGTACGTACCTAAGGTGCCTAAGGTGCCGAGGGTGCCTACTGGGGAACACTGCTGGTGTCCTCTTGGGGGCTTTCCGTCCAGCCCCTGAAAATATCCCGCACCCTTTGCATGATGCCGTCATGCCCCTGATGCTACGAGAAGAACAGGGTTAATCCAGCTTTTCTTCCCAATGTTCGAAAAAGCTGTTGAACGATCCCCTCGCCTCGCTGGCCTCGAGGCTCGGGGCCAAGATCAAAATGTGCTGCAGTGCCACAATCAGCTCAAATGTTGCAGGTCCCACCAAGAAAAGTACTACCTCAGGGGCTCAAGATCCAAGTATTGTAGGGTACCTAGGCTACGGGATATTCGCAAGAAGAAGACAGAGCAAGAAGATGGGAGCATTGGTTGCCTGTCAATCGAAATGGCTCTCTAAGACTCTACCTAGGTACCAAAAGGGCAAGATGACACAGCTGTTGTATAAATGAGAAAGACAGTTCCTCTACCAATACCGGTAGACACCCCCTATTGAAAGCACTGGCAGGCATCATCGGCCGTTACCCATCTAATTGTTCAAGTTGCTTGCTCCCGTTGCGCTCTCACGACCCGACCCACTGCCCTCAGTCCTCTCATTCAATACGTGAATTTGGACAACATGATCCGGGAACTGTTACATGAGGTACCGTTCCCCGTGACAGCTATCCTGGTTTTAGCATGGCTGCTTCTACTGTGGCGTTTCTGGATGTTCACTATGAAGCCCCTGATGCGGCCATCCGATCCAAAAGAGCTTCCGTATTGGATCCCATGTACGACTCCCCCATTGTAAACGATTCTGTTTGGCTGGGGCGCGTTTTCTAATCATCCGAACCCAGATGTCGGTCACACACTTGCCTTCTTCAGAGCTTCTGATAAGCTTCTAGAGCGCGGCTTGTGAGTTGGCCTCTGAATTGTGCAGAATTAGGCGATAGGCATGATAAGTTCTCGGCTGTGTGGTTTACTGATCGCAGTCTTCCGTCCGCTTACAGGAACTACATGAACCGCAGCCACGAGATATTCGCCGTCCGTGTTCTAGGAAAAAAGATCTATATTATCACTGAGCCCGCCGACGTCACTGCCGCCTTTCGTGATAGTGAGGGACTCAGCTTCGACGGATTGCTGGGCCGGTTACTCAGGAACTTCAACGTCAAACCGGAAGCATTTGAGCGTGCCTGGCACAAGCCACAGCCCGGAGATTGGTGCTATATCCCCAATAACCCCCTGAACCCGGACCAACTCGACTTGATCCACTTCGTGGAGGCGGTTTATAAAAAGCAACTTCTTCCCGGGGAGCACGAGGAGAAGTTGTCTCAGGCATTTTTGTCATCGGCATCCAAGTCCATGCAGTTCGGCCCTGACGGACTGCTAGACAATTGCCAGATGGTATCTCGCGAGAGGTGTCTTTGGTGTGGCGACTGCGCCCTCACCACACAGAACGAGGAGATTCGCCGTCGGTTATCCTTGTACTCACTCTGTCGCCTGGTGATCGTTGATGCTGTCACACGATCCTTCTTCGGGAACCACCTCCACAACATCGACCCGGATATTGTTGAGCACATGATCAGCTTCAACCGATACGCGTGGATGGTTGTCTTTGGCTTCGGCACAGGCCTCTTTGAGACACCGGTGGCCAAGCCCCAAAAGGCGCTGATGGCTGCTCTGGTGAAATTCATCCAGAGTCCGGCCGACAGAAAGGAGAAGAGGCGTGGGTTCTTAAGCAGTTGCTTCCCGTCATGGACCTCGTTGGCATTGACGTCGAGTCGCGCGCCGCAATGCTGCTAATGAGCTACTGGGCGTGAGTCCGATCATCAGCCGTCTAGATCAAAGTTGACCGAACATGAAGCTAATGGAGAAACCGTCAGTGCGATCTCTAATGAGTACAATGTCACCTTTTGGATTCTGGCATATCTTCTTTATGACGAATCCCTCTTTCTGGCTGTTAAGCAAGAAACCGAAGCCGCTTGGCGGCAGCCGCCACCTTCCGTGGCATCTCCTAGTTCTGGAGGTGAAGACCAAGACGAGCAGTTGGATGTCATGTATCTTAGCGCCAACAGCCCCAGACTCGAAGCGATTTTCAACGAGACATTACGCCTCCGAAATGGGGCTGGAGCAATCCGCGAGGTAACCAAAACATGCGTCATTGGGGGCAAAGTTTTCCAGGCAGGGAATTCTCTCATGATCCCCTTCCGCCAACTTCACACGAACGAGAAGGTCTGGGGCCCGACGGTCAATAACTTTGATCCCTCGCGGTTCTTGGACAAGAAAAGCCTGGCACGACATCCATCGTTCCGCCCTTTCGGGGGCGGGGCGACCATGTGCGCCGGCAAAACGCTCGCCAAGGAAGAGGTGTTCGGCTTCATTGCCATTCTGTTGCGCCGATTCGATGTCAGACTGGCGGCAGGGGCCCCACTAGATGAGACAGCAAGTCGTCCCTCGAAGGATGGCAGCCCGAACATTGGCAGAATCCCGCCGTTCCCTCTCATGAATGACACAGTACCGTCGTTGGGCATCAACGGACCCATAGATGGCATGGATGTAATCGTCGATATCACTACTCGATGCCCTAAGAAAGGATAAGAAGAGTTTCAACTTTCAACCAGTAAGGCGTTTCACATATATTACGATAGGAAATGAAGTAAGTTTGCCGAACGCCCCTTCATGAATCTCATTCTTTGCTCTGAAGAGCCAAGATTGACGTCGCGGTAGTACCTTCCAGTATGAATGAGAGGAGGGTACTAGGCTGCTGGGTGCCTAAGGTACCTTACAAAGTTACCTACCTACCGACCTTAGCCCCCTTAGGAAGTAGGCACCATCATCCCGAGCTGCAATTGTATACATTTTATCAACTTGAAGCTCTACTAGTAGGCGGTCAAAGTTGTTATGTTGTTATAAGTAGGTAACAGAAGTTCCCTCACTAGCCGGTCCCTGTTACTAGGTCTCAGTGGCTAACGGCTCCTTTTGCTTGAAGGGTGACTTCTTTCCCCTGGAATTGTCTCATCAATCTATTGGTTTCTTGCTAGTTTACTAAACCTGTCTAGTAGTATACTAGGTACTAGTAACAGATACCTTACTAGATAGATCTCATTCGAAATCAGGAAGCAACACCATTTCAGCCAATGTAAGGTATTAGTGCCAAAATACATCATCACCGTAGGTACCCATACATGATATCATTTACTAATTTAGTGTTCAAGTTTATAGTATGTACATACCTCCAGTACCTTGCCTACCTATAGCCTGATCATATAGAATATACAATCTCAGTTCTTTTAGAGATTTTTAACGTAGCTGAAAGCTTGAATTTCTCAAGATGAATGGTGGAGGGAGCACTTCCATAAGTTAGGTAGTAATGACTAGGTACCTAAGTAGGTATTCAACAGCTGGCATCATCAAAGGAGTACCGGTACTCAGATTCAAACACTCTGAGCAGTTTCCAGGATGTTGACGGCTGGTATACATGTTGAGTTGCCTACCTCCAGTGGGTTAAGGTGCGCATTGCGAACTTTCCAGTCTTGCGCTCTTGCAATCCTCGGCCGGCCCCTTGCCCAGGTAAGCCCGCGTATGAAGGGTCACATCCGCGTCACCTAATGTTGTACAAAAGCTAGGCACCAAAAGTTCATCTCTCCATGGATGCCGCTTTCAGTTGAGCCTTACGCGGCCATCCGCGAACATGACTATAGGCTAGTGAGTGTAAGTTCTCTCTGATCAGACAATCTGGCGCACCTATCCTTGGCCCTGGCAACCCAGGTCCCAGGCACCGCAGGCCAAAGCAATACGAATATGACAAATCAGGAGTGTAACTGTGTAATTTGAGCAATCAATGCATCTCTCAATGTCATTACCTAAGCACGTTTTCCAGGTCGGACCTACAGTACACTTGTCGCGTGAAAGGAGTAGTAGTGGCTTAGACGAAAGAAAGTCGAAGAAACGGGAGTCTGGTCAATTGGGACTTTACCATTGGTTACCATACCTCCCAAGAGACTCAGCCTCACAGCAACCGGGAAAATGACGACGATTCCCCGCAGGGCATAAGCAGGGCATATTTCGCTTCGCAGGGTGCATGTGAGTCTCGGAGAGATAAAAGGAACCAGTACCCAGCTCCTGGATGAGAGTTAAGTGAAAATTCTTCGAGTGATATATTAATTCCATACATGTAGTCCCTAGAACGGCTTGGAGCTACTAGTATCCAATTTATGGGAATTCAATGCAAACCAGTCGTGCTCTCAAATTCAAAATGGGGTTGTTCTTGCGCAACATCTTCCTCTCCTTCACCCTCGCTCGGCTCAGTCATGGACAAAACTGTCCCTTACTCGGGCCAGCTTACCCAGCAGTCACGGACCCGGTCTCCTCTCCGGCGTTGAACGCGGCCAAAGCCGCCTTCGATGAGGCGCTCGCTCAGGCTCTTTCCAGTGGGCAGCTTGACAACAGCACCACCTCGTTTTCCATCCAAGTGTTTAGCCCTCAAGCCGAGGAGCCAATCTATGAATACTACCACACGCCAACGGTTAGCACAAACAGCTCCCGAAGCGCACGCCCGGCTCAGGTTGGACCCGGGACCCTGTATCGAATTGGCAGCATCTCCAAACTGGTGACCGTGTACACCATCCTGTCCAGCCTGTCGGACAGGTACTGGGACGAGCCGGTCACCAAGTATGTTCCTGAACCCGAAGCTGCCGGCCGCGGACCGGCAGGCAACGCTATTGACCACGTTCAGTGGTCTGAGGTCACCCTCGGAGCGCTGGCCAGTCAGATGAGCGGCATCGGAAGAGATTGTAGGTGCACCAGTGTCGCTCTGCTTCAGGCCTGGGCGTAGATTGTCTCGGAAGGCGCAGAAAATCAAATGATGAGGATAGAAACTAAATGTTTTGTTAGATTCCTTCGGAGACGTCTCGGCCATGTTCCCCTCCGGTCTTCCGGGACTTCCCACGTTGGACGAGTCGGAGATTGTCCAGTGCGGCACGGCCGCCGCCGGCGTCAGAGCATGCACAAGAGAGGGTGAGTTGAGAGGAATTGAACAGACCGCCTCATATCTAGCTTTTGTTGCCACGCTTGGCGTGACATGCTGACGGCGGCGCGCCTACACATAGAGTCAATGGCAATGATGCTGGAACGGTGGCCGGTTTTGCCGGCCTACCACTCCCCGATATACTCGAATATGGCCTTTCAAATCCTGGCGTATGCCGTTGAAAACATCACCGGGCAAAATTTTGCCAGCCTGGTCGAGGACGAGTTGTTGAAGCCCCTCGGGCTAACGCGGACATTCCTGTCGACTCCAGCGAACGATAGTGATGCAGTCGTTGTAGACGGCTGGACCGAGGACCTAGGAGATGAGGCGCCGTAAGTTAGCTCGACGACCTGACCCCGCCCCGTTTTTGTGTTTGTTCGGCTGTTTGTTTGAGTTCGACCTCATGAATATCATAGGGCCGGAGCGTATATCCAGTCCGTGGCCGACCTCAGCGAGATTGGCCGGTCCATCCTCAATTCCTCGCTTGTTTCTGCCCAGGCGACCCGAAAATGGTTGAAACCTATCTCGCACACGTCCAGCCCCTTGGTATCGGTCGGCAGACCATGGGAAATCTTGCGACTGAGGGTGCCCGTTGAGCGGTCGTCCAACACGACGCGGACTGTTGACGTGTACTCGAAGAATGGCGGCATCGGCCAGTATCTCAGCCTGCTAGGGCTCTCTCCCGACCATAACATTGGAATATCGCTCCTCGTGGCCGGACCTTCAGCCGGGTCGGTGTACAGCGCTTTGCAGACCCTCGTCACGACCACATGGCTCGTGGCGGGCGAACATGCCGCCAGGGAACAGGCACGGGTCAATTTCGCCGGCAATTACACACTCCCCGATAACTCATCCGCCGAAATCACTCTTCTTCCAGACGAGCCTGGCATGTTCCTCGCCAGCCTTCTAAGCAACGGGACCAACATGTTCGAGGCCGTGGGAGGGGTAGTCGGTGGGGAGCTGGGAGCCGAGTTCGGGGCATGGCTATATCCAACGACCCTGACAGACGGCAACAGAACCGCATTCCGAGCGGTGTATGGCGCTTTAGGGCAGCCAGCCGATGAACTGTGCGCGTCATGGGGCGCGGTGGACGGCCTCCGGTACGGGGGTCATCCAGCGGATTTGTTCGTTTTTGAAGTTGGCGAGGATGGACGCGCAACGGCGCTGGAGGTCCCAATCTTAAAGAAGACCTTACGTAGAAGAGACTAATTCCTGTACGGATATTCTTGTCTCTCTTAAATTTTGAAAATCTGGTAGAAGACGCCATACGGCTAAATGCCGCATGGTATCTTGGCTGCAGATATTCCATATAGAGGAGCAACCCATGGCTAAGTTAACAAACATCGCCGATATGCCGGTGCATCTGACTGGTACTTGTCAGACAGCTGTTCATGACATATGGACATGTGCAATGCAGACGAGGCTGTTATGAATTGAAATTTGAGGATTTTAGGTGTTGCTGTACGGTATACGGGCTACCCGAACTCTCATTACTGCAAAACGCGATTACCGTCTCTCTCCTCAACTGTTGCATGTTGCAAGTGCACGGTGTGCTGAGCAGTTTCAGCCAATCAGGGACAGTCTGTGCTGACATCGAGCCACAACTCGCCCCATTTTTACACGTGTATGCCAGCCCTCGTCCTTCCCCGCCTCGATCTCTTTCCGCAAACTCACGGCAAGTCCTCAATACAACGATCTCACCAGCGCAGCAGCCCTTCGCATCTCACCTTCTAAAGAGGCATATCCGATTATCTCGAATTCCTCTCTAAACTCCAAACCCTCGCAATCCCAATTGAGATTATTCAACCGCCAAGAGTTGTCGCGCATCGCGTCGCCATGTCGGCCGAAATCGCGCCCGAGGCTGCGACGACGCCCGTCAAAGAACGCCATTCTTTGACCCTCGACCAGCGACGCGCCCTACGTCGCTGGGCCAGCTCCCAGCCGGTGCGCCCGAGCCACAAGGCCTGCATCGACTGGTTCCAGAACCAATACAACCAGACTATTTCGCAATCGACAGTCTCGCACTCCCTCTCGCCCAAATACGCCCGCCTCGATGGCGACTCCCAGCTGTCCGGGTCGCGCCTGCGATTCGGCAACTGGCCCGATGTTGAGAAACTCGTTCTGCTCTGGCACCAGCAGGTCGTCAACAGCGGCCGCCACCCGTCCAACGAGGAACTCGCCGAAAAGGCCAAGAGCATCTTCTCCCAGCTCCCGCGCTACAAGGACGAGACTCCACCCGAGTTTTCTCCCGGATGGATCCACCGCTTCAAGAAGCGCTACGGCCTGCTCATCCGCCGCCAGCGCCGCCACGGCACCGGCCCCAACCCGGCCGACGACATCGAGTACCTCGCCGATGCCGTGCCGCGCTTCATGACCATCACCGCCGACGCCTCGCCATCCTCCATCCGTGACACGGTCCAGCGCGTCGTCGGAGTCGAGGCCAGCCTGGCCACCTGCGCCCGCGTGCGCGACGAGATCCTCCGCCGCCTCGACAACCCCCAGCCGTCGCCCGGCCAGGCAATTAGCGGCCACCACGGCGACGCCTCCATGTACCCCGACGAGGACCCGGAGGTCGTCCTGCAAAACGCCCTGCGCGCGCTGCAGCAGGAAGAAGCCGACGCCGAGGCCCAGGCCGCCGCGGCGCGCGAGGAGCGTGAGCGTGCCGAGCGTGGCCTGCCCCCGCTGGGCGGCATGCCCGGGCAGGCGGCCTACGTGCAGCACGCAGCGGCAGCCGTCAACGCCATGTCGACGCCCGCGCGGGCCACGCCCAGCGGTTCCGCCTCGGGGCCGCGCTTCATCGCCCCAACGCCCCAGCCCGGCTCCGCCGGCAGCGGCCCTGGCGGCGAGGACCTCACCCTCACCCCGATCCCCAGCGGTGGCCCCGTGTCGGTCACGGACCGCCCGCTGCGCTGTCCCTTTTGCGTCAACCAGCGCATGCTGCGGACCATCAAGGAGGCCGTGGAGCACATGTCGACTCACGTGGTAGTGTAAGGGGAGGTAGGAAGGTATCGCGTCTCGCTGCGAGCGAAGTACGCAGGAAAAAAGAGAGTGATATACTTCCGCTCCTGGCTCGTTACATTATCTCTCTTCCCCTCTTCTTTCCTGTTTCTCTCTTAGTATTTCTCAGCGAGGGGACTAGGTGAACGTGTTCAGCGGTGGCACATACAACAGCGGGTCGATCACCTTCATCCCCCACAATCTGCTCCAACGACGACCGACTCTGTCCTGAAGAAGAAGAACCCCGTTCCAGATCACGTATTCTGCTCTTTTTTTATCAGGTGTATTACCGGTCCGGACAAGGCGCTCGAGGCGAAATAGGAGACACACTAGGGATGGGCGGCGAGGGATGGGTTTCCAGCTGCTGAATGCCTATGTTTTATTCCCGGGTTTGTTTGCATGAGGCTTCCATGTATCGGGGTAGTTATGCAATATACCACCATGCTTTTTTCTCCCTCATTTCCTTACGATAATGCCTAGGTATTGAGGAAGGAAATGAATTGCCGTACCTGACTTATGCTTTAATAGCTGGCTGATGACTCTCTGGTTGACTCGACAATTCTGCCGAGAGCCAATGGCGAGCACATTTCACAACATCATCATGCGGGTGAATTGCACACAGACCTTGGGCCACGGCAAATTCGACACACTGGGTTATCGAGACTCCTCAATTCGTTCAAGTCAAATGACTGACCGCTGCCCAAGCTTGTCCACCACCTGCGCCAGTATCGCAGCTCATCCACCCCCCAAAATACCGCGCCCTAAAATACCCGCTACGAAAAGAGGTAGATGCCCTTTCAACCAAGTAAACCAGGACCTTAGCCTGCCAGATTCATTTCCCATGCCGTATACGTCATCCAGCCATCAAAACCATCCGTCCGCACAGTCCGTCCTTGCCTCATCACGCCGTTACCATCCCAGGTAACCTCGTAGCTCATCCTAACCCACGCGGCTAGCCTCAAGCTGCGATTGTGGCCCCCCGTATTTTCCGCATCCACACGACATTCCATCATTCCATCCAAACATATTCAGTAAAAACACGAAAAGGGCTGAGAAGCCAGCCCCGAGCGGACCATCGCGGACCCATGACCAGAAATAAAAACAACGCCATCTTGATTCCCGCAGAACTGTCCCATAACGTATCATATCCCCTTCGCCCGTAAGCTTCCCGAATCGCAGCATCGAGTGCAAACATCAATAGGGGTATTATGCCATGTCGAGAACTGCACCGCGAAATCTCATCGTACTGAACGTGTCAACAAGGCAATGCGAGCGGTATAAAGGTGATTGGGAGGTTCGCGCGCCGCGATGATGGCCATCCTGGAAGTGGACTTAGAGGCCCCTAGTCCGCCATCGCGATCGTCGGTTGTCTCCGGTACAAGCGACTCCATCTCGGGCCGGGAGCCAGGAACATCACTCGTTTGAATATTGGCCGCCCAATGTGGGAGATAACGAAAACAACTCGGGTATTCTTTCGCAAAGTGATAAAAGAAGAAGCAACATTCCATAAGAGCACCCCTCGGAGAGCACCAGGGGGGCAAAGAAGACTTGACAGGGACACGTCACTCAACGTATAACAGAAGTTTCTCATTGCGCTGCAATGCAATGTCGAGATCGTGGTTGCTCATCAGCGGAGGCTTGTCGCCGGTGGCTTCGTCCTTGTACGACAACTGGGGTGGATCCCCGGGAGGAATCTTGAGCCGGTCGACGATCCTTTCGTAGAGGTTCTGGAAAGAGATATCCGACGGCACTTTGATGGCAATAATGTCACCGTTGTAACTTAGCTTCACCTTCATCTGTGCACCGGCTTGCTGAACGCCAGGCGACAGGGATGTCTGTGATGGCTGGGATAGCGACGAGGCCTGGCGGGTCATTGCGGGTTGGCGGGCAGTGGAGCCCATACCCCCATAGCCCGAACCGCTACCGTCGAGGTTCTGTCTGGACGACTGGCGCGATCCGCCATCAATAGGCGAGTCTGTCGAGGACGGCCGAGACCCGGCAGATAAGCGGTATTCTTCATCAAGCGCACTTGGGTCTATCTCGTAATCGCCTTCCCTCGGCGCAAAGAACTGCTTTACCAGGTTGCATTTCGAGATGTAAGGCGGCTGGGCCAGCAAGCTTTTCACGTAAGCGTCCAAGTTGTGTCGACGGCCTTCCGTGATTGCATCGGTCACGTAGTTAACGGGACCGGGCATGTACGGTAGTGTTCGCTGCTTCTTTCCAGTCGTCCCTGCTTCAACGGGGAATTCGGTAAGCAGCGCGATCTGGAAGTCGTAGAAGTCTTCGTAGTATCGCGCCAGTTCCCAAACGCGACCATCCTCAAGCTCAGCCTCTATCACGAACCAGTACTTGTCCTCCGCGAAGCAATACCTAGGAATCCGAGCGGATACTGGTGCATACATCTGCGAGACCGATCGCGGTGCGGGGACGCTTTGGATGGCCTGGCTTTGCGGTACAGCGTACGCTGCCTGCTGCGGTTGCTGCTGCTGATTGCACATGTCAGGACAGGAACTACGTCAGATGACGAACCGGGCCGGCACTCACCATATTGGACGTCGGTACCTGGCTGACCCTTCCGTTGGGCTGCTGAATGCTCATCCGCTCCATACCTTGCTCGATTGTTTGCGGCTGTGCACCTGTCTCGAACTTCCCGAGGGTTATGCTGGAATTCTTGTAATCGGCAGCCATCTTCTTCCACTCCTCAACCTTTGGAATCCCTGCCCTGCGCACCGCCTCTTGCGGGTTTGCAACTGGCGTGTTAGTCGCCATGTCTCGGATCTCAACGAAAGATACCGGAATCAAGCCCGGTCCGCCAAGTCTCCCAATCGGCTTTGCCACAAACCACTCGGGGTTGGACTGGGCAATGACGATGATGGCCTCGCCAGCCTTCGCCTCCAGCTCATCTGCTCTTTCTGCCTGAAAGTCATACACAACAACGCCGTAAACCATGGCACCTGACTTGCCCGTCTTGGAGCTTCGTTGGCTTGCCACTGGCGTCGACGTTGTTGTCGGCCCATCCCCGTAACCGGAGTCATGATCAGGATGTTTCGCAGAGCGCGCACTGTCTGGTTGGGATTGCCCGCTATCACGCTCGGTACGCCCAAGCGCCTGGAAGTATGCAACGGGCACCAAGCCACGAGCGTCCGGTAGAGCGGGGTTGCAAGCTTCGTACCAGTCTGGATCATTTTCGCGACCGATTACATGGAAAAAGTCACCACGAGAGAAGCTTAGCTCTTGTGGATTTGTCGCTTCGTAGTCGTAAAGCGCCCGAATAACCTAGTTCACGTCGGGTATGTCAGCGCTGCCCTGGCGGCGGCGACTAGCAGTAGTGGCGGGAGGGCAAGATCGCTTGCAAGTTCCGCGCCTGAAGAAAGCAGTCATAGCTAGGGATACACACCTTTTTGGGGGGGACAATAGCAACCGCAGATTTCGGGGCGATGTTGATATGCGGTTTCTCCTTCTCCCCCTTGATCGATCGCCGCAAAGCCTTGAAAGCACGCATCGCAATTAGCTGACAGCCCAGGATGACAGGTGTATGGTGTAGTGCTGTACTGAAGGATATGGATGAGGAGCAGGATAGCGGTTTATTATGTATTAATGCATGAGTTTTATAATCATGCGCACCAGGCAATCAACGCTGACGCTGCACTTGGGTACCGGCGGTGAATTCATCAAGAGAGAAGGGGCGATAGGAGGTAGCCGTGGCACATCCGGAATGACGTACCTTCATGGTGGTCAGGTGCGGCCCGTAGGACGGATTGCGGAGTGAAAAAGTTGCACAGAGGTAACTAGAAGCCAGTGACAGTTTGGCTGAGTTCGGAGCCTATGCGTCAAGCCAGATCAGATCGGCGGGAAGCTGTCGAGTGGCCGTGGATTGTTGTTGCAAGTCGAGATGCGTCTTATTTGCGGACGGAAAGCGGGCGCGTGACAGCGGGAGTAGTGTAGGTAGTGTAAATTTTCCGAATCCGCTGGTCTCAACCTGTCTCAGGGTGGCAAAGAATTGAAGCTGTTGGTTCCTTTGAGACCTTTCTTTTTCCAAGACGTGAGTTCCCTGCATAGAAAAACCGATGCTATTTCGGGCCGCGGGTGCAGAATAGGTGTAGCAGCTCTAGTCTCCTTTGCCCAGATATAACGTCTCGTCCTCCTTTGCCTTTTGTCGCGAACTCAGCGATCGTAACCGTACCCTGTCCTTTGATCAGCTGCACAGTTTGATTCCGTCGTCCTCTTGTTGTCGCGGTGCTGGCGGGGAAGTCGTCTGCCGCAGTTCTCGGCGGTTGCGCAGGATGTGGGCAGCGGAAGAGGCAATCCCAGGGGCAAATAAGCTGGGCGCAAAGTACCTCTTAAAGGGGGGAAGGGGCCGGGGATGATAGCGTTAGGACTTAGGACCGGGGTGGACAAGCGAGTCCAGGGAAATTGTTGGAAGGGCGAAGCCGGGAGGGGCTGCAGCACAAAGGATTGGCTCAACCAGTGTTGGATAACCTAAGGGCTAAATTCGCAGTTCAGTACCTCCGTACTGTACCATGGGGTTCCCACACAATTCCTCAGTCCATCCAATACAGGATTCTTAACTATTGATCGGTTAGTGGCTGTCTTGGAAGAAAGACAGCATCCCATACAAAATGTATCGCATCGCAATGCTTGGTGATGAGCGATGACCCGCCATATTTCTCCCCGCTTTCCCAGTATTTAACGCGTGATGGCGGGGCACAGATTGAACTTCCCTGCGTACAGTACAAAACAGTACCTTACATACAGTCTCTCGGCGCACGCCGGCCGCCTTACCAGCACAGTGTCAGACTCCTCCTACCTTGGAGCTGTGAATACAACTTGTAACTGAGCCAACTTGAGACTGTCGGACTCGCGGGCGTGTTTCCCCTCTCTCTAGGTTCCGATCTAGTGCTGCCAGGAGGCTTGGGAGAGGCCTACCTGCCTCAGATGCCTTGATGGATGTTCTCACCAATCCGCTGGTTATTAAAGGAAATTTTGGGCCGAAGGAAGAGGCCTTCCAGGTTGACCGAGTCACATTCTCAAGCTTGCGTGGCGCTGGGCAGATGGGCGTCAAAAATGGCGCAGCTGGTGTGCTGCTAGCGTATAAGTTAGTTCGGACGGGAGCTCCTGCACCACGTCTTCGACAACTTGAACCCTTCCGCCGAGCAAGTCCAGATCACTGGCCACTCTTTTCCGCAGCAGGAACGAAGTGGGACCCGGCGGGGAGAAGGCCGGGATGGCCCATGCCGCCCGGCTCCAGGCCTTCGGAGCTTAAGCGGCATATCTATGCATTGCAGCGACCATGCAGACCATGCCAGTGACGATCCGTCCCCCATTGCCGACCGACGTTGAGGGTTTAGGACGCCATGCTGCGCCATCGCCATTATTAAGTTGCTTTTATCTCGAGAGGCGGAAAAGTGGCGAACCAGCTTTGAGGGATCCGCTTCCATGTGGCGTATTGCCGGGCGCTGGCCACCCTCTCGAGTAGTGTACACTAAAGGGAGCCCAATCTGATGGAGATGCACCGTACCTAATAACAGCGTGCAGGACACCGAGACGGGAGAGCATGTCGCACAGGTTCATTGACTGTGGCCGGCCATCCAACGGCGGACCATTGCAGCAGTCCAATCTATGCCGTCCCAATACAACGGCAGGCTCCCGTTGCATCTGCGCTTCTGAGAACCTTCCATTGATTTCACCACGGCCGTCGGTACCACCCAGAGGCCACACATGGACGCATCCTCAGGGCACGAAAATGACCATGATATACCTCCGTATGAAGCTTGATAACCGCCAGCTGGTCAAATCCACTTCTCTCATCTCATGGCATGCTCAGCGTATCTCTGTTCGTACAGCCTACCAACGCCCATGTAGTAAGTTCTAGGTGCCTGCACTTCCGTTTCAACCTCATCTTTGTTACATACATACATACATACCTTGACTTCGAAGACGATGACAGAACTGAGAGCTCTTGATTACCCCACCCTTGAGTCCCAGCCCTGCCATTCCTCGGGGCGCGGCTGATCCACGCCGGCTGTCAAGGGTTGTTGTTGCATGTACTTACCGGTAGTACGAAGTACTGTACAGTACATGCATACACTAGACAAGGTCCAACATTAGACAGGAAGACTCGAGGGAATCTGAACATGGTGCTCATGTTCAAACTTACCGTCGCTCATCTCAGCATAGAATGCAGGCTGGGCCTGTTCATTCTTGCCTCCCCTGCATTGCGCTGCTCCTACCACCTACCTTAACTAATGCTGCATGCATGAACTTGCACTCTGCAGGCACCGTCTGCATCCCGACCACAATCTGGCAGTAATCCCTGTGGTGACGAAGGGAGTATGTTGGGCAATGGGCTGGCATCCATCCACATACAGGTGTAGCTAACGGCAATGCCGTGAAGATCATGTTGATTACCCCGGATTCAAGTGATCGATTCAAGTGATCGACACCGATATTCCAAATCCACTTCTTTCATGCCCGCCCAGGCCCCTCTCGGATCAGACCGTCCCGATCAGCGGCCATCACCACATGAAACTTCACAATGGCCTGTCTGAAACAGCCAGCTGGGCGCACTAAGAAGAAAAGGCACCACATACAGAGGAACCCAAAGAATCACTACCGGCAGACGTCGACCCGGGTAAGAGGTACCGGATCCCGAAGAATAAGCCAAGCCGTTCTATGCCCCGCACAATCCCGGACTCGAAATGGATATCCCCGGAATACTTGCAGTATCCAGATACTCACGTGTTAATTGTACAATACAATACATCCTCAGGGGTGAAGGAAAACATACTGCTGAGAGTCCGGGCATCAGTCCGAGTCCAATACTCCAATTCATCACTGATACCACAGCCCTCGAGCACAGCCCTACAAACAGGTCAGCCTTGTCAGCATACCCGGTAAGCCAGGTGGTTGCGGTCACGGTCTCGGTTGGGTACGGTACTCGCACTTTGGGGTGACCATCGTCAACGGCGTAAGTTGGTTAGTGAGAACGGCACAGTTACGGCGGTTGGTTCCAGAGCCAGGTAGTACCCTCGCTGGGTGGGCCGGGAAAAGTAAGGTAAGGTGTGCAGCTGATCAGGGCAGCGCCCGATACGGATACATACAAAGTGGACTTTATCAGCTTTGTCGAGTGCTGAATACACAGTTCTACGTAGGTTTCCAGGTTGTTGTGCCGTGCGTCTCATTGGGTGATACTATATACGATCCAACCGCGAATGGCATGTCCACTGTTATACCGTGATATAAACACCTTATCATGGCCTTGCAGCCTATGCTCCCAGCAACGAACGGAACTGTAGAATTCATTTTGACCTAATATGCGACAATATAATCGATGATGCGCCGTGGGCTGGCAGACTTCGTTCATGGCATACTTGGACTTAATAACGATAGACTCTGGCAGGACTAACGGCATACACTTCGCATCAGCGAGGACGGAACTACAAAGGTGTTGAACTTACAGCCCCGTGCTGGGACTAACCTGTACCTCAAGCTACGGAGGAAAATGCTGCGTACACATGATGTACCTCTACAACGCCAAACTCCAGACCAAACCCCCTTGGGCCAACCAACCCTCTGACCCCCTGTGATGAGGAGAATGAGTAGATGAGTTTAATCCCAATTCTTTCCCGCCTCCTCCGTGGGTATCATCATGGGGTACGTTGAGTCCTCCGGACCCGAAAATAATGCCCTAAACACGCCCTCGATCGCAGGGCCACTGGAATAAAGTTCCAGATGCCTTGTGATCCTGCCCCGTCGCCCAATGGCTTGCTAGAGAGCACTAGGCTGGATCGGAAGAGTCCTTGACTCAACATAAGTGAGTGGTGGCTTCCTCAACGGTCGGAACTCATCACCGCCACCGTCATCGGAGCAATCCATGACACGGCCTCATATCAAGAGACGAGGGCAGTCGTATCCAGCTCGGTCCCCCGCATAATGCAGCGTTTGTTCCGAGTGCTCCTGGTGAGTCGCTCGCAAAACGCTGGTGATCGAGGTTAAATGCAAGAAAGCTTTTCGAAGCCGAGGGCGATCAAAATATGTGACGTGCCGGGGAAGCCCGAGCTCATCGGCAAGCCTTATCAGGCCATGTAGAGAAAGAGAACCGACCGCCCAAAGCAGGCAGCGCGACGCGACAGCGGCTAGCAGTTTCGCTACCGTCCGCAGGCTCAGAGTACAAAAAGCAGAGTTTACGTGGAAAGATCAAAAATCAGCTCGGATGACTCAGGGTCCCTTGGACAGGTTCGCCGAGCGTGAGGGTCAGGAATAGTAGGAGGAATAACGTGAGCGGTGCAGACATTAGATTTGACCCTTGATGTCGACGCGCGAAAATGCTGCAGCTCTCGGACCTTCAAAGAGTGTGCCGGCTTTGGCAGTTAGGAACATGATCGTGCCGTTACGGTCTTCGAGCAGATGTTGGCCCTGGTGGTCCAGAATGAATTGAGCCGCTTCGACATCAGATTCGAAATACAGCTCTTCGGTGAT